GTCGTTTTTTAAGAACTAGCTTCTCCATCTATGCATGCTACTTAAATATTTTATTTCCATTCAATTCCTACATTTAAAAATATTAATACTGTTTTTCTTATTTATACAATACAACTAAATGATACCAAGTCATATAATTATAAAAATAGGTAAGGCTAATTATCAGAATTGCTAGCACATAAAAGAATAATAATTTAATATATTACTAACATGTTTGATTATGAATATATTTTATACTGTAAGTACAAGATATATACTAGAGAATCTTGATTGGATGGTGAAAACCAACGTATATTAAGCTTGCAACTAAAACAAATTAAAACCAAGAAAAGATGAAAAAGGTAAAATAACATTTAATTTGACAAGAAAAGGGTAAATCTAACACCGGAAGGAAAATTTAAAATATTAAATAAAATATTAGATTACATTTAAAAAAAAAAAAGATAGAACGAGACTATTAATTTTTATATAATATTTGTTTTCTCCAATAATTTTTAGATCTTATTGATTAGGATAACTATCGTATGATCACGTGATAATTCTTTTTGCCGCACTTGTCTTATATATATATATATAACTTTCTTTTCATATCCATCTAAAATTTAATTAGATATTGTTTGTATGTAGAAGTAGCTTTCATTAGCGATTAGGAAATTGAAAACGACTTCATAAAAATAATAATACTGTTTTTATTTGAAGTAACACGATGATCCGTTATTATATGATAAATCTGTGCAGTAAGCCAAAGCAAATCGAGGGCATATAACTAGTATAATAATAAAACAGATACCGTTAAATATATAATATATTTTATTATTTTCATCAATTTTTATTATTATAAATCATTACAAATTCTTATATATGATTATTCCTGTCTGGTTACTAATTTGATGTAATGATAATGTGTTGATAATTTATAATAAAAATTTTGATGAGAAAAACAAAATATTTGATAAATTTATCAATATCCTAGTAAAATAAATGTAATTCTAAAGGAGTTTTATGGGTAAGATACCTAGATTGCTTATATGTCAATATATTTAAATTTCAACCAATAGCTAGTGTTTTGCCTGCACTTTACATGCATGCAAGGTTTTTTTATATTGTTAAAAACAAATATGCATTTTATTTTCAATTTAACAAATAATCGTATATCGTACTTCTATTTATTATTTTCATATATATATATATATATATATATATATATATATATATTTAGATACTCGAATAAACATCTAAAACTATCGAAATTGGCTTATATTGGATTATTAACAACCCTATTAATAATACATAATTAATTTCCAATTAAATATTTTGTTAAACACTAAAACATCTAGAATATTCATTATTCATTTGAATAGTGAATGAATAATGAATTTTGCATTTTACCCAACCTCGTTTGCTGTTCATTTGAACAGAAAAAAACATTTTTGTTTGTTAACGCCAAGCCCATTTCCAATTAAATATATTAACTATTTAAATAATATACAAACTTTATGCAATTTGGGGGCTCTAAGAAAAGTAGATGTAAGAAAAAAAAAAAAAAAAAAGAAGGTGACTTGTAATAAATATATGAGTTTTTTTTTTTTTTCCGTATGCTAATGGAACACTGTTTCTTCTATAACTAAATTGTTCTTTTAATTATACATATTTATTACAGAATTATTCTTTTTAACTATATATATTTCATTGTGAGGAATAAAAAATGACATTATTTTATATCAACATATAAATAAAAATGAAAACATATAAAATTAATCTTAATACTCTTTTACTATTAGAACACTTCTCATCTTTTCTCTAACAAAACTCATGTTATGCTTTTCAGAATATATTAGAATTGCAAAACCCAATAAATTGAAAATTAAATCAAGGAGAGCGCTAGCCTTGCATGGAAAGTTCAGAGTTAAAGGAAGGAGATTTTCCACCGCTAGATATGCTTTTGTTTTTCTGTTAAAGTCTTCCTTCGATGAAAGTCCTGAATCTCAAGAGGCTATTTTTGTATTTGTGTGCGAGGGAGAGAAATTGAAGGGGAAAAGAAATTTACTTGGGTTTCTTATTAAATGATCATCTCATCTAAAAGCTTAAGTCGATAGGTGAGGCCTCGAATATAGTTTATAACACACCCCCTCAAGTAAAAGCCTCAACATTTTAGCTTGAAACTTGCACATGTCTATATTACCTCGTGCTTAATACTTGAGAAATTGAAGACGGTGAAACTTAAACTCGGAGCCTCTTGGTCAACCAAGCTCGATACCATATTAAAGGACCATCTCACCTAAAAGCTTAAACCGATAAGTGAGACACCTGAATATAATTTATAATAGTCTCTAACATTGCTTCTGGCTTTTTCATATTTTAATTTTAATAGTTATTGCTTGAAGACCATTGGAGTTCAGTATCTCCTAAAAACTCCGATTAGATGTTACTTTCCTTAGGTGATCCATTTGTAATTTTTAAGGCTTTGTGTTCCTTTTAGTTAAGAAAAAAAGAAAGAAAGAGACAGAGAGAGTTTTCAACACTCATTGTCAGAGAAAAAGTTGAGAAGAAGTATGAACAAATCGAAAGCACAACCAAATTATGACAATGACAAATAATACATGTGCCAAATGATACAATTTAATTAGAGTAAATTATTGTTTGATCCTTGTGTTCCTGATGAAATAATTAGTTAATCACTTTGTTTTTAAAAACCTAATATTAATTAAGTCCGTCTGCTTTTAATTTGATTGTAATTTGGTCTTTGTGCTTGTTTTTTTATCAGAATTAAATTATTTATCTATTAAAAAAATAAGTCATAAATCCTATATTTTGCTTAGAGAACTTGTTGAATTGAAAAGGTCAGTCAGACTATATTTTAAAATAATTTAAATGATGAATAAATTTTAAAAGGAAATTATAGTTTTTTATATGGTCAAATGGTATCATCAGACTAAAATTTCACACGTCAGAAATAATTTTTTTTATTTTTTATTTTTTTGTCTCTTTAGTCTGATAAAAGATGGACATTCATAATGGAACCAAGAACACTTATAATAAGGATTTTATTTCTCATCATTTGACATGCAATTTAAACCCTCTTAATTAATAGAAAAAGAAAGCATACCCGATGAGGCCAACCTTTGTCATGAAAAAAGGAAAAGAAAATCGAATGAAATGAAATTAGGGGAATTTATTGAATGGGTTAAAATCCTATTGGAAAACTCAAGATCATAAAAACTTTATTATAAACCAAAAAATTCAAAGTAATATAGTAAATTATTGAGTGGGTTATTCAAGCCTACTTTGACATGAAAAGAGGAAGTAACCGAAACACGTTTTGTATCTATGTTGTTACAAGAACTCGACATCCTTGTCTATATCTGCAATATTTAATTACATGCACAGATTCCATTCATATCATAACAACGTCTACAAGAAGTTGTACAAACTGGAAGTCAATGAATGGCCTGCCCTAAAATTTTTATTATTTTTTGCTTTGACGTTTAGGGTTTTTATTTTATTTTTTATTATTATTTTTTTTTAACATAGATAAGATCCTGCAATGCACAATTAGTAATTAAATAGCCATTTATTAATAACATTAGCAATTAATAGTTAACAAAATAAAAGAAGAGATCTAGTCGTATATATTAACACAACAGTTTGGGTATTCTTGAAACAATTTTTAACGACTAGGTTAAATCTCTCTCGGATATTTTTATTAACAGAAATAATTGATAAATTCTTGAACACGACAAAAAACTCAGATGACAAGATAATCAGAAAGCTAATAGACAAGAGACGATTGAGATATCAGAAAGCTACATGTTCTTTGACATATCTCTCATCATACATTTCAATCAGAAAGCTACATGTTCTTTGACGTATATATCTCTCTCCATACATTCATATCTTTAATCGTATTTTTTACGCCTGAATTATTGGAGTTGTGATAAAAGGAGATATGTATTGTTAATTTTGTTCTTGAATTATTATATTTTTTTTGGGAAATATTGTCCCTCGTTTGATTTAATCGTTATTATTGATAAAAAAAATCCCTTAAAATATAACCTTTTAGCTGAAATCTTCATATATACTAATAAAAATTCAATCCACTGTAAAAAAATAATTTCAAAATTTTTAAGGTGGGAAAGGATTTTTTTATTTTCTAAACAATAAAAATTTAATAAATTATGAAAAATAAAAATTAAGCTGGAATTATGCCAATTTTTTGTTGGTATCCATAAGGAAGTAATTTGAATTTGCATAGGTAATTTTAGTGAGGTTCACAATTTTTTTTCTTTGCATATGTGGTTCTTAAAACTAACATATTCTAAGTTTGATTAGTTATTACACATTCGACCATGTAAATATTTTAAAAATAATGCTACTACTAAGCAGATAAATTTATATGATTGTTTGAGGGTCCTGAAAAAGATTTAAAATCATTATAAATTATTTTCTATTTTTTGCAACTTTGATAATATTTAATGTTTAAGAAAAATTAAAAAAAATGTTTCTTGATCTCAAAATTTTCAAATTATTTTTAAAATATATTGGATGTTTATTAGCATATATGAAAATTTTCAGCTCAAAATGCTAAAAAATGAATTTTGTGAATAATAATAATTAAATTGAACAGAGAAATAATATCTACTAAAAATACTATAATATAAGGACAAAATTGACCAGATCGATAATATAGACTTTAGTTTGACATAGCCCCAATAATTCAGGGACAAAAATGTGATTAAGCCTGAATTCATATATAAACAAGAAACATGCACATATTGCCCCTAGCTAGCTTTTCCCTAACTGGCAACCGAATTTCAGCGTCCTACATATTTGGCAAGAATATCACTGAACTACACATCTTTTATAAAATCAGATAAATTGTAGTTGCTGCAACATACTATTTAATTTTGTTGCATTTATCTATAAAAAAACTCAATTGTGTATTGAGCCATGAATATAGCCTGTAGGAATTATACTCTCTGCACCAGCACCTCTGATGAAATTCATCTTTCATTCGATGATCTAGACTTTGAAGTCCAATACTTCTCAATCTCCTCGGCTGTTCTTCCTGGTATTCTTCCAGCAATTAATGACCACCTGCATGCACGTAATCACGTTAGAAAATAATATAAATCATATTTTAGGATTTTTTTTAAGAGTTTAAATTTTCAAGTTAAGATAACTTTTAATTTTGACATGATCAAACGGTGATAAAAATTATATCTTGGATTTTACCTTTCCAAAAGGTTAAAATGATTTTTTGACAACTACTGTCTAAAGAACATCAAAATTGTTATACTACAACCATCAGTATGTAACGGATGATACAGAACCTTTGTCCAACCAAGCTAAACATTCTAGCAATGAGATCCTCTTCATCTTCAGAGAAATCTTGCAGGTTGGAATCTTGATTACTCTTTGCATCTGAAACAAAAAAAAAACCATGTCAGAGAACAAGGAAAAAGAGAAAATAAAAGGCTGAGGCAAGAGTCTTGATTGGAAGTTGAAACAGAAAAGAAAGGTGACCTTTAGTGTCTTGATTTCTGTTATTTGAGGTATGACCCGAGTCTGCCATTTTCTTACCAGAAGAGATCTTTGCAAGTCGTGAAGGGGGTAGGAGAAGAGCATGTAAGAGGTGAATTTATAGGGTCAGAAGGATCACTCGGTTGTTGGAACTGTTGAAAGAAGACTGGTAGCTTTCAACTTGGATAATTTGTTGCGATAAATCATTGTTGGTTGGCTTGTCCTTTTGCGTTGTGTCTCAAATACAATAAACATAAAGCAATCTAATGAGTTATCCTTTTGTTTTTATTGATGAAGCATGCGAACCTGACCTGGTCACTTTCAATGTACCTCCATCATTATTATCTGTAAATCATTCAGCCCGATAGTGTCCTTTGGTATTTTTTTGACCAGTTCCTTTCAATTTTATTATCTTACAGCTTGATCTCTTCGGGGACAGTCCATAATGTTCTTCCCTGTCCACCTTATACTTTATTATATTATTTTAACAGTCCCATGATGAATCATCTTTGGAGACCCAAAATCTTTTAACTACCTTAATTATGGTGAATATGCTAGCCATGAAAGCCTTTTTTTTTTTTTTTTTACTGTGGCAGTAGACGACATAAATTTCTAGTAGACTTAAAAAATCCACCTCTTATAATCGATTTTAGATTAAGCGTAATCTAACACTAACTTTAGATTAGACGTGATTCAATACTGATCTAATCTAAAAAAATAAGAAATTAGTCTCTATAAAAGTAAAAACTAATCTAAAAATACCTTATTACCTATAATATAAAAAAACAAATACAAAACCAATGATCTTTAACTACAAATGATTTATTATTTATGTTTTGTTTAATTGGAATTATATATGGGATTAACAAGGATCATGGCTAGCATATTCAATTTGAAGATGCTCCAATTGACCAAACTATCTCTAGATAACCTTCCATGTAGATCTTAGTGATTGGCTAGAATCATTGGTGATAGAAATTGTTTCAATTTCCAAAAGCCAGAATTATTTGAAAGTTGAAACTACTATTTGTGAAATAGACTAGCAATTGCATAAAGAAGTCATGTTAAAATATCTGGCTACTATGATTGTTACATATGCTAAATAATCAAATATGCAACTTTTTCTTACATTTTGGAGTGGATGAATTAAAAGAGAAGAGGATTGGCGTCCATTCCTAGGAAGTGTCTCCAACACTGTCACTCTACCATGAATCTCCAATATATTTCCTTTTTTTTTTTCCCCTTTTTTATAAATAAAATATTTTCCCTTTATTTGTGAGCTTGGGATCTCAACTGAGTGTCCAAAGCGTGGAGGAGGGTAAAATATGTCAAAAATTCTTGTACTATCGGTCAAAATACAAATATTTTATGAACGAATTATTAAACACAAACAATCCTTAAAATAATAATAATAATAATAAAGAGTAAAATCGGGTCTTTTTATTCAATAAAAGTAAGTTTACATTCAATTTGTGCTAAGTGAAATCACGTAATTAACAAGTACGTGACCCTCCGTCTCATAATATATAGAAGGATACAGTTTGTGTTGAATAATTTGTTTAGAAATTATTTTCTCTTTGACTAATAGAATAGGAGATCCTTGCACATTTTATCCTAAAAATAATTAGATCGATAGAACCTAACTTCTCTTCACAAAAAGATGAGATCTTATCCTCAATTTAAAAGATGAGATCTTATCCTCAATTTTATTAAGAGACTCTTTGCATCGAATAATTTGTTTAGAGACTATTTTCGCTTTGACAAATTAATAGTACCTACCATGCCTCAAAAATTTTACCTTTTTTTTTAATTTCCATTGTTTATTTTGAGTCCATAAGAGTAAGAGTCTTATCACTATTTGGCCAATCTCCAAAAAAAAAAAAAAAAGCAATGAGCAACAAATTAATTAACTGCAGAGGAAAATTTTTTTAGCTTATAGTGAATACACCTCAAAGGCAATTTTAGCCTAGTTAATATGACAAGCTCACATGCTTTTTTGTGGATGAGCCTTCATCAGAGGATGAGCTTTATCTCTATAGGATGGATCTCCAAAAATAAAAAATAAATAAAGAAGCAATTATAAACAATTGAACATGAGGATGAGCATAGGAAAATGACTTTTCCTATATAATGGACCATGCTACAAAAGCAATTTCAACCACAGATAAAGTATCTCCCATGGGCCCACTGGCCTTTTACGTATCTCAAACCCACGTCTAGAAAAAGATCCAAGGTGTTTAAATATATACATGATATTTAAGTCACAAGAAATAATTAGATATTGAAGGTGTTTTTTTAATTTTATTGTTAATTTATATGGTGTAAAAATCTGTGTGATTATTAGAATAAGAGTCTTTTTTAATCAAAATTTCAACTAATAAAGCAACATGTTTTTTCTTCAAATTAACAAGAAAATAAAATTTGATTTTCCGTGTAAAAAAAATTGATTAACTATAGTTTGTATATGATAATTTTAATTAGTCTAAAATATCCACAATAATAGAAAGCAGATTAAAATCTTGAAACCGTATTTGTTTGAAGAAATTAAACTTTATCAGTCTCATTTTGAACATAATCAATGTTGTTTCTAACGTGAGATGTAAATATTTTAAAAAAAATGATTGAGAAGTATTTTTTTATTAAAAAAAAAAACACAATAGAGAAAAATTAGTTTTGTTTTAGTTATAAAGAAGAGGTTGGAATCTAAAATCTCTTAGAGAGAAGGGGATATAGGGTACTAAGTGAACTACAAACTCAATATTGGTAAAGACAAAGTCAAGTTAGTAGTGAACAAACCCGTGAAGTATACACAGAAAATGTGTTGAGTAAAGCCACAACATATGAATCTAAAAACAAATTCAGCAAATCTCCATCATCCAAATCTTATATAAACAAATGCTAAACAGCACTGTGTGACCCTTATTGTCTCTCATCGTCCTTAGAATTTAGCAAGGAAAGAAGGGGATAAAGAGAAGAACAAAAAAGACATTACTATATTTGTAGGCCACAATACTTGAGATTTATCTCTCATTGCCTAGCGTTGGATGATTTTAGATGCTAGAAGATAGTGTAATCCTTGTTCTGTAAAACGTATAAGACGAGAATAACTACTCCAAGAATTTTTTATATATATAAAGATTTGAATTTAAGACTATTTACTTAAGTGATTAGAGTCTATTTTATTTAAGCCAATCTTCTTTGGTTGCTAGAAGACTCTTTGACTCGTCATACAAAAGAACAAGAAGAGATTTTTAAGGGTGGGATCAAACTCCGGAACTTGTGAGTAGGAAATACTTTTCTTACCGTCTCAGGTGCAAACCTCGATATATTTTTTGTGGTAATATGTTATATAAGAAACGATGGTTATTGGTGCTTGATGCATTATCATTTTCAACCATATCCAATGACTTCTTTCATTAGTAAAGCTATGAGACAGAACGGAGTGGGTATTTGACACACCTGCCTTTCCTCCAGATTACGATAACAATCGTCCATAACTGCAATCACCATGGCAAAAATATTTCCACTTCCCAACCATCCTTCAAACCCCAATGCATCTAAACCCATCTTCCACCTGCACATCAACCTTTAGGTACCCCCCTGCCATGCATTACTCCTTTAACCCATGCCCACCATTTTATTTCTTAAAAACTAACTAATACAAACTTCCTCTTCTAGCCTCTTCAGACGAGGCCATCGAGAATGGTCAAGGGCTTATAGGTTACGTTGATGGTCGTAACTCGTGCCCTCCCTCTCATATTATTTCCCAAGAAATTGGTCGACTTCCTCAACCTAACCCACTCTACACTGCATGGCTGCAACAAGACCAACTTCTGATCGATGAGCACTTTGATAGCCTCTTTGTTTTGTTTTGATTTTTTTTTAAAATTCAATCAATAATATATTAAAATGGAAAGAGCCAACAAGAAAGTAGGTAAAAGATGTGTTCAGAATACAAAGAAAATAGACAATTTAAAAGGCATCTGGTAAAAAATAAAGGTGACCGTACGTGGAAGAGGAAGAAATCAACGCACGCGTGGGAGAGGCAGAAACTATACATGGACAAGACAAAAGGCCGAATTGGTCTCACCATACTTATGGGCCTGACAATAAGACTCGTAGTCAAATGTGCAACGCCTGGAACCATACTGCACCAAACTGTCGGCTAAGGTACATACATACCATTAACCCATCTGCAAACATGGCCCTGTTCTCAGCAAATCAGTCTCCAGTGGATCCATATGCTTGGTGGCCAGACGCAAGTGCAACACATACTACACAAAAATACTATTTATCACTATTTTTTAACTTTATATATCATTCATTATTATGTTAATTATTTAATATATCTCAGAAAATAATTTATATTATTCTAATATGTCATTTCAAGTAAAAATCCTTTGAGCTTAAAACTTATACATGTCCATATTACCTTACCTTATGATTAATTAATTAGAAGAGAAAATAAGATAATAGGATTCGAACTCATGACCGTTTAGTAATCAAGGTTCCGATACTATATTAAAGAATTATCGATCTCACTTAAAAATGTAAGCTCATATAAGGACTCATGATGTGATTTATATTATTCTAACACGTAGAGATAGTTATAACCGTCTCTACAAAATCTAGCAACGTTGCATTAAATGTCTTAAAACCACATGTATTGGCACCCTCTAGCCCTTGCTGCAATTTTTCCATGTTGGCAATAGTGAATTTCTCACCATGTTGAGCATGTTGGAAATGCACATATTCATATAACCACTCGAAACTTAAAACTTTAGACGTATAACTTGAGAAAAAAAAATCACCAACTCTTCTCCTTACTATTTATGAGTTTTATTAAATAACAAGAAAAAAAAACTTTAATTATTTGCCCATAACAAGGCTGATTAACTATAATTTGTATTTGATAATTTTAGTATGAAAAAAGAAGAAGCAAGAGTAGAAAATAAAAGCCTTAATTCAAAATTTGATGTAAGAGAGATTTTGTGAAAATAAATAAATAAATAAAAATGGTTGAGAAATATTTTTGAAAAAGAAAAAAACTCTTTGACTACTTACAAAATTCCATTGAATTTTGAATATTTCTCATATAATAATTAAAAACTAGTCTTAATATTGTAAAGATTGCTACGTAAAAATTTTGTAAAATCAAATGCTATACTTAAAATTGTGTTGATATACAACAATATTATAAAAAACTTCTAGTAATTTATCAAATAAAAAGGAATAATAGTTAATAAGAAACAAAGAAAAAAATATATCGAATTAATAAAAAGTCATCACCAATGGCTCAATAGTCAAAGATTTTTTTTTTTTTATAGAAAAAAGTACTTTCATTAATACTAATTATATTATAATATCATTATAATTTCTATATGACTAAAACAAAAATAACGAATATGAAAATTGAATTTGATCAAATGAAAACTGATTCGATAACTAAAACACAGTAGCTATTGAAATTTCGAGTAGCATATCATCTTCTTCATTTTAGGGACTTTCTAGTAAATTCTCTAAAGTTTTTCTTTCTAGGATGCCCATAATAAACTTTTTCTTTCTAAATTGCCCATAATTAAACTCTTTCTTGTTTTATTTAAATAAAATAAACAGTTTCGGATCTCAAAAACCATCACTTCTCATTATTTTTTGAAACATAAACTAATATAGTTTTAACCTGATTTTATTAAATCAGCCTTCAACTCTCAAAAGTTAAGTAGATTAAAAATAAAATTCCTTCTCAAATATTTTTTTGGTACTTTTAATTGTTTGGGTAGCAAAGCACTAGAATTTAGAAAAACAGGGACCGAAAAAGCTCAAAGGTCAACCACTCCATATTTCTATAAAAAAACAAAACATAGGTCAAGAAGAGTTAAGGGACTAAATTTTATAGTTTCAAACATAAGGAACGAATTGTATTTATGATAAACTTAAGGGACTAAAGAATAATTTATCCATTCATTCCAGAAAGAAACAAGCAGTCCGTCCCTTCCTTTTTCCTGAATCATGCACGACACAAAATTTTCTGACAGAGCGACTCCCAAAAATTTCACCATTCCTCAATAAAATCACAACTTCTCTGACAAATACAAAGATTCAAGCTTTCTTCCTTCGTCCTCACCTCCACTACTTCTCTCTGTTTGTACAATATCGATTTCTCCCATTTTACACACCACTCTGTTTCCAGGTAACAATGTTTTTTTCACTGTCTTCTCTCTCACAATTTGTGGGTTTTAGGGTTTTTGTGAAATCAATTTTTTGAATTCGACAATGGTAACTCTCGTTTGTTTCCTTCCTCCTCAACTTTCGTGTGTTTGTGTTTTTTTTTTTTTTTTTTAATTTGCAGTAATTATGCTGTTTTATTGATTTAGGGTTTTTTTTATGCTTGATTATGCTAGGAAATCAATTTTTGTCATCCGTTGTAATTATTGCTGAATTTCAAGTACCAAATGTAAAATTATTGTGCTTTCCATTACTTTTTATTGAGAAATTGGATAAATTTATGATAATGAGTGTTTATTGATTTTGGGTTTTCGATGTGAATAGGTTTTTGAGCTACAAGTTACTGTCTTGGATTTGGTTTTGAATTTTTCGTTAAAGTTAAGAAGTGTTGGCTGTTAGTGGGAATGGATTCGATTGAGGTAGAGGGGAGTGCTTCGAAACTGGAGGAGAATGAGAATGACGAAGAGGATGAGGAGGAAGATATGGATTTTAATCCGTTTTTGAAGGGAACACCTTCGCCTGAGGCGTCATCGAGTTTGAGTTCTGAAGTTGAAGGTTTGGAGGAGGGTGCGAAGGATGTGAGGAGTGAGGCGCAAAATAATGATGTTGGAGATTTGAATGATGGTAAGGAGGTTGTTGTGGCAAGTGGAGTGGAAAGTGAAAAGGAAGTGGAGAATAGTGGTGATAGGTGGGGTAAGAAGAGGAAATCGGGTTCTGGGTCGAATGTGGAAGATGGGAATGAGAGAGAAAAGGTGAGTGGGGTGAGTAAGGTTGTGTTGGATGCTGATGATGATGAGGATGCTATTTGTAAGAGGACGAGGGCTCGTTACTCACTTACAAGTTTTACGCTTGATGAGTTAGAGACGTTTCTTCAAGAGAGTGATGATGAGGATGATCTCCCTAACGTTGATGATGAGGTAGAGTATAGGAAGTTTCTTGCGGCTGTTTTGCTTGGTGGAGATGGTGACGGGCAGTCTAACCAAGAGAATGAAAATGGTGATGATGAAGATGAGGATAATGATGCAGATTTTGAGATTGAACTTGAAGAGTTGCTTGACAGTGATGTTGATGATGGTGCAAGGGATGAGGTTCCAGGAGTCAAGTATGAGAGAGGTGGACGAAGGCCGGAGACTAGGCAAAAAAGCGTCAAAAGGCTTCTGCTCAATATAAGAAGAAGCTTTTAGAACAGTCAAAAAGGCCATTGCGCCCTCTTTTACCAGTTTTGCCTAATGCATTTGCCCCTCCTTTTCCTGCTGTCAATGAGAAAGCTTTGGCACCCAAAATTGCTCCTAGCTATTCGTCCTCTGCAGAAGAGGGTGGTTTAATAAATGGGTTTACTCCACAGCAAATAGCCCAGTTGCATTGTTTGATACATGAACATGTTCAGCTACTTATTCAAGTATTCTCTCTTTGCATTCTCGATTCTTCCCGGCAACACCTTGCCTCTCAGGCTCAGGGATTGATTTTTGAAATGCTTCACAAACGTGATAGTGTAATAGCATGCAAAACTGTTCCATATCCTGGTATTTGCTTTCGTCCTCCATATATATGCTCATCAGGGTCAGATGAACTACCCAACATTCAGCCAGCACAATGCACCTTTGAGTCACCTCCTGCTCTAAACTTGCAGGTGTCAGTCTCCCAAAATATCCCTTTTCCACGAAGAAGAGATGAGCATGATTTTAATGAGCAAATGAATTCTTCACAGATTACTGGCTCTTTATGGATGCCTTTCATAAATGGTCCAATAGTATCAATTCTGGATGTAGCTCCACTTAAATTAGTTGGAAGATATATGGATGATGTTTATAATGGTATGTAGCTCTCCTGCAATTGTTTTCTTGTTGCTTCATTTAAACTATATATGCTTTGCCTGTTATTTATTTTGATTAATTTTGGCAGCTGTCCAGGAGTATCGGCAGCGTTTTCTGAATTCAAGTTCTGAAACATGGAATGAAAAGGAACCACTCTTCTACCTTCCTTGTTCTCCGTTATTAGGTGAGGCTAATGGTGAAGTTATGAGAGGAAACATCCCCCCTGCTCCCAATACAGTACCATCCTCACCTGGTCAACAACCACCCAAGAAGACATTGGCTGCTTCCATTGTTGAAAGCACCAAGAAGCAATCAATTGCATTAGTCCCAAAGGATATTAGCAAGTTAGCTCAGCGATTTCTTCCACTGTTCAATCCAGTGCTATTTCCACATAAACCACCCCCTGCTGCTGTTGCAAATCGGGTCCTTTTTACTGTTTCAGAGGATGAGTGAGTGGAATGTTCCCTTCAGTTTCTTTCAACCCATTGAACTGAATAACTTTACTGTGTCTTGGTGCATTATCTTCCAAAGTTTCCTTATGATTTTTTTTTTTTTTAAGAAAACAACATAAAGTTTTGAGTATTCAAACTATCAACAGGCAATGCATTCATATTGATGGCTGATTATATTTTCTACTAAGCTTATAGAATTTTGGAGGTTTAAGAGTCTGTTTATGCATAAGATTTCAGGGAAAGAAAACCCTTCAACACCAAGATTTGTCATCAATTTGTTCAAAGCATTTACTGAATCATAGCTCTTTGAAAAACTAGAAGTGTTGAATCATCAATTTTGTAATCCACTATTATCTTGTTCGCTGTTCATTACTACCATTACCGTTTAAATTTGTAGCTTTCAGTTATGACTAGGAAGATAGGATTGCCAAGGTTCAACATTTTAATGGATTTTGATGCAGACTATTGGCACTGGGGATTATGGAGTATAATACAGATTGGAAGGCGATTCAAGAACGCTTTCTTCCTTGCAAATCTAAGCATCAGGTAATTTTCATCATAGACTTCTATTGTAAACACAAATGCTTCTGGTAGCTGCTGGCAAATTTAAACTATAAACTTGTGCCATTTTCATACCTATTACTCGAGCACTTTATGCTAATGAAAATAGGGGTTTCATATCTTTTGGTCAGTACTAGGTAACTCCTACATATCTTTTTTTTTTTTTTTTGGTATGTTTCTGATCTATACACTTGTATCTGCGTTTGAAAGGAGACTGGGGAACATTGTCTAATACAGTGGTAAAAGGTTAGGCTGTTGCTAAAAAAAAAAAAAAGGGTGATTGAGTGGCTAGCTTCTATTAAGATTGTTATAAATTCTGATTCAATATATGTTATTTGTTTCTCATTACAGCTATGAACTGACTATTTTGTTGCCTTCTATGTATATGTGACATACTGTTTTATGGGGTTCTTATAATCACTTCCGTGTGTTTAGCTGTTTTCCCATTCTGCTATGCGAGTTGGTCAATGGTTTCTGTAGCTTTTACGTTTCTCTTGGTGATAAAGAGTTGTGTTGCTATTCTCTGTCTGTCTTTAATATTCTGATGTTCAGAGTCAATATCACATTTACAGTTGTCTTATTTAGTATTATTATGACACTTGAACAACATATGCTGCTTTTTTGCAGATTTTTGTTAGGCAGAAAAATCGTTGTTCATCTAAGGCACCAGAAAATCCTATAAAGGTATATGCAGGAACCCAGGCCTATGAGTGATAGTTCTTAGTTATATCTCTGTTCGTTTAAGAACCTTAACCCAATTGAATTTGAAACACAATAATGGATATAGACCAGATTAAAACAAAACTTAATTGGGTGTGTATATTTTAAATTGAACTGAATTGAATATTAAAGAAGAGAACAAACCGAAGTCTACTGTTTAGACTGGTTTGGTTCAGTTTGATGCTTACTTTCTGAATGTATCCTCATTACCTCTGGTTAGTGAAAATTTAATATTTCTACTTTTTGCAGGCAGTTCGGAGAATGAAAACTTCCCCATTGACTGCAGAAGAGACAGAACGCATTCAGGAGGTAATATCATCCTGAATGTTTTGCATGTTTTTTTCAGATTACCAACATTTGGATTGTGGCTGTCTGATTTTTAATGTAACCTCACTTGCTCCAGGGACTCAGGGTTTACAAACTTGATTGGTTGTCAGTATGGAAATCCATTGTTCCACATAGGGATCCATCTTTGTTACCTCGGCAATTGCGAATTGCCCTTGGGACTCAGAAGTCATATAAGCAAGATGCTGCTAAAAAGGAGAAAAGACGGGTATCTGAAGCAAAGAAACGGTATAAAACCACAGAGTTAGTAAATTGGAAACCGGCATCTGACAAGGAGGTATGCTATTATTCTGGATCAACAACATCTTGCCTTGTTACTCAATATCCATATGATTTAGCTACTTTTGTTAATGAGTTTTGATTCTACAATGACTCTGAAAATCTCAAGACATTCGGTGCCATGTCAATTTTTCCTGAGCATGTGTGCTATATAATCCACTTGTGTCAAGCTGGCATCCTTGCTGCACAGTTTCATCAAGTTAAAGGGCTCAGCGGGGCTTGGTTCATAAGTTTATAATTTAGCTGAGCTTGGGCAGTTTTATGTGTTACCTAACGTCATAGGTTCTATGGCTGGCTGCAGGACAATCAGGCTGACAGAACTGGTGGAGGAAATAGCAGTGGAGATGATTGTATTGATAATGCAAATGAAGCTTATGTTCATCAAGCATTTTTATCGGATTGGAGACCAGGTCCCTCGAGTCTCATTTCCAGTGATACACTGTTAAGAGAGGATTCAAACACCAGAGAGCATCCAAACAATCGTAGGCCTGGGGAAGCTCAACTCTGGATTGATAACATGAATGGGTTTCCTTATGGATCCGGTTCTCATCAGTGTCCTCTTACTCATGTTAAAACCTCTCCTCCTAATACTGTGCTACCAAACCATCAAATTTCTAATAGGTCACTGAATACCTCCAAGTCCCAAATCCATTTGCGGCCATACCGGAGTCGTAAAACTGATGGTTTGCGCTTAGTGAGATTGGCACCAGATTTACCCCCTGTGAATCTTCCACGGTCTGTTCGTATAATTTCTCAGTCAGCTTTCAAAAACAACCAATGTGGATCATCTATCAAAGTATCTGCCTCAGGAAGTCGGACTGGGGATGCTAGAAGAGACAATATAGCTTATCAGCTTCCACATGTTGGAAATTTGAGATCCTCTAGTGTAGTAGATACAAGAAGGGATAAGAGTAACCAAGCAACAGACAATGTCACAGATTCACACCCAGAAGAACCTGCAGTTGTTCACAATGCAATTATTGTTGATGGAAGAGGCACTGATTCCGACCTTCAGATGCATCCTTTACTGTTCCAGGCCCCAGAAGGTGGCCGTCTGCCATATCTCCCTTTGGGCTGCAACAATGGTACATCTAGTTCTTTTAGTTTCTTTTCAGGGAATCAACCCCAGTTGAATCTTAGTCTCCTTCATAATCCCCACCAAGCAAACCATGTTGTTGGTAGTTTTACTAAATCTTTGAAGAGTAAGGATTCTACTTCAGCATCATGCAGTATTGACTTCCATCCACTTCTGCAAACTGATGAGGAAAATAGCAACTTGGTGATGGCAAGCTCGAATCCAAACCAATTTGTTTGTTTGAGAGGTGAATCTACTCAATTACAAAATCATTTTGATGCAGTCCAGAATAAATCATCTGTCAATCAAGGGCCATTTACTGTTGACCCTGAGCAGTGTTGTTCTAATGAGAAAGCTAATAACCTGGACTTGGAGATCCATCTAAGTTCTAATTCTGTAAAGGAGATATCTCAGGGAGGTAGAGATGCTGGTGCAAATAATCAACCATGGTCAGCTCTGAGTGAACCAAAGTCTGGAAGGAGAATTGAAACTTGTAACATAAACAGCCCACATGATCAGCACACTGAACATTGCCCCACAGTTCATGGCAACCCAGTTTCAGGTCCTGATGCGTCACCTGTCCCAAGCAATAATGTCAGCTTATGCGACATGGATGATGGTGGCGACCAATCCCATCCAGAGATTGTTATGGAGCAAGAAGAGCTGAGTGACTCAGATGAAGAAATTGAAGAAAATGTAGAGTTTGAGTGTGAGGAGATGGCTGATTCTGATGGGGAGGAAGGTGCAGGCTGCAAACCTGTTGCTGAGCTGCAAGATAAGGTGCATTTGTTCTTTCCTTATTTTAATATTCTGCTGCCTTTGAGAGTGGAGAGGCTTGCATTTTTGCAGCTGAGTGCTTATACTTTTGTAGTTGATAGTAGACCTTATTATAAAACATAGTACCATCACTTAAATGCTTTCTGGAGCCCTTAATTAATCCTGTATTTGCCAAGGGGAACTCATAATCCTCTATCCATTGGATGAGAAGACCCCATGCGGGATCCACCAATTTTGCCCACTGCTCGGCTTCAGAGAACTCATTCGGCAAGTTTCTCACAACGAACATAGATTTATCCTAACTTTAAATGTTTACCATTTAGGCTGGCTGTGCAAACTTTTTTCATCATTCAACTCTTTCTAGGTCCTCTTGTTTTACCAACCAAGACATGATCTCACACCCACAAACTCGTTCACTGTTGTTGGAGTTGCCTTATTTCTCCTTTCTTCTTCATGTCTAGCTGCATCCTGTTGAGAATTTTTATTTCCTCAAGTTAACTTTTTCAGAAAATTAGGAATGCTTTATGCTTTATGCTGTAGCTCAATTTCACTGATGAAATTATATGAATGTACCTGTGGTCTAATATCGCTGATATTACTATTTTTCCTTGTTGACTGATGTCGCTGTGCTTCGGTTGTATTATAAAACTTCCTGTTTATTTACTCGTTAATAGGATGCCCAAAATTTTGCAATGGAAGAAGTTACTAATGCCGAGGATTATGGTGATCAACATTGTGAGTTGAGGAGCTCTGTTCATTCTCATGGCAAACCTTCTATCCTCCGAAAGGGCAGTCCTTTGTTAAATTTGAGTCTGACAAGCTTAGGGAAGGAGACTACAAATAGCTCTTGGTTAAGTTTAGATTCACATGCACCTGTTGACTCTTCAAGAATGAAGGTTATGCATGAAAAAGGTGTAATTAGTGAATGTCCTGCCGCAAAAAATTTATCTTCATGTCGTCCCAGTAGATTGTGCAAGAAGACAACACCGAGCACAAAAGTTGAAACACAAAAGGATGTTTCTGACATCGCACAGCAACTTAGTCTGGGTCCTTTAGCTGTTTCAACACTGAGGAAACCCAGGAAGCGTTCTTGCCGAACAAATACAAATTTGGGCACTCGAATAGCTGCTGAAAATAGTGGAACAAATGCAATTCGGGCACTGGAACAGCAACCGAAAATGGCAGATACGATCAAAGATAACTAGTTGATTGCTGCTTTTTCAATAATTTGCACTGTAAGTTGATGAGCCGCAGTTAACTATTTTTGTTCCTTGGAACTTGCTGACTAAACTGACAAGTGAGAATATGGTATCAAAGCTGACCTCAAGAGTGCAGATAATGTGATTGGCATCTACCATTTTTGCTAATCTCTGACCTCAGGAGTTGGGATTTTTTACACATGCTAACAAAGTTAAGAAGATTTTTCTTTTGACCCTTTCCATTTATTATGTAAATGTTTTCTGCTAATTAGCATGAGTAAATTAGGTTTAGATTGTGTTAATATCGAGGGTCATGAACAGACCATTTCATTTGTAAATTACCACATCCCAATTCAGGCGGAGAGAATATTGTGAAGGTTTGTGAAAGGGTAATGGCAAAGGTAATCATTTTGTAGCAAACCTGATCTATTAATTCGTGTGGCAACTTGTAAAATGTTATGCAATGTAATAGAGTTGCCCATTCCCTGAAATTTTACAACTTTAAATGTAGCTTAGAACTCTAGGATTTATTCCACACTTTGACAAGAACAATTTTGAGTAATTATAATTCTATTTTTCTTCATTTTTTGAATAACTGGTAGTTATATTACATGCTCTGGATTTATTTCAAGTTGTATTTTCTTATTCGAATGATAAATATTTATAATTTTAAATTTATACTTGTTTAAGCATTCAGATATTGCAATGTTTTTTGACATAAGATATCTCTATCATTTCTCTTTCATTCTCTTTGACTTCTTCTGAAATCATTTTAATTCTTATATTTAATATTTTTAGTTTTTCATAATTTCTCAACAATATTACATGATAAGTATGTAAATAACTTTGAAATATTTTCTCATTTTTAAAGTTTCTAGTAAATTTGGTGTTCAAGATAAATAACCACCTCATACATGTCTATTTGGGATTGGGATCCTCTCATAATCTATCATTTCTGTTTAATCTAAACCTTCTTTATAAAAATAAAAAAATAAATAAATAAAATTGAATGACAGATTTTATAGCTAATATTTTTTTAATTAAATGCCACAACTTAGCGATTTTCAATTATTATTGAATTACCAATATAATAATAATAATAATAATAATAATAACGGGAAAATATCTAAAAGCAAGCTTCTGTTTTTTGAACTCACCATATAATTTTATGGTGTTAGATAATCAAGGTAAAAGAAACAGTTCTTATACTTTCTTAATTAGACTTTAGTAAATAAGTAATAGTTTAATTTTTTTAACACATACTATTGAAAGAACAGCATGTGACCTGGTGGAAACGAAACGCCATGGTTAATCTATGTTGGTATTAATCTTTGTCTTTTTACCAAGAGTTGAAAGTAGGAATCATAGGAGACTATATTTGTTTATAAAAAAGAAAAGAAAAGAAAGTATTATATATTTTTTTAATAATAAACTATTATATTTAATATTTATTAATCTCAATCCTTTTAGGAGAGTTGAAAAAAGGAATTCACGAAAGAATTGAATTTTTTTTTAGGCTAAATAAATCAATATATCCCTGTATAATATTCAAAATCTTCATCCGTTTTTAAATTTTTAATTGTATTCATCTTTTTATATTTTTGAAATGTTCAATTTTTTTCCAATCAAATTTGTTATCATGAATAAAAATTTGACAAAAATGCTCTTTACCAAAAAAAAAAAAACACTTAAAAGTCATATGACCTACACGTTCTATTTTTTAAATTTTAAAAAAATTATTATTTTTTAATATTTTAATCAAGAATATTTCGGTTAAAAAAAATTCTATGGTGGGAAACATTGAGCAAAAACAGTAGATGGAATATTTTAAAAAAAATTAAAAAGAAAAAAATAAAAAGCATAGGAAATCTCTTCCATTCTCTTCGAAAAGGACAGAAACATGACTTGTTTCACATTTGGTACTGAGTCATATAGGTAAATACAAATAAAACACTATGGTCAATCCATGTTGGTATTAATCGTAATCTTTGTACGAGAGTTGAAATAGGAACCATAGGAGGCTATTTTGTTTATGAAAAAATAAAAAGTATTATTTTTTTAAAAGTAATTATCTATTATATTTAATATTTATTAATCTTAATCTTTTTGGGATATTTGAACAAACGAATCCACGAAAGATTTACTTTTTTTTAGGATAAATAAATCAATCTGTCTTTATATAATATTAAAGTTTCTAATCTATTTCTAAATTTTCAATCATATTTATTTATTTTTGAAAATTTTTGAAATATTCAATCTGTTTTTCAGATCAATTTTTTTTTATCATGAATAAAAATTTGATCGAAATACTGTTTATTAAAATAAAAAAAAATTAAGAATAGAGCCTATAGGTCATATGTCTATTCTTAATTTTTGTTTTATTTTTTACATTTCAATCAAGGATATTTTAATAAAAAAATTATATGAACAAAAAATTTGATCGAAATTAATCAAAAAGATAAATTAAATATTTTAAAAAATTTTAAAAATAGATAAAATGTAATTGAAAATCTAAAGACACATGGAACATTTTAGATAGTATATAAAAATAGATTGATCTATTTATCTTTTCTTAAAAAATAAAAATAAAAAACTAACAAAAGAATTCTCAGGAGACTCGGACTTTTTTTTTATTAATAAACTATTATAATTAATTTTACTTTTTCTTACATGTGGACTAATCAAAACAATTTTAATAAAAGGTGAAGTAGGAATTCAACTAAATGAAGCATCTTTTTTTGTCCTCAAAAAAAAAAAAAAAAAAAAAAAAAAAGAAGAAGAAGAAGAAGATGTGTTTAGGGTTCCATGGTGGAGGCCCATGAAGCAAGCTAAGCCAATGGCAATACTAGGCCTAGGCTTGACTTGATTTCTCTTTCAAACCGAAGCTATTCCCAAAGCTATGAACACTGTTAGCTGTCTGAAAGAAGAGCATGAAAGCAAAAGCAGAGCGCGACTCCCTGCCCTTTTTACAAATTTGCACAAAAGAAGTTTCAAAAGGTGTGATTTTTATCTCAACTCTCTTGCACTTCAAATGCCTTAGTTCTCTGTTGATGTTTTTCTGTTTTTGCGCAAAACCTATGTTTTTTTTTTTTTTTATAAAAAAAGTTAGGGAATAATAAGTTATAACAGATTAAGAGCAAACTTTATTGAAAAGATGTATCTTTTCCTTGCTAGAGAGAGAGAGAGCATAGCTGGTGTTGTACTTAGATATTTGTTTATTTGGTGAATTGGGTTGATATTGATATCGTTTAGTATGCTTTTGAGCTTTTGTTTATCAAAATTTGTTAATAAGAATGCATGTAAGTAGATAAAGGTTAAGTCTTTTATGATTAGCTGATATGGGTTCTCTCTTTTTTGGTTCTGTGTTGCAGTGACTAGATATATTTGCGATGAGTTGAGGGTTCAGCTTTCTATGTTTTTAAGCTCTTGTTTAATCAAAAGAAGGTGCTTCTTGAAACGTAGTTTTCATTTGGGTAACAGCTTTTTGAACCCAAGTTCTGATGATATTGTTTTCAGAGCTATTTGTGTTAATCTCAAACATAGGAGATGGAATTTCTTGGAACAAAATTTGCTGACTCTAACGAGTCCTTTAGTGAGTCGTGTTGTTTGCGCGTTTCAAAAGTCGCCTCAGTTAGCCCTGGAGTTTTACAATTGGGTTCGAGAGAAGAAGAGTGCTTTGCACTCGTTGGACTCTTCTTCCTGTGTAATTCATGTGTTAGTTAATTCGAGGAGATACGATGATGCCTTGTGTCTCATGGGGAGTTTGATGACTGTAAATGGCTTATCTCCTATGGAGGTTCTAGAAGCATTGAATAATAGTTATCGAATGTGTGAATCGAGTCCTGCTGTTTTTGATGCATTGATTCGTGCTTGTACTCAAATTGGGGCTACCGAAGGTGCTTATGAAGTGATCAAGAAGTTGCAAGTAGAGGATTGCTGGGTTACAATTCATGCTTGGAACAACTTTTTGAGCCATCTCTTAAAGTTCAATGAGATTGGTAGGTTTTGGATGGTGTATAAGGAAATGATTTCTTATGGATATATGGAGAACATATATACTTTCAATTTGGTTGCACATGCTCTTTGTAAGGATTATAAGTTACAAGAAGCAATGTCTCTGTTGTACCGAATCCTAAAGAGCGGTACTTGGCCTAATGTTGTTACTTTTAACATGATAGTAGATGGAGCTTGCAAGATGGGTGACATGGACCTTGCCTTGAAGTTCTTTAGGAAGGTGGAAATAATGTCTGCAGGTTCCATTAAGCCGAATTTGGTAACTTATAACAGTCTCATCAATGGGTTTTGCAAAATAGGGAGAATAACTTGGGCAGAAGAACTTAGGAATGAAATGATGAAAACGGATATTAAGCCTAATGTGAGGACCTATGCAACGATGATTGAGGGGTATTCACGAGCAGGGAGTTTGGAGGAGGCACTTAGGTTATGTGATGAAATGGTGGAAAGGGGATTGCTACCGAATTCTGTGGTGTACAACTCAATTATGCATTGGCTTTACATGGAAGGAGATGTGGGTGGCGCTTCTTTGGTATTCGCTGACATGACTGATAAGCAGATAACCCTTGATAAATTCACCTACTCCGTCCTCGCAAAGGGCCTTTGCAGAAATGGTTATATAACCAAAGCTCTTAAACTCCACAACCAGGTTCTAGAAAATAACCTCATTGAAGATGCATTTTCACACAATATTCTTATCAATTTCTTATGCAAAAGCAACAACATAACTGGAGTCAGGCAACTATTGGCCAGCATGTTTGTACGTGGCTTGGTTCCTGATGTTGTTACCTTTGGTACTTTGATTGATGGGCACTGCAAGGAAGGGAACATTGAAAGTGCAGTTCAGGTCTATGACAAAATGGTGAAGGCAGAGGAAAAACCCAACTTGTTAATATACAATTCTATTATAAATGGTTTCTGCAAGGATGAGTTGCTGGATGTTGCAAGAACTTTGGTAGATGCGTTACAGAGGAAGGGTTTAGTTGACACTGTAACTTATAACACCTTAATAAATGGATATTTCAACTGTGGAAAGGTTGACGAGGCATTTACGTTGTCTGCAGAAATGGGAAATGCAGGAATTGTAGCAAGCAGTGTCACTTACAACATGCTGATCAACTTTCTGTGTAAGCTTGGTCATATTCAAAAAGCAAAGGAGCTGATGAAGATGATGGTTCTACGGGGTGTGCTTCCCGATAATATAACATATACAACTCTTGTTACCAATGCCAGCAAGAATTGCGGCCCTGAAGAAGTAGTTGAATTGCATGACTACATGGTGCTTAAGGGAGTGGTTCCTGATAAACTAACCTATGAGTGCATTGTTAGCCCACTTCTTCAAGAAGAAAGTGTGGCCGCCTGATTTTTGGTGTTGATGTGTAAAGAGAAACTCCGGAGGCCAAAATTTCTGCTGCTACTTTAATTTCTGATAAGCTGCTACTGCCTTTTTGAGAAACTTCTTTGCTGGTGACTAATGGCTTCTTTGGCTCAAAACACCACCGCAACTTGGGTTAATAGTTGAAGTAGCTGCCTTAGCCACAGTTGGTTATCTTCTATTGAACATGCAGTGATAGAGTCAGGGCCACCAAGGTGTACAAGGAGGATTGCTGCCAAAAATGGCGGGACAAAGGTTTGGATTTGTTCCTGTGCCTCCTTTGGTTATGTGCAAGGATACCCAATGAAAAAGGAAAATTCCATAGCCAGATTGCAGCTACATGCTTTAGTTGATTTCCAAAGAAGAAGAGGAAAATTTGCTAAATGAGACTTGGCAAAATCAAGGCTCGAAGCTCCCATTCATTCCACAAATCTTTAGCAGGTTCATATCAATCATAAACATCCATCTCAATTTGTTCTCCTTCAATGTATGCCAGAAATTTTGAACTTTACCTAGACATTAATTAAATAGATTCTCAGTACCAAAAACTGCACTTTCTCTATTAAATTTTTATGAAGCTACCTATTTCCTGTCGAATTCACCCAAGTAAGTTTCATCAAAGGTTTCCCCCACATATATTTATTTATTTATTTATTTTTGGAAAAAAATGATCTTTTCTTCTTACTCGCAAAAGATCTTCGTTAAAAATCCTAAGCTATTTTTACCAGTTCAGGAGTATCCGTTACTACGTATTCCATCAACTTGAATTGAACTATATGTATTTATTGACAATCACATTAAAATTAAAATGTTTTAATTGATTTTAAAAAATAAAAACAATATATGAAAACAAAAAATTAATATCAATTTTAATATGTGATTGTGAATTAGTATATATAATTCAATATAAGTAGATTGTAGTACTTAGTGGTTGATAATTTTAGAGTATTAAAATTGCTATTTCCTATTTTATGCAAATCATGTGTATCTTGAATGATATATTCACAAAAAAATTGTCACTCAAATCTTCTTTCATTCACACCTAAAATCTTCTTTATGTTGATAAAGCTTCTGTTTTTACTATCGAGGATAAAAAAATTACAGGGCAAACATTAAATATTCCTCTAAATTATTAAGATAGTATCAATTTTGCATCCAGATTATTACCTTCATAGTATTTTGATTATTCTTATCAATTTCTTATGCAAAAGCAACAGTTTAGTCGGAGTCAGGCAACTGGTGGCCAGTATGTTTGTACGTCGCTTGGTTCCTGATGTTGTTACATTTGATACTTTGGTTGATGGGCTCTGCAAGGAAGTGAACATTGAAAGTGCAGTTCAGGTCTATGACAAAATGGTGGTGAAGGCAGAGGAAAAACCCCAACTTGTTAATATACAAATTCTATTATTAATGGTTCACGCAAGGATGATTTGGTGGATTTTGCAAGAACTTTGGCAGATGCCTTACAGGAGACGTGTTTAGTTGAGACAATAACTTATAACACCTTAAAATAAATGGATATTTCAACTGCAGAAAGCTTGACGAGGCATTTACGTTCTCTGCAGAAATGGAAAATGCAGGAATTTTAGCAAGCAGCGTCACTGACAACACTCTGATCGACTTTTTTTGTGTGAGCTTGGTCATTTTCAAAAAAGCAAAGTAACTGATGAAGATGACGGTTCTTCAGGGTGTTCTTCCTGATAATATAACATATGCAGCTCTCGCTACCAATGCCTACAAGAACTGCAGCCCTGAAGAAGCAATTGAAATGCATGGCTGCAGGGTGCTTAAGGGAGTAGTTCCTTATAACGTTGATGAAAACCTGAATGACATTCAATTTTAAATTAAAAAATAATTGGAAAGAAGTTTAATTCAAAATTATACGAAATTTAAAACTGAAAAACTGAAAATTCAAGAACAGTTTGAACTAAGATGGAAGGACAGAAGCCTAAAAGCTTAAAACTACAGCACCAAGCCATAGAAGCCGATGATTGGTTTAGAGTTGATTTTTCTTGCTTCGAAGGGCATCCTAGTCAAATAGCCGTATATACCTTTCGATACTGTGTGGAAACTGTCAAGTGGCTACTGTCCACTGCCACTCAAATCTCCAACTGAGATCATGCTAAGATCCTTAGACTTTTTGGACTTCAGAACAAAAAATTAGTCTTTTCTTATTATGTAATTATTTAATAAATTAAAATTATTAAAATTTGAATAAATTTTATTAAAAAAAAATCATATATACGGCCCACGTAATTTTTTTAGACTGTACAACAAAAAAAAAAGTCTTTTCTCGTTATGTAGTTATTTAATAAATTAAAATTTATTTAGAGTCCAAAAAATTTACAACTTATGTAATTATTTAATAAATTAAAATTTAAATAAATTTTATTAGCAAAAACTACCAAATATATAACCGTGATAAATTTTTTAGAGTGTATAACAAAAAAAAAATATAGTTTTTTTCTCGTTATGTAATTATTTAATAAATTAAAATTTGATTAAAATTTGAATAAATTTTATAATAAAAAAAAACTACTAAATATACAATCGTTGTGATTAATTGAATGAGTAAATGCCTTACTTAGCACACAAATTGGGCAGCCTAGTTTGTTTGTCACGTAGCCTAATTTGTGTGCCAAATAAAGTTTTTGTCATTCAATTAATGGCAAAAAAATGATTTAAATAGCAATGTAATCATTCAATTAACCTTGCATTAAACTCTCCCTCATTAAAAAAAAAAAAAAACCATAAAAATGAATAAATCACAAACAAAATACCTGTGTTTTAATTAATTAATTGATGTCTCAAGGCAATCTCCCAACGGTCAAAATCCTTATCCCAAAACCTCATCCACTCTCTTCCTTTCCCTCCACTCATTCCACCCTCTCATTTCCTCTTTACCATGAACCATAAACGAGAAAAAGATAAGCCAATCACACAAAAACAGCTCTCCACCATAGCCAAAAACTCTTCTTTTTCCCTTCTCTTCTCCTCTTGTGGCTACCTAGCAAGAGCCCCAACAAGTGTAACGCTACCATGTCTTGCTCAAATCTAACAATGTGGGTGTCCTCAAAACCTTCTCTTTCTGACACCAGTTCACTCTCTTTTCGCTCTTCTCTCAACCCTTTTCAGCTCCCTAGTTCACCAGCTGTCAACAACCCTTCAAGATCCTCCTCTGTGACCCCAATTCACTGTGGTTCTCTTCGTGAGCTTAGGACTCGTATTGATTCTGTGAAAAACACACAGAAGATCACTGAGGCTATGAAGCTTGTTGCTGCTGCTAAAGTGAGGAGAGCACAAGAAGCTGTTGTTAATGGTAGGCCTTTCTCTGAAACTCTTGTTGAAGTTCTTTATAACATCAATGAGCAGCTTCAGACTGATGATATTGATGCACCTTTAACAAAAGTTAGGCCTGTTAAGAAAGTTGCTCTAGTTGTTGTTACTGGTGATAGAGGACTTTGTGGGGGTTACAATAATTTTATACTCAAGAAAGCAGTAGCAAGAATTGCAGATTTGAAGCAGCTTGGACTTGAATATACTGTCATTAGTGTTGGAAAGAAGGGTAACTCTTATTTTCTTCGTAGGCCTTTTATTCCAGTTGATAAGTTTCTTGAAAGAGGTGGTCTTCCTACAGCTAAGGAAGCTCAAGCAATTGCAGACGATGTCTTTTCACTGTTCGTAAGCGAGGAGGTTGATAAAGTGGAGCTTTTGTACACAAAATTTGTGTCACTTGTCAAGTCTGAACCTGTTATCCATACCTTGCTTCCACTATCACCAAAGGGAGAGATTTGTGATATCAATGGGGTCTGTGTTGATGCAGCTGAGGATGAGTTCTTCAGGCTGACAACAAAAGAAGGGAAATTGACTGTAGAGAGAGGTGTTACTAGGACTGCAACACCAGAATTCTCAGCAATTTTGCAGTTTGAGCAGGATCCAGTTCAGATTCTTGATGCCTTGTTGCCTTTATATTTGAACAGTCAGATTTTGAAGGCATTGCAAGAATCACTAGCTAGTGAGCTTGCTTCTAGGATGAGCGCCATGAGCAATGCTACTGATAATGCATCAGAATTGAAGAAGAGTCTTTCCCAGGTTTACAATAGGCAGCGTCAGGCCAAGATTACTGGAGAAATATTGGAGATTGTTGCTGGTGCCAACGCTTTAGCCTAATGAAGTTAGCCCCCTACACAATTCTGCATCTTTGTAGGTAAAATTCAAGGGTGATTGCTTATTCATTCAATATGCCTGCTTTAAGAACAGTTAATGAGATATGATACCTTTTTTCTCCCTCTGTAATCCTCAAGCCGCCTACGAAAATTCTGTGCACAATGAGAAATGCAATGTATTTTGCAACAGGAGCATTCTGCTTATTGATCTTAGTGCTTCAGCTTCTTTTTCCTTCATATCTATACCTGTATTTTTTAGAGGTTTCAATCTGGGGATGTCCTGTGTTAGTCTATGTATGTTCCATTATACGTATAGATTGTTACTGCAGATCTTCCTCATCGTTGTAATTTGATTAAATCACAAGGGCTTCTTGCTTCTGCTTCTTTGATTCCCATTTCCTCAGGCTTCATAACTCCAAATGACTGTAAGATCCATTGAGCTCAAATAAGGCAGCTGAATTTTTGAGATCAAGCTGTCAATTCTGCAAAGCTGTTTTTGCTCATCTGTTTCTTATGCGGATGCATCTTAGATTGCCAGTGAATTATCGAGAGCCGAGTGATTGATGTAATGAGAGAGTAACTTGCGCAAATGATTGTAGATTCTAAATAACTTCAGAAAGTTAGTACTCAGAAGGCAATTGATAGGCAGGTTTTTAAGCCTTCACCATTAAACCTGGCAGCCCAAAAGAACAAATAATTTTCACCTCTTCAACTTCAGGTTGTTCATGACTTGTTCACATTTTACAACTTCTAACAAGTTAACAACTCCCAAAACTTCTTTTTCAATGGAATTATTTCACATTCAAAACCTTCTTTCAAATGGCAGATGCCATGAAGGTTTCAGACTGAGAGAGTACATGGCATGCAGAAACTCTATTGAGCCAATGAAGCTAAAGCCATGTAGATCTGATTTTGTAGACAGTAATAAGGCTGTTGCAAGTGCTTTCATATTCTGAATTGGCCTCTTAGGCTCCTTTCAACCTCATATCGTTTTGATCATGTGGTTGTAGTAGCATTCAACAAGTGGTGATTAGCCAATGATGCTATTCTGTCCAATGCAGTTTGTAAGGTGGTCTCCACATTTCTGATCATTTTTGGTGATCCAACTCCTTCTTATCCTTCATGTGTTTACAGTAAACTTAAGTCGAGTGGTTGCAGTTAGATGTGATTGTCATCTTTATATATTTGTCCAGAAAATGATGTTTCCGCAATTCAATTAAAAGTATTCAGTCATCTGCAATCTGGGGACACACCCTCTGCCGAAAAAGAGTTTCACTCTCGAGAAATTTGTTGAAAGAAAAATCGAAGTCCATTTATCCGAACAATCATGACAGTAAATACATTTTTCTTAATGTTTTGCTACATGAATTCCACAATTTTTTTAAATTAAAGCCCCATTTGAATACAGGCTAGAACAACCATGCGAATGATCATTCTGGGTTCTTATCGATGATTGAACCTGCTAGGTTACTTGATATCATCATTGAACCTCACAGACCAAAGAACATCTGTGATGTTACTTCAGCTCATTGATGATTGGTTTATGAATGTTACAAAAAAACCAGACACTTAAAGAACTGCTATGCTTTGATTAAATTGCAAAGCAGAAACTAGAGTAGTTTAAGTGATGACATGTTTTCTCGAGCAAACAAGAAAAATCTTTACAACATCATCTAGGATGAGAAAGAACAGATGCTGGTGGTGGTGCTGAAGAAATATGGTCATCAACAACAGGAGGTGGTGCCAGTGCATGTGAAAACTTATACACCAGTTTTGAATCCACCTCCATTACACCCTCCAACACCTTTACAACTGTTGACATGAGAGGTCTTCTTTCTGGATCATCTTGCAAACACCAAGCAGCAATATTTATCATCCGGATTATTTCTTCTCTATCACTCTGCTTATAGTCAACTAAATATTCCATAATGTATTCAGCTTTGTTCTGCAACATTCTAAGCAAATTGAAAGCAGATTCTGGTTGCGAGTGATCTACACATCTGCGTGCACAAACTACTTCCAGTAGAACAATTCCAAAGCCGTAAATGTCAACTTTTACTGTGACGCGACCTAATGCTTGATGCCATTCTGGAGCAAGATATCCAGGGGTTCCTCTCATTGTCAGTTGAATTTGGCTCATCTCCCTATCAATCAGTTTAGATAACCCGAAGTCAGAGATTTTGGCATTAAAATTTGGATCTAAGAGTATGTTCTGCGGCTTTATATCGAGGTGCATTATGGTCTGTCGGCATTCTTCATGAAGATAAGCCAGCCCTTTCGCGATGTGAAGAATAATCTTCTTTCGTGTCTCCCAATCAAGGGAAGATCCTTCGATTTTCTTAAAAATCCAAATATCCAATGATCCGTTACTCAGATACTCGTATACTAAAAGCCTGTGTGATTTCTCTGCACAAAATCCTATCAGCCTCACCAAGTTAAAATGGTGCAGACTTCCAATTGTCTCAACTTCAGCTACAAATTCCCTCTTTCCTTGGCCTAATTTATCCAAACGCTTTACAGCAATTCCTGTTCCATCAGCAAGTACTCCTTTGAACACAGACCCGAAGCCTCCTCTTCCAAGTATTTCCTTGAAATCATCGGTTGCAACGCGCAGTTCATCATATGAAAACGCAACAGGCATTCCTGGAACTTGCTTTATTTGATCATCTTCCACATCCTCAGTATCCTCAGACCTGCCCCCCTGACCCTCCAAACAATAATAACTACAACAGAAACAATGGCAAGACCACCACCCACGAGTCCTGCTATGATTGGCACCCAACGTCTTTTGGAAGCAGTATTAGGCCTTATTTCTGGTGGAGGACTTGGTGTTATCTCCCCTGATGTTGGCCGAGAGTTGTTTGGTGTCTTGACTGCCAAACAAAAACATTTTGAAGTAGATTCATTACGGAACCAAAAAGATGATGGATTTATATGAACCACAATGATAGAATGAAACTATTTTTTCATTCACATCACTGCCATGACTCTGTACTTTCGTGTTTGGACAGCGTTTTATGGATCTCAACATATATGTACCTAAAACTGCTAAAATGCTGAACAGGTCTGCATTTTTATGATGTAATTTATGGCAGTATGCAGTCTAGATTGTGTTTTTTTTTGGTGAGATTAACCTTCATAAGTTTTGCGGACTTTTCAGATGAACAAAACTACCTCGTGTTAAAATGATTAAATACAGAAAACCAAACTCACAAAACTACACAAACTGAAAAATGGCAGATTTACCTGGGCAGAATGTAACTTGGTAATTAGTAGATGCACAACTGAACATAGAGGTCGCGTCATCATAAGAATAGCTGTAAGCCTGTGGACACGAATCTTTAAAAAATCGAGAATACAATGAAGGCTTGCATTTATCAGGTGATGAGCTGGTGCCATTACAGCAAAACATCGACAACCCAGTCACTTGGCACGCGGTTGTGCATCCCACAGTCTTGCCTTCTGTAGCACTGGTAACCTGAAGCTCTGAAGGACATGATTCATTCAAATCTGCAAAGCATCCTGAGCTTGTACAGTTCTGAGCAGAAGGCACAACAAGCAAAGGCAGGTTGAAGCCATCAACAAGACTAACATCATAAAAATCAAGGCCATTAGTACTGCCAGTCGTGAACTCTGCCAAAGTTGTAGGAGGAGCACCGGGGCCTGAACATTCTAGTTTTCCGGACCCACAGTCGCCTGTGATGCAGGAGAAATTTCCTGAGGAGTCTTCGGTGCAATTCGTGCGGCCCCAAATACGCCCAACCCAGGAAGCTGGTGCTGTTAAGATCCTTGACTCATTCTTTTCAAGGGAAAAACCGGTTGTGTTTACAGTTGATTGATCTGGCACAATGGCTGGCCATACTGTGTAGATACAATTGTTCGTTATTGTAAATGTTGTTGAAAGAGCACCTGTTAGCAATAGCGTAAAGTAAGAATTTAGCAGAAAGAATTAGATCTGGAAACAGAAAAATTTTGGATAGATTTCTTTATCATACCTGATATGAACAAATGAGCAACTAAGAAAGAAGATAAATGCATAAGTAATCTTATCTTTGACATTGAAGCAGAGTAAATTTATTCAAGGCAAGAAGAAGAAGATGAAGAAGAAATCTGAATTTTATAAGCTTCACTCAAAGTTCAATCGTGGAGAGAATGGAGAGTTTTTTACTCGCAAGGAGCCGACTTTGTGATTAGGACATTTGGCGTTGAAAGTTCAAACAAGGCGTCCAACCCATTTCCTCCACACTTTCTTGGAAATAAGGTCTCTGCCACCACGTGTTTGGGGTTTTGACGTTTATACGGTCCTTTATTCTTTGAATTGTTTTAATTAAGACCCTATACTTTTTTTTATCATAATTAAATCCATCTATTCTTCGTTTTGTTTTGTTTATGCCTCTTCTATTACAACGATGTTAGCTGTGAGTGGACGTAGTACTGATGTGGAATGTCTTGGACGTGTCATACGTGTCATATGTGGATTCCTAATTAAAAAACTTTAAGAAAAACGATTCAAAAGATACAAAACTTCTATTAAAATAATTCAAAAAATAAATAGACTAAATTATTATTATTTATTTATTTTCTACTATTTTTCTTGAATAAAAGGTTCAAAATTATATAATTTTGCTAATCTATACAGTATATAAAAAGCATAAATAGTTTTGATTCAGCATAGTACCGTTTGTTTTTGTGAGACAAAAATAGCCTCGACATATATCATGTTGACAATACTTATGTCTAATGGAGTGTTTGGATGGTCAATTGAGTTTCAGAAATCAAATCAACTTTTACATTCCATGAATAATCTCATCAATGGAAGTGCAAATATTTTCTTCCTTTACAATTTCTTGTTGTAGCTGTTTGCTCCAGTTAATTGATTGGGAGAGAATTTGATTGTTATTCCAACAAACTCACTAGTAAGTTTCTTGCTTTTGAATTTCTGTTTTCGAGTCATGAAGCTCCATCTCTAATTATGTGTTCTTCTCTGAATTCTGATAGTCTATTTCTGATTGAGAATAGCTTAGATTTCTTGTACAGCTACATGTGAAAAGGCAGATCTAGGTCTCTGGTCCATAAATAGAGCGATGGCTTTGGAAAATGGGTATTTTGGGGTCAAAAGAATCAAGAGTTTTTTTAATTAAATCGGGATGAAGGCTTTGGGTATTTTGTGTAATGATTAGAATAACAAGTTACAGTTGATGAAATTTCTGGCACAGGGATAGGAATTAGACAATCAACAAGAACCACTCTGTTTCTTTCTTTACATTTTTTTTTTATAAGTGGGTAAGTGGGATAAATTCTATGTAGCTCAAGAGCTTTCCCTGATAAACGATTCTATAGGTGCCCCTCTCAGATGGGAAGCTTTTCTGAATACAATTTGGGAATCAAGTGTTTGATGAAATATGTAAGGTGTTTGGGTAATGTAGGTGAAGTGTTTGAAGAAAAGACTGATAAGAACTTGATGTAGGACAGATTTGAGATTTTTGTTCTACATGGATCTCTAGTATAATTTTTTTATCTTTTGGTTGAAACATTAATGCTCAAACTTTAAATTGATGAATAAGTGGTAGATTCTTCATGCTTGCTCTGCATCTGCATTTGGGAAAAACCAGAATAAGTGGCTTTCAGTTTTTGAATCAACTTGGTTGGTTTATGGGATTTTGTTTGTGAAATTAGGGAGAATAAAGCTTGTTTAGGAAATACATCTCATTTCAAATACAAAGCATGTTTCATATGAGATTTCATCATAGTAAAACTCTGAAATATATTTAAAAAGATATTATAATAAATTAAAAATAATAAAATAATACTTAAAAAAATACCCTAACATGCAATTATTAAAATTAAATAATTCTCTACTTTTTTCTGTCACTTTCAGCTCTACGAACCTAGTTGAACGGGCAGGCTTTTTAGGTTCTCAACCCTCGCTCGTCCCTCAGTGTGATCATGGCTGGTTTGCAATAACAAACAACTTCAGAAGCTTAAGTTTTTCAATGTTAGTATAAAAGATTAAGAACACTCAAGAAACAGATATATAAATATATATGCTTAGCTTAAGATAACAAGGAAAAGGAGTTCAAGTGATTACAAGTTTGAAGAATTTTGATTCTTTTCCGAAAAAGAAAGATTAAACACAAGCAAACATAGTCTAACGGATGTGAAGTAGGTTTGAATGTTAATGACTAAGTTTATTTGATTATTAATTATGTAATGGAGAAGGCTACTTTCATTGTGTAGCTTAAAGCCTAGACCTCCCAATGAATCAAAAAAACAAAAAGAAAGATTAACAAATCCATCATCTAGGATAAGAAAGAACAGGTGCTGGCATCGGTGCTGAAGAAATCTGTTGATTAACAACAGGGGGAGGATGCATGTGAAAACCTATACACCAGGTTTGAATCTACCTCCATTACACCCTCCAATACTTTCACAACTGTTGACATGGGTGGCCTACTTTCTGGGTCATCTTGTAAACACCAAGCAGCAATCTTTATCATCCTGATTATTTCCTCCCTATCACTCTGCATATATTCAACTAAATATTTCCAAATGTTTTCAGCTTTGTTCTGCAACATTCTAAGCAAATGGAAGGCAGATTCTGGTTGCGAGTGATCAACGCATTTGCGTGCACAAATGACTTCCAGTAGAACAATTCCAAAGCTGTAAATGTCAACTTTTACAGTGATGCGGCCTAATGCTTGATGCCATTCTGGAGCAAGATATCCAGGGGTTCCTCTCATTGTCAGTTGAATTTGGCTCATCTCCCTATCAATCAGTTTAGATAACCCGAAGTCAGAGATTTTGGCATTAAAATTTGGATCTAAGAGTATGTTCTGCGGCTTTATATCGAGGTGCATTATGGTCTGTCGGCATTCTTCATGAAGATAAGCCAGCCCTTTCGCGATGTGAAGAATAATCTTCTTTCGTGTCTGCCAATCAAGGGAAGATTCTTGGCTTTTCTTAAAAATCCACTTATCCAATGATCCGTTACTCAGATACTCGAATACTAAAAGCCTGTGTGATTTCTCTGCACAAAATCCTATCAACCTCACCAAGTTAAAATGGTGTAGACTTCCGATTGTCTGAACTTCGGCTACAAATGCTCTTTTTCCTTGGCCTACTTTTTCCACACGCTTCACAGCAATTCCTGTTCCGTCAGCAAGTACTCCTTTGAACACAGACCCAAAGCCTCCTCTTCCAAGTATTTCCTTGAAATCATCGGTTGCAACGCACAGTTTTTCATATGAAAACACAACAGGCATTCCTGGAACTTGCTTTATTTGATCGTCTTCCACATCCTCCTCAGTATCTTCAGACCTGCTCCCCCTGACCCTCCAAACAATAATAACTACAAAAGAAATAATGGCAAGAACACCACCCACGAGTCCTGCTATGATTGGCACCCAACGTCTTTTTGAAGCAGCATTAGGCCTTATTTCTGGTGGAGGACCTGGTGTTATCTCCCCTGATGTTGGCAGAGAGTTGTTTTGTGTCTTGACTGCCAAACAAAAACATTTTGAAGTAGATTCATTACGGAACCAAAAAGATGATGGATTTATATGAACCACAATGATAGAATGAAACTATTTTTTCATTCACATCACTGCCATGGCTCTGTAATTTTGTGTTTGGACAGCCTTTTATGGATCTCAACATATATGTACCTAAAACTGCTAAAATGCTGAACAGGTCTGCATTGTTATGATGTAATTTATGGCAGTATGCAGTCTAGATTGTGTTTTTTTGGTGAGATTAACCTTCATAAGTTTTGCGGACTTTTCAGATGAACAAAACTACCTCGAGTTAAAATGATTAAATACAGAAAACCAAACTCACAAAACCACACAAACTGAAAAATGGCAGATTTACCTGGGCAGAATGTAACTTGGTAATTAGTAGATGCACAACTGAACATAGAGGTCGCGTCATCATAAGAATAGCTGTAAGCCTGTGGACACGAATCTTTAAAAAATCGAGAATACAATGAAGGCTTGCATTTATGAGGTGTTCTGCTGGTGCCATTACAGCAAAACATCGACAGCCCAGTCACTTGGCACGCGGTTGTGCATCCCACAGTCTTGCCTTCTGTGGCACTGGTAACCTGAAGCTCTGAAGGACATGATTCATTCAAATCTGCAAAGCATCCTGAGCTTGTACAGTTCTGAGCAGAAGGCACAACAACCAAAGGCAGGTTGAAGCCATTAACAAGACTAATATCAAAATAATCAAGGCCATTATCACCACCAATCGATAACTCTACCATCGTTACAGGAGGAGCAGGGCTGCCTGAACATTCTAGTTTTCCTGAGCCACAGTCGCCTGTGATGCAGGAGAAATTTCCTGAGGAGTCTTCGGTGCAATTCGTGCGGCCCCAAATACGCCCACTCCAGGAAGCTGGTTCTGTTATGATCCTTGACTCATTCTTTTCAAGGGAAAAACCGATTGTGTTTACAGTTGATATATCTGGCAGAATGGCTGGCCATACTGTGTAGATACAATTGTTCGTTATTGTAAATGTTGTTGAAAGAGCACCTGTTAGCAATAACGTAAAGTAAGAATTTAGCAGAAAGAATTAGATCTGGAAACAGAAAAATTTTGGATAGATTTCTTTATCATACCTGATATGAACAAATGAGCAACTAAGAAAGAAGATAAATGCATAAGTAATCTTATCTTTGACATTGAAGCAGAGTAAATTTATTCAAGGCAAGAAGAAGAAGATGAAGAAGAAATCTGAATTTTATAAGCTTCACTCAAAGTTCAATCATGGAGAGAAGGGAGAGTTTTTTACTCGCAAGGAGCCGACTTTGTGATGAGGACATTTTGCGTTCAAAGTTCAAACAAGGCGTCCAACCCATTTCCTCGACACTTCCTTGGAAATAAGGTCTCTGCCGCCACGTGTTTGGGGTTTTGACGTTTATATGGTCCTTTATTCTTTGAATTATTTTAATTAAGACCCTATACTCTTTTTTATCATGATTAAATCCATCTATTCTTCATTTTGTTTTGTTTATGCCCCTTCTATTACAACGATGTTAGCTGTGAGCGGACGTAGTACTGATGTGGAATGTCTCGAATGTGTCATACGTGTCATACGTGGATTTCTAATTAAAAAACTTAAGAAAAACGATTCAAAAGGTACGAAACTTCTATTAAAATAATTTAAAAAATAAATAGACCAAATTATTATTAATTTATTTATTTTTTTGTTAATGTTTTTTAAAAATCTCATTTCAAATACAAAACATGTTTCATATGAGATTTTATCATAGTAAAACTCTGAAATATATTTAAAAAAATATTATAATAAATTAAAAATAATAAAATAATACTTAAAAAAAATACCCTAACATGCAATTATTAAAATAAAATAATTCTCTACTTTTTTCTGTCACTTTCAGCTCTACGAACCTAGTTGAACGGGCAGGCTTTTTAGGTTCTCAACCCTCGCTCGTCCCTCAGTGTGATCATGGCTGGTTTGCAATAACAAACAACTTCAGAAGCTTAAGTTTTTCAATGTTAGTATAAAAGATTAAGAACACTCAAGAAACAGATATATAAATATGTATGCTTAGCTTAAGATAACAAGGAAAGGAGTTCAAGTGATTACAAGTTTGAAGAATTTTGTTTCTTTTCCGAAAAAGAAAGATTAAACACAAACAAACATAGTCTAACGGATGTGAAGTAGGTTTGAATGTTAATGACTAAGTTTATTTGATTATTAATTATGTAATGGAGAAGGCTACTTTCATTGTGTAGCTTAAAGCCTATAGACCTCCCGATGAATCAAAAAAACGAAAAGAAAGATTAACAAATCCATCATCTAGGATAAGAAAGAACAGATGCTGGCATCGGTGCTGAAGAAATCTGTTGATTAACAGCAGGAGAAGATGTCAGTGCATGTGAAAACCTATACACCAGGTTTGAATCTACCTCCATTACACCCTCCAATACTTTCACAACTGTTGACATGGGTGGCCTACTTTCTGGGTCATCTTGTAAACACCAAGCAGCAATCTTTATCATCCTGATTATTTCCTCCCTATCACTCTGCATATATTCAACTAAATATTTCCAAATGTTTTCAGCTTTGTTCTGCAACATTTTAAGCAAATGGAAGGCAGATTCTGGTTGCGAGTGATCAACGCATTTGCGTGCACAAACGACTTCCAGTAGAACAATTCCAAAGCTGTAAATGTCAACTTTAACAGAGATGCGGCCTAATTCTTGATGCCATTCTGGAGCAAGATATCCAGGGGTTCCTCTCATTGTCAGTTGAATTTGGCTCATCTCCCTATCAATCAGTTTAGATAACCCGAAGTCAGAGATTTTGGCATTGAAATTCGGATCTAAGAGTATGTTCTGCGGCTTTATATCGAGATGCATTATGGTCTGTCGGCATTCTTCATGAAGATAAGCCAGCCCTTTCGCGATGTGAAGAATAATCTTCTTTCGTGTCTGCCAATCTAGGGAAGATTCTTGGCTTTTCTTAAAAATCCACTTATCCAATGACCCGTTACTCAGATACTCGTATACTAAAAGCCTGTGTGATTTCTCTGCACAAAATCCTATCAACCTCACCAAGTTAAAATGGTGCAGACTTCCAATTGTCTCAACTTCGGCTACAAACGCTCTTTTTCCTTGGCCTACTTTTTCCACACGCTTCACAGCAATTTCTGTTCCATCAGCAAGTACTCCTTTGAACACAGACCCAAAGCCTCCTCTTCCAAGTATTTCCTTGAAATTATCAGTTGCAACCCGCAGTTCTTCATATGAAAACACAATAGGCATTCCTGGAACTTGGTTTATTTGATCATCTTCCACATCCTCCTCAGTATCTTCAGACCTGCTCCCCCTGACCCTCCAAATAATAATAACTACAAAAGAAATAATGGCAAGAACACCACCCACGAGTCCTGCTATAATTTGTCCTGCTATAATTGGCGCCCAATGTCTTTTTGAAGCAGTATGAGGCCTTATTTCTGGTGGAGGACTCGGTGTTATCTCACCTGATGTTGGCCGAGAGTTTTTTGGTGTCATAACTGTTGTGTTGACTGCCAAACAAAAACATTTTGAAGTAGATTCATTACGGAACCAAAAAGATGATGGATTTATATGAACCACAATGATTGAATGAAACTATTTTGTCATTCGCATCACTGCCATGGCTCTGTACTTTTGTGTTTGGACAGCGTTTTATGGATCTCCACATATATGTACCTAAAACTGCTAAAATGCTGAACAGGTCTGCATTGTTATGATGTAATTTATGGCAGTATGCAGCCTAGATTGTGTTTTTTGGGTGAGATTAACCTTCATAAGTTTTGCGGACTTTTCAGATGAACAAAACTACATCATGTTAAAATGATTAAATACAGAAAACCAAACTCACAATACTACACAAACTGAAAAATGGCAGATTTACCTGGGCAGAATGTAACTTGGTAATTGGTAGATGCACAAGTGAGGGTAGAGGTCGCCTTACTATAAGAATAGCTGTAAACCCGTGGACACGAATCTTTAAGAACTCGAGAATACAATGAACATGAAGGCGTTAAGCTGGCATTACAGCAAGACTTCGACAACCCAGTCACTTGGCACATGCTCCTGCATCCCACAGTCTTGCCTTCTGTAGCACTGGTAACCTGAAGCTCTGAAGGACATGATTCATTCAAATCTGCAAAGCATCCTGAGCTTGTACAGTTCTGAGCAGAAGGCACAACAACCAAAGGCAGGTTGAAGCCATCAACAAGATTAACATCAAAATAATCAAGGCCATTATCACCACCAATCGATAACTCTGCCATCGTTACAGGAGGAGCAGGGCTGCCTGAACATTCTAGTTTTCCGGAGCCACAGTCGCCTGTGATGCAGGAGAAATTTCCTGAGGAGTCTTCGGAACAATACGTGCGGCCCCAAATACGCCCACTCCAGGAAGCTCGTGCTGTTGTTTTCTTTGACTCATTCTTTGCAAGGGAAAAACCGGTTGTGTAGGTAGCTGATTCATAAGAGCAAATGACTGGCCATACTGTGTATTTACAATTGTTTGTTATTGTAATTGTTGTTGATAGAACACCTGTCAGCAATAACATAAAATAGGATGTTAGCAGAAAGAATTAGATCTGGAAACAAAAAAATTTTGGATAGATTTCTTTATGATACCTGATATGAACAAATGAGCAACTAAGAAAGAAGATAAATACTTAAGTAATATTATCTTTGACATTGAAGCAGAGTAAATTTATTTAAGACAAGAAGTAGTCTGAATTTCAATTAGCAAAGTTTATTTATTTTCATTTGGCTAAGCTTGACTCCAGAGTCAATCATAGAGAGAAGGAATGACTCTTAGGGAACCGACTTTGTGATTAGGACATTTGGTGCTGAAAGTTCAAATAAGGAATCCAACCAATTTCCTCGACACTTTTTTGAAAATATGGTCTGATACGAATTAATAGATCTTGAAATTTATGAAACAGTATAAACACGGCAAAAATTAAAGAAAACTAAAAGTAAAATTCTGAGGCTATTTAGACTTAATTTGATACCAAATGAGCCAACGAACAAAACTCATTAGCTTTGTTTGTGATATAGAGGTGATTTTGACAAAGGAAAACAAAAATTGTTTAAGCCTCAAAATTGACTTTTACTATTTTTTGAATTTTTTTCCTATTTTTTGGATCTTTTTTCCCTTTTCAGTTGGTTTAGGGTTTTGTAAATTTTTTTTTTTTTTTTTTTTTTATGTATGACTTAGAGACAGAAAAAAAGAGATTTTTTTCTTGGCTAATAAAGTTTTATGAGAGAGAGTACCTAATTTTATATGAATTTTCAGCATTCATTAAATCAACAGAATTGAAGCATACTTTTTGGTATTTGTATGCAAATCAACATATTATAATAGATCGACATCTAAAATTCATATGTGAGTTTCTAGATCAATGATATTTATTTTCTTCTTGTGAGCTTCCGTTACGTCAAGGTCTTTGCCATCACACGTTTTGGTTTTGCATTTTATATGGTCCCTTTATTCTTTGAATTAAGATCCTATAGTCTTTCTTATCATGATTAAATCCATATATTCTTCATTTTGTTTTGTTTATGTCCCCTCTATTATAACGACGTTAGTTGTGAGTTGATATGGACATCTTGAATGTGTGATACGTGTCATATGTGGGTATGTGAGTATAGAATTTAATTAAAACATTCAAAAAATATGAGACTTTAATTAAAATAATTCAAAAAATGCATAGATCAAATTATTATTATTTTTTTTATTATTTATTTATTTTCATGCTATTGTTTTTTAAAAATGCGTAGATTAAACACAAGCAAACATAGTCTAATGGATGCGAAGTAGGTTTGAATGTTAATGACTACTTTCATCGAGGATTAGAAGGCTACTTTCATTGTGTAGCTTAAAGCCTATAGACCTCCCGATGAATAAAAAAAAAAAAAAAAAACCAAAAATAAAGATTAACAAATCCATCATCTAGGATAAGAAAGAACAGATGCTGGCATTGGTGCTGAAGAAATATGTTGATTAACAATAGGAGAAGATGTCAGTCTGGCATATACACCAGGAGAAATATGTGAAAACCTATACACCAGGAGAAGATTATTCTAGAAATTTGTTGATTAACAAATCCATCATCGAGGATAAGAGTATGTTCTGCAGCTTTCTATCGACGTGCATTATGGTCACTCTGGCATTCTTCATGAACATAACCCAGGCCTTTCGCAATTTCTAGAATAATCTAAGGAAGATCCTTGTATTTTCTTAAAAATCCAATTATCCAATGATCCGTTACTCAGATACTCGTGTACTAAAAGCCTGTGTGATTTCTCTGCACAAAATCCTATCAGTCTCACCAAGTTAAAATGGTGTAGACTTCCAATTGACTCAACTTCTGCTACAAATTCCCTCTTTCCTTGGCCTAATTTATCCAAACGCTTCACAGCAATTCCTGTTCCATCAGCAAGTACTCCTTTGAACACAGACCCGAAGCCTCCTTTTCCAAGTATTTCCTTGAAATCATCGGTTGCAAGGCGCAGATCTTCATATGAAAACCTAACAGGCATTCCTGGAACTTGCTTTATATGATCATCTTCCACATCCTCCTCAGTATCTTCAGACCTGCTCCTCCTGACCCTCCAAACAATAATAACTACAAAAGAAATAATGGCAAGAACACCACCTACAGGTCCTGCTATAATTGGCACCCATTGTCTTCTTGATATAATATTAGGCCTTATTTCTGGTGAAGGGCTCGGTGTTATTTCCCCTGATGGTGGCCGAGAGTTGTTCGCTGTAATAACTGTCGTGTTGCCTGCAGAAGGGCTTGGTGTTATCTCCCCTGATGATGGCCGAGAGTTGTTTCCTGTAATAACTGCTTTCTTACCTGCCAAACAGAATCATTTTGAAGCAGATTCATTATGGAACCAAAAAGATGATGGATTCATATGAACGACAAGCATAGAAAGAAGCAATGTCATTCATATCGCTGGCATGGCTCTGTATTTTTCTGTTAGGACAGCCTTTTATGGATTCCAATACATATGTACTTAAAACTGCTAAAATGCTAAACAGATCTGCGTTGTTAAGATGTAATCATCGCAGTATGCAGTCTATACACACACACACACACACACACATACATACATACATATTAACCTTCAGATTTTTTGCAGACCTTTCAGATGAATATATAAAACTACCTCTAAATGTTAAAATGATTAAAAACAAAAAGCCAAACTCACAAAACCACACAAACTGAAAATGGCAGATTTACCTGGGCAGAATGTAACTTGGTAATCGGTAGATGCACAACTGAAGGTAGAGTTGGCGGCATCATAAGCATAGCTGTAAGCCTGTGGGCAGGAATCTTTAAAAAATTGAGAATACAGTGAAGGCTTGCATTTATTAACTCATGAGTTGGTGCCATTACAGCAAAACATCGACAACCCAGTCACTTGGCATGCGGTCCTGCATCCCACAGTCTTGCCTTCTGAACCAAAGGTAACCTTAAGCTCTGAAGGACATGATTCGTTCAAATCTGCAAGGCATCCTGTGCTAGTACAGTTCTGACCAGATGGCACAACAAGCAAAGGCAGGTTGAAGCCATCAACAAGAGTAATATAAAAAAAAATCAAGGCCATTACAACCGCCAGTCGTGAACTCTGCCAACGTTGTAGGAGGAGCATTGCTGCCTGAACATTCTAGCTTTCCGGAGCCACAGTAGCCCGTGATGCGGGAGAAATTTCCTGAGGAATCTTCGGTGCAATAGGTGTGGCCCCAAATACGCCCACTCCAGGAAGCTGGTGCTGTTATGATCTTTGACTCATTCTTTTCAAGGGAAAAACCAGTTGTATTTATAGTTGATGGATAAGCGTTTGATTGATATGAGTCAATGGCTGGCCATGCTGTGTAGTTACGCTTGTTTGTTATTGTAAATGTTGTTGAAAGAACACCTGTTAGCAATAACATAAAATAGGAAGTTAGCAGAAAGAATTAGATATGGAAACAGAAAAATTTTGGATAGATTTCTTTATGATACCTGATATGAACAAATGAGCAACTAAGAAAGAAGATAAATGCATAAGTAATATTATCTTTGACATTGAAGCACAGTAAATTTATTTAAGACAAGAAGAAGAAGAAGAAAAAGAAGAAACCTGAATTTCAATTGGCAAAGTTTATTTACTTTCATTTGGCTAAGCTTGACTCAGAGGTCAAACATGGAGATAAGGAGAAGTTTCTTACGCTTTGTGATTATGATATTTGGTGTTGAAAGTTCAAAAAAGGCATCCAATCAATTTCCTCGACACTTTCTTGGAAATAAGGTCTCTGCCACCACACATTTTGGGTTTTGCCGTTTATATGGTCCTTTTTCTTTGAATTGTTTTGATTAAACCCATTTTATTCTTCATTTTGTTTTGTTTATGTCCCCTTTGATGAATTATGCTCCATTAGAGCGCCAGGACTAATTAGGACAAGAAAACATGCGTACAAGAAAATAAAATTCTGAAACAAAGGCCAGGCAAGTCTTTGTGTAATTTTGAGAACAATGTAATATGTTGCAAAAAACAGAGAAAGGGGTAAATACAAACCAGTCTCCTACACACAGGATCATAACAAATTAGTCCCTAGCAACAACCTTTTATTTGTCGTGACCCCTTTACATGTTTGTCCCCTGCTCGATGCAACTCTTGGTGAAGATAACGTGAAAATCAAGGGGTTTTTGTTTTTTTCTCTTACAACGGCAGGCAAGACTTATTCATTCAACTATTCACCCACGTTTAACTATATTTTTTTCCTAAGACCATGTGCACTGTGCAACTGCTTTCATGCATTTATATTTATACGCAAGGTTTACCTAGTGTTGCACTTTAGTTCCTAATGTATTTTAAAAAATTATTTTGGTTCTTAACTTTATTCATGTCACAATTTGGTCTCTGGATGCAAATAGAGGTGAGAAACAAAAAGAAAGAAGAAAGGAGAAAAAAAGCCACGATGGGTCTTGATTTTGGTCTTGTTTTGCTGCCAATCTTACATTCTTATTGTTTATTTTCATGAGAATAGTGTGTTTTATTGTTGTTTTATGTTATAAAAATGTGCACTTAAATGCTTTTAAAGGTTCCAAACAAGTTTATTTATCTTATTTCAGTGATTTTGAGATGTTTTTAAGCAAAAATAATGTCAAAAATGGATTTAGAGATTTGGAACTGAACTCCAATTTTCTGCCACTGATTTTGGCAACATTCTAGCGAACTCAAGTTTGTTGGAAGTAGTAGGTGCGCGAAACATTGATATCCAAGCACGAGGGACATGCTGCTTGTTTATTTTTTTTTTCATAATTTTTTTTTTAATTTTTTTTTTTTTTTTATGTTGACTTGGGCATGAAAATTATGAAAAATCAATCATTATGTTTTTTTGGTTTTTCCATACAAGCTGATGGAAATAAAATATATATGATATATTTTTAGATTTTAGAATGAATATATATATATATATATATCGATTATATTAATTTTATTGTTTAAAATTAATTTCTTCAAATTTTCATTTTGTATGAAAATTCTCATCAAATTATTTTTTTATTTTTTGTATAATTTTATTTATAAATAAATATAATTTATTTTTCTCTATATATGAATTTTTGAAATAAAATTTTAGAATACAATTATATATATATATATATATATATATATATATTTTAAATATTGATATAATTTATATGATGATTCTTATGATTTTTAAATGAGAGTATTAAGAAGCTAAAAGTGTATTTTAGATAATTTGTCTTATTTTTTTTTTAAAAAATAGAATTCATGTGTTTTATTTGCTTGTTCTTTCTTAATCAAAATTTATCGAAATCAATTTTTCGAGTTGATTTTATTTTATTCTATTAATTTTAATATATTCTTTGCAATTTAATTATTTTTATAATATTTTTTAATTTATATTGCACATTCTAAACCCACTAAGTATGATCATAATGAATAAAAAAAAACCTTACATCATTGATTTTATTGAAAATTAATCATATATCTATGCATATAACACGCATTTGAAATTTTTTTTAATATTCTAAAGCCAATTTTTTTAAATAAAATAATTGAAATAATTTTTTAGGAGAATCACTTAATGATTCAAATATAATTTTTTATACTGATATTATTGATTATTTTGTAAATAAATAAATATAAATTAAATGTATATTTTTTTTATAAAAAAAATCTTCTCATTAGCATTAAAAAAAAAAAACCATTTGTGTCACTAAATAATGAATATCCATTTAATATTTTCACTTCTCATTATTCATAATGTGATTCAATTCAGCATTCAAAATAATAAATTAAAGGATGATACAATTGATTCAATTATTTATGTAACTTTAATGGTTCATAGTCTCTTTCAATTCAGTTTCTAATCTTAAAGCTTATAAATATGCTTGATTGCTCATTATTTTGTGTATAAGTATTTTGTAGAGATTGAAAAAATTGTTTAGAGTTGTTCTATCTTGTATTCTTTTTATTTCATAGTGAAATTATTTCTCCATCATTTTTCTCTCCAATTCTATTGTTATTATCGTTTCTTTTATAACAAGTTATCAGCACAAAGCTATAACCAATCGAGATAATAAACCACGAGGTATATATCTACCAAAAGACTCAATTATTATTTCAATCATTCATTTTTTTTTTCACACTAAGTGCTCTATCAAATTTGACTTCAAAAATTGGAGTTTAAATAAAAAATAACTTGGCACAAATGAAATACTTTAGGAGATGAATTTAAGACTAAACTACCTTTTCTAGGAGAAGGTGTTTTTGGATGATCGATATCTTTCCAAAACGTAACCAACTTCTTACTCAAGAATCTTTACACCAATATTATTTTTATATTCTTAATTCTTTTAATACTAGGTAGCTACTTTAAACTCAATAATAACTCGCATCTCCAGAATAACTCACAAATTAGAATCTTAAATTTTTTTAGAGTCTCGTTCCATTACAAAAAAAACAAAGGATTTGCGAGGGAAAATTAGTGACGGTCTTAATTTACTAAAATTGCGATGGTATGAAGCACTTTAGCGAGAGAAATTAGTGATAATTTTTTGCGATAGTTTTTTGCAAAAAAACCATCGCTAATTTCATTTTTTTAAAACAAAATTTCTACAACCATTTTTGTGATGGTTTTTGTAAAAAACACCATCGCTAATCATAGAAATTAGCCACGGTTTTTTGCAAAAAAAATCATTGCTAATTTTAATTTTTTTAAAAAAATTTTTGCAACCATTTTTTGCGACGGTTTTTGTAAAAAAAACAGTCGCAAATCATGGAAATTAATGACGGTTTTTTGTGACGGTTTTTTTCAAAAAAAAAAACCGTCGCTAATTTCAATTTTTTAAAAAAATTTAATTCTTTCAACCTTTTTTGCAATGGTTTTTTTACAAAAAAACGTTGTAAAATTAGTAAATTAGCGACGGTCTAAAAACCGTTGCCAAACCATCACTAATTAAGAGGGAAATGGCTATTTTTTGAACTTTTTCAGACATTTAGTGACGAGTTTAGCGACGGTTTTTAGACCGTCGCTAAAACTTTCAACCCTTATATAACAATTTGCCCGAAAATTTGTAAGAAAAAATTTCTTCTCTCTCTTCTTCTTCTCCAACATCGATCTCCCTTCCATTTTCATTAAATCATCCCCCTCTCCTTTTTATTTTCCTTCCAATCTCCTTCTCTCTCTCTCCTCCTTCCCTTTCTCCCCTCTATCTCTCCTCTTTTCTTCCTCCCTTTTCTCTTTCTTTCTTCCTTTCTCCCCACTTCCTCAACCGATCATTTTTCGATCGGAATAGTCCGACGAAACCTCTCCACCAGACATGACCCACTCTCCTCCTTGTGTTAGTGAAAGGTCCTCTCTCATCTAACCCCTTAATTAATTTTTTTAATTTTTTTTCAATTATTTACTTAATTTAATTTTAAATTTTTTGTTTATTTTTTTGTTATTGTTAATTGTTAATTTAGTTAATTTATTGTTCATTGTTAAGAAATTTTAATTGCTATTAATTTTTATTAATTGTGAGAGTTTAATTGTTAATTTTAATTAAGGAAATTTAATTGTTATTAATTTTTGTTGTTAATTTAATTGTTATTGTTATTAGTTTAATTGTTAATTGTTATTGTTAATCGGTAATTTTTAATTGTTAATTTAGTTAGTTTATTGTTAAATGTTATTTATTAATTTAGTTAGTTTAATTGATGGTAGTTTGGAAAGTTAATTATTATAGAAAATTATTAATAAGTTATTAGAAATATTTAAAATTTTTGGTAATTACAAAAATAATTAGTCATTAAAAAATTAATAATTTTTTAAATTATATTTAGTAATTAAAAAATCAATTAGTAATTAAGTTTATTTAGTTGTTGATTAAGTAAGGGAGTTAAGTAATTAAAAAAATTAATTAGTTTCGAAATTTAATTTAGTAATTAAAAATCAATTAGTAATTAAGTTTATTTAGTTGTTGATTAAGTAAAGGAGTTATGTAATTAAAAAATTAATTAATTTTGAATTTTTTTATTAATTAAAAAATTAATTAGTAATTAAGTTTATTTAGTTGTTGATTAAGTAAAGGAGTTAATTAATTATGAAATTAATTAGTGATTAAAAAATTAATTTTTTTGTAAATTATATTTAGTAATTAAGTTTAATAATAATAAACTTTCTACATTTTTCAAGAATTTAATAATTGAATAATATTTATTACATTTTAATAAATTTTATAATAAAACTTATGAAATTTTAAAATATTATGTTTTGGGTATTTTATGGACTTTTAAATAGCAATTGGTTAATTTCAAATGAGGGTAAATAATAATAATAATAATATTTTAGCAACGGAGACCGTAGCTAATTGTTTTGCGACGGAATTAGCAACGGTCTAGATTGTTGCTAATTCCAAATATTAGCGATAGTCTAAAACCCTCGCTAAAACCGTCGAAAAACTTGCAATGGTTTTTTCTAATTTTGCGACGATTTTTTCCATCGTTAAAGTAGCAACGGTCCAAAAACCATCACAAAATTTTAGCGACTAGCATTTTACCGATGGCTTTTGGACCGTTGCAAAACCGTTGCTAATTAAAATTAGCGACGAATTTTCCGAATTAGCGACGGTCTAGACCGTCTCTAATTCTTTCTTTCTTTTTCTTTTTCTTTTCTTTTTCTTTTTCTTTTTTTTTTCTTTTTTTTTTTTTTTTTGTAGTGTTCGAAGTCAAATGGCGACACAAATGATAATATAAGTAGGCATAAATAAGTATACTCAAACGGTTGTGCACTTAGTAGCTTTTTTTGAGTGAAATGGGTTTGATTTCTAGTGACTCCATTTTATTTACTTATTATGTAATGAGATAGAATTATTTTTTATTATGTAGCCTTAAACTCACGTACAGAGCTCTTGATGGAAAAAAAATACAATTGATAGAACTCGAAATGCAGGTGATTGATAGAAATTGAATTCATAACCATTTGAATATTAAAATTCTGATAAATATCAAATAATAATTTCAATCTAAAAAGTTAAGCCAATGAAAGTTGATAATATTAGACTCCATAAAACATTTATCTTAAATGTTTAGAAGAAGCCCACGGCAACAATGATTTCACATTTGATTAAATTATGTTGACCACGAAATATATATATGGAAAAATGAAAAACAAAAATTCTGTACGCCTCTTCTTCTGTACAAACTGTAGTATATACAACATCATCTAGGATGAGAAAGAACAGATGCTGGTGATGGTGTTGAAGAAATATGGTCATCAACAACAGGAGGTGGAGCCAGTGCATGTGAAAACTTATACACCAGGTTTGAATCTACCTCCATTCCACCCTCCAATAACTTTACAACTGTCGACATGAGAGGCCTTCTTTCTGGGTCATCTTGCAAACACCAAGCAGCAATATTTATCATCCTGATTATTTCTTCTCTATCACTCTGCTTATATTCAACTAAATATTTCATAATGCATTCGGCTTTGTTCTGCAACATTCTAAGCAAATGGAAGGCAGATTCTGGTTGCGAGTGATCAACACATCTGCGTGCACAAACTACTTCCAGTAGAACAATTCCAAAGCTGTAAATGTCAACTTTTACTGTGATGCGACCTAATGCTTGATGCCATTCTGGAGCAATATATCCAGGGGTTCCTCTCATTGACAGTTGAATTTGGCTCATCTCCCTATCAATTAGTTTAGACAGCCCGAAGTCAGAGATTTTGGCATTGAAATTTGGATCTAAGAGCATGTTCTGTGGCTTTATATCGAGGTGCATTATGGTCTGTCGGCATTCTTCATGAAGATAAGCCAGCCCTTTCGCGATGTGAAGAATAATCTTCTTTCGTGTCTGCCAATCAAGGGAAGATCCTTGGATTTTCTTAAAAATCCAATTATCCAATGATCCGTTACTCAGATACTCGTATACTAAAAGCCTGTGTGATTTCTCTGCACAAAATCCTATCAGCCTCACCAAGTTAAAATGGTGTAGACTTCCAATTGTCTCAACTTCCGCTACAAATTCCCTCTTTCCTTGGCCTAATTTATCCAAACGCTTCACAGCAATTCCTGTTCCATCAGCAAGTACTCCTTTGAACACAGACCCGAAGCCTCCTCTTCCAAGTATTTCCTTGAAATCATCGGTTGCAACGCACAGTTCTTCATATGAAAACGCAACAGGCATTCCTGGAACTTGCTTTATTTGATCATCTTCCAAATCCTCCTCAGTATCTTCAGACCTGCTCCTCCCGACCCTCCAAACAATAATAACTACAAAAGAAATAATGGCAAGAACACCACCCACTAGTCCTGCTATAATTGGCACCCAACGTCTTTTTGAAGCAGTATTAGGCCTTATTTCTGGTGGAGGACTTGGTGTTATCTCCCCTGATGTTGGCCGAGAGTTGTTTGGTGTCATAACTGTTGTGTTGACTGCCAAACAAAAACATTTTGAAGTGGATTCATTACGGAACCAAAAAGATGATGGATTTATATGAACCACAATGATTGAATGAAACTATTTTGTCGTTCACATCACTGGCATGGCTCTGTACTTGTGTTTGGACAGCCTTTAATGGATCTCAACATATATGTACCTAAAACTGCTAAAATGCTGTCTAGACTGTGTTTTTTTCGGTGAGATTAACCTTCATAAGTTTTGCGGACTTTTCAGATGAACAAAACTACCTCGTGTTAAAATGATTAAATACAGAAAACCAAACTCACAAAACTACACAAATTGAAAATGGCAGATTTACCTGGGCAGAATGTAACTTGGTAATTGGTAGATGCACAAGTGAACAAAGAGGCCTTTCCATGATAAGAAAAGATGTTAGCCTGTGGACACGAATCTTTAAAAAATCGAGAATTCAATGAAGGCTTGCATCCCACAGTCTTGCCTTCTGTAGCACTGGTAACCTGAAGCTCTGAAGGACATGATTCATTCAAATCTGCAAAGCATCCTGTGCTTGTACAGTTATGAGCAGAAGGCACAACAAGCAAAGGCAGGTTGAAGCCATTAACAAGACTAAAATCAAAAATATCAAGGTAAACAAAATCGCCAGTCGTGAACTGTGCAACCGTTACAGGAGGAGAACCGTAGGCTGAACATTCTAGTTTTCCGGAGCCACAGTCGCCTGTGATGCAGGAGAAATTTCCTGAGGAATCTTCGGTGCAATAGGTGCGGCCCCAAATACTCCCACTCCAGGGAGCTGGTGCTGTTATGATCTTTGACTCATTCTTTTCAAGGGAAAAACCAGTTGTGGATAAAGCTGATTTTTCTGAGTAAATGGCTGGCCATACTGTGTAGTTACACTTGTTTGTTATTGTAAATGTTGTTGAAAGAACACCTGCTAGCAATAACATAAAATAGGAAGTTAGCAGAAAGAATTAGATCTGGAAACAGAAACTTTTTGGATAGATTTCTTTATGATACCTGATATGAACAAATGAGCAACTAAGAAAGAAGATAAATGCATTAGTAATTTTTTTATTGACATTGAAAGAGAGTAAATTTATCTAAGACAACAAGAAGAAGAAGAAATCTGAATTTCAATTAGCGAAGTTTATTTATTTTCATTTGGCTAAGCTTATTTCAAAGGTCTCTGCCGGCTTTGTGATTAGGAACCGGCTTTGTGATTAAGACATTTGGCGTTGAAAGTGCAAACCCATTTATATGATCCCTTTATTATGTATAAGTAATTATAACGAAGTTAGTTATGACTGAACATATTACTGATGTGGGACATCTTGAATGGATGATACGTATCATATGTGGATTTTTAATTAAAATAATTCAATAAATATGAGAATTCAATTAAAATAATTAAAAAATTAAATAGATTAAATTATTTATTTATTTATTTATTTTCATGTCATTTTTTTAAAAAAATCTCATTTTAAATACAAAAAATGTGTAATATATGAGATCCATTATAGTAAAACTCTGAAATATATTTTAAAAATATTATAATAAATTAAAAATAAAAAATATATATATTAAAATAGTAACCTAACATGCAATTATTAAAATAAAATTATTCTCTACTTTTCTCTGTTACTTTCAGCTCTACGAACCCAGTTGAACGGACAGGTTTTTTTAACTTCTCAACCGTCACTCATCCCTCAGTGTGATCATGATTGGTTTGCAATCACAAACAACTTCACAAGCTTAATTTTTTCAATGTTAGTATAAAAGATTAAGAACACTCAAGAAACAGATATATAAATATATATGCTTAGCTTAAGATAACAAGGAAAAGGAGTTCAAGTGATTACAAGTTTGAAGAATTTTGTTTCTTTTCCGACAAAGAAAGATTAAACACGAGCAAGCTAACATAATCTAACGGATGTGAAGTAGGTTTGAATGTTAATGACTAAGTTTATTTGATTATTAAGTAATGGAGAAGGCTACTTTGATTGTGTAGCTTAAAGCCTATAGACCTCCCGATGAATAAAAAAAAACAAAAATAAAGATTAACGAATCCATTATCTAGGATAAGAAAGAACAGATGGTGTTGTCTCCCTTGATGTTGGCCAAGAGTTGTTCGCTTTAATAACTGTTGTGTTGCCTGTCAAACGTGGAGTAATTTTATAATACACCAGGAGTAACTAATGGTATATATAGTAATTACTTCATGAGCTCATTTTAAAGAGAAAGATAGACATAAAATTTTTCGTAGAGCATTTTTAAATACATTCATCACAGAACCGAAAAGATGATAGATTTATATGGACGACAAATTGGCCTGCTATAATTAGCATGGCTCTGTACTTTAGTGTTCAGAGGCCTTTTATGGATCCCAACATATATATACTTAAAACTGCTAAAATGCTAAACAGGTCTGCATTGTTAAGATGTAATTTATTGCAGTATGCAGTCTGGATAGTGTTTTTTGGTGAACTTAACCTTCATGATTTTTGCGGCCTTTCCAGATGAACAAAACTACCTCTAACTGTTCAAAGGGTTAAAAAAAAAAAAAAAAAACCAAATTCACAAAACTACTCAAACTGAAAAATGGCAGATGTTCCTGGACAGAATGTAACTTGGTAATTGGCAGACGCACTAGTTGCACAAGTGAAGGTAGAAGTCTCGTCATCTTAAGCATAGCTGTAAGCCTGTGGACAGGAATCTTTAAAAAAATGAGAATACAATGAAGGGTTGCATGGTTTGTCGCCATTACAGCAAAGCATCGACAACCCAGTCACTTGGCACGCGCTCATGCATCCCACAGTCTTGCCTTCTGTACCAGTGGTAACCTTAAGCTCTGCAGGACATAATTCATTCAAATCTGGAAAGCATCCTGGGCTTGTACAGTTCTTACCAGAAGGCACAGCAAGCAAAGGCAGGTTGAAGCCATCAGAAACACTAACATCAAAAAAATCAAGGCCATTAACACTGCCAATCCCGAACTCAGCCAGCGTTAAAGGACCAGCACCACCGTTGCCGGAACATTCTAGTTTTCCGGAGCAACAGTCGCCTGTGATGCAGGAGAAATTTCATAAGGAGTCTTCGTTACAATACATGCGGCCCCAAAAACTTCCTGTCCAGGAAGCTGGTGCTGTTATGATCTTTGACTCATTCTTTTCATGGGAACAACCAGTCGTGGATAAAGCTGATTTTTCTGAATGAATGGCCGGCCATACTGTGTAGTACACTTGTTTGTTATTGTAAATGTTGTTGAAATAACACCTGTTACCAATAGCATAAAATAGGAAGTTAGCAGAAAGAATTAGATCTGGAATCAGAAAAAATTTGGATAGATTTTTTTATGATACCTGATATGAACAAATGAGCAACTAAGAAAGAAGATAAATGCACAAGTAATATTATCTTTGACATTGAAGCAGAGTAAACTTTGTCATGACCAAAAAAAAAAAATCACTTCCATTTTTATTATTTATTTTAGTTGAATTATTTAAAAAAAAAGAGTAAAAAAAATAAATAAATAAAAGAAGAAGAAGACGACGACGAAAGGGGTCAGAATTCGATTGAAATTTATCTGAATCCTCTAACAGTTTTTCGAATTCAATCTATCCCGATTGCTAAGCTAATCAAATTCAAAGTTCAATAACGGAAGTTTGAGTTCAAATTGGATAGCTAAAAAAATCCGAGTTTGAAGGCAGATGAGTTGGAATGAAACTTCAATTAACAGTGCCTATAAAAGGGGAAAGGGAAGGAAAAAAAAAGGGGGGGGGGGGGGGGAAGAAGGAAGGCAGTATTCTGGGAAGATAGGAGAGAGTGAAAAAGGTTGAAAATCGAGGGATTTTAAGGGAAATAGTTGCTGCATTTTTCGGGGTTTTCTGGGCAACAGCTACAGTATTTTTAGTGTTCTTCATTTGCTGGGTTTTTGTTCTTCAATTGCAGGCCTAGTTAGTCCATAGTTTTAGGTTTTCTTGGTTCCATTTCACTCCTCACAGGTTTCTCAACTTCATTTCCGGAGATTTGAGGCTCAATTTGTCAAATTCAGGGTTTTGTCCTTAGGAATTCTTTAGGTGTCCGTCTGTTCTTCGCCATCTTCAAGTTTCTGGGTAGTGTTCATATTTCTGTGTTTGCCAGAAGAGACTTCTGGCTTTCTCCTTTTTGGTTTTCTGGGTTTTCAAGTACAAAAGCAATCGAGTGTTCATTCAGTCATTCCAAACCGAACGAACACACACAATTTCGCAAATCCCGTAACTAATCACCTGCAACAGAAAGTTCAATATCACCACACCAGTTCATTCAATTCTTTCCAATTCGTCAAGTTTTATCGACGTATTTCAGTTCATTCAATTTCTTTTGATTTCAGTTTCAATTAGTCTGTTCTAAACATGAAAAGATTGGCAGTGACAAAAGCCAAATGGAAATAAGACACCCAACCTGTTTGTCGTGAGAAAACAGTGACGGGTTTAAAGTTTAGTAATTACGCTAGAGTTGTTCAATTCTGGGTGAAGGAATTTCGTCTGAAGAACTTGGGGAATTTAGGATTATATCCAGAAAAATAAAAAACGGGGATGAACGAGAGAGAGTGAGAGAGGAAAGCAGGAGACTAGAAGAATGAAACTTTGGGTTTTAGGCATTGCCTTAACTTATATTATACAGGGACTGCAATCAGTCCAGCCCTGCTCTTCCCTTAAAAGTTGGGCTGGACTGAAATGTCCCTCTCCCCTAATAAAAAAAAAAAAAAACGTAAAGAGGAAGAGGGTGGAAGTCCAGCCTCTCCCGAAAAAAAATATATATAATATAATAAAAAAATTAAAAAATAATAATAGGAGAGAAGAAAAATAAAATGTTTGATTGTAATCTAAATGTTAGATTTTTTTTTTTAATGCTTAGCATTTCGTATTTAATTTCGATATTTAATTATTTTAATTAATACAATTTCCTTTTTAATTTGTTGCATGTATTTTAGAATTTTTTGTAATTATTTTTAATTCATGTAATTCTCAACGAAGTCTTATATCTTATAGGGATTATTGTTTCGTGATGAGGTCTCGTCATTACCAAAAATAATAAATTTCCTAACGAAGTCTCTTTCGATAGAAATTATCGTTTCGTGATGAGGTCTCTTATTTAATAGTGATCGTCGTTATCAAAAATCATCATTTAATGATCAGTATGTCTTTCAACACACTAATTGTGTCAAGGCTTAAAGTGAATCCGATATTTAAACCGAAGTATCATCCGACAGAGGAGATCGATAATTGTTTAAATCCGATGTCATGCCCAACAACTAAAAAATTTTAATTCGACTTTAAAAATTAGAGTTTTAAAAAATCAAAAAATAATTTGGTATAAATAAAACATTTTAGGAGATAAATTTATGACTAAATTAGATATAGTACCTTTCTTCGAAAATAATACTTTTGGGCGAATAAATATATTCTCAAAAGTATAACTAACTCCTTACTATAAAATCTATGAACCAAGCACTATTTTTAAGTTCCTAATTCCTTAATATTAAGAGACGACTTCGAATTTACAAATTAACTCTGTAAATAGAAATTTAATTTTAGGAAGTTCCGTTCGATGTTGAGTACCAACAAATTTATTTAAGACAAGAAGAAGAAGAAGAAGTCTGAATTTCAATTAGCAAAGTTTATTTATTTTCATTTGGCTAAGCTTGGCTCAAAGGTCGATCATGAAGAGAAGGAAAAGTTTCTCACCCTTAAGGAACCGATTCTGTGATCAGGACATTTGGTGTTGAAAGTTCAAACAAGGCATCCAACCAATTTCCTCGACACTTTCTCGGAAATAAGGTACCCCACATCTTTGACAAGACTGACAGCATCCAGACAAGTGTAAAGGTTGGGAGTTGACCAGCAAAACGACATGGGCCCTTGCTTGTTTCTTAATTTTCTTTCAGATTATGCATATAAAATTTTAAGAGATTTTTATTTTTGATTTCATGACAGATTAGCAAATGAAAAAAGTAGCTATTGTGATTGTGGGTTTTAGTTTTTTGAAATAGTAAAATAACGGTCATAAAAATCGATATATATTATAAATACATTAACAGTTATTAATATTTATTATAATTTACATATTTTTAATAATTTTATTAATTAATTATACTAATGACATCTTATAAGTAGCCTATAAAGTGCAAAGGCTAACATATTTCTTTTAGTATAATGCCATCATATAATATAATGATAAATAATAACATTATATAACAATAATTTTATTATTCGTTATTATTCATATGAAACAATAAGATGAACCTTTATTGCCGAAAAATGGTGACGGAATTCTCTAAACTTGTTATTGAATCAATGGATAGAAGTGCTGAAATGATACCACTCTTAGAATTTTGCCTTCATCTGTATAAAAAAGCAGCTTGGAAGTAGAATTTTACCTGTACTAGATTCTTCAATCATTCTTTTCTTAAGGACTGAAGTAATATCACGAGTAAATAATAATTATTTAGTCCTTGTGGTTTTAGTGATATATAAACTTAGTCCCTTTACTGCTACAAAACTTAATTCTTTAAAAGCACATTTAATTTTTAATAAAATGACTAAAATACCTCTAGATTTCTTTCAATTAATATAAAGTCAAAAGGGTATTTTGAGAAGAAAAATAATAGAATTGGTGACGACTTAATACATTATTAACGGACACTTAACCTAGGAACTAAGTTATAAACAAAAAAGTAAAAACATAGGGATGCAGTATTGATGTTTTCAAACCAAAGGAATAAATACTCATTTTTTCTACAAACACAGGGACTAAATAATAATTTACACTATTTTAATATCGTTGCGAAAAAATAATAATCGGGAGATTGCCATGTGGAGTCAATTATAAATTGGTCCCTCTACTTTCAAAAAAATGAATTAATTAATCCTCTAGTTTAAAAACTAATTATTTAATCCTTAATGTTTGATATTTACTTATAATTTAATCCATTTTACTCTTTTTTAATTTATTTTGATTTTTATAAGAAATAGAAAAAAATATAAAAATATGAAAATATTGATGAGAAAATAAGAGATTTTATGAAATAAAAATAATATTAAATTAAATATGATCAACACCGATTAAGAAATTATTTTAAAAATGAGAGGGACTAATTAGTATTTTCTAATGCATTTTTCAATTTAAAATATCAAGAATTAAATTTTTTAGAGGGAGAAGTGATAGCTTGAAAACATAAGATGCACTAATTTTATTTTATTTAAAAAAAAAAAACACCTAGACTCAGATCAGCTCAAATCCAAAATTAGAAGTTCAAAGATTAATTTTCAGAAGAATTAAAATTCAATAGAGGTTTCGTTCATTTAGCCCCTTAAATAATAATTCTGCTTGCATCGATATCATTTTCCCTTCATAAAATTGAAGAAATTTGTTATTTTCAGGTTCATGGCATGTTAACAAACTGTAGTAGCAGATGATAGTGCAGAAATATTATTACAAAAAACAAAAGCTGCTCCAATGGGATCCCCAAATCCAGAGTCACGATAAGTAGCAAGTTTATTTATTTCCATTGGGGCAAGCTTGACTCAAAGGTCAATCATGAAGAAAAGTAAAAGTTTCTTACTGTCAGGGAACCGACTATGTGATTTGGACATTTCGTCAAACAGCATCCAGCCAATTTCGTCAACACTTTCTTGGAATGAGGTTTCTGCCACCCCACATTTTTTACAGGATACCCTGGGTGTTGACCAGCAAAACTACTTGGGCCTTGCTTGTTTCTTAATTTTCTTTCACACCATCCATCTAAATTTTTAAGAGACTTCTTGTTAATTTCATGATTGATTTGCAAATTCTTAGTAGTAGATAGAAGTGCTGAAATAAGAGAATTTTGCCTTTATCTGTACAGAAAAGCAGCTTTGAAGGGATCCCCTTGTCCAAAGTGGGACAAAACTAAGAAGTAGAATTTTACCAGTATTAAATTCTTCAATTATTCCTTTTTTAAGGACTGAAGTAATATCATGAGTAAACAATAATAGTTTAATCCTCGTGGTTTTAGTGGTATATTAACTTAGTCCCTTGACTGTTTATAAAAGTTAATTTTTTAAAAGCTCCTTTCATTTTTTTAGAAAATGACAAATATATCCCTCAGTGTGATCATGATTAATGGTTTGCAATCACAAATAACTTCAGAAGCTTAAGTTTTTCAATGTTAGTAGAAAAGATTAAGAACACTCAAGAAACAGATATATATTTATGCTTAGCTTAAGATAACATGGAAAGGGAGTTCAAGTGACTACAAGTTTGATGAATTTATTTCTTTTCCACAAAGGAAAGATTAAATACAAGCAGATATAGCCTAACGGATGTAAATCAAGTTTGGTCATTATGCAACCAAGAAGGCTATGTTTATTGTGTAACGCAAAGCCCATAGACCTTCCAACGATAAACCAAAAAAAGCAAAAATAAAGATTAACAGATCCATCATCTTGGATAAGAAAGAACAGATGCTGGCATTGGTGCGGAAGAAATATGTTGATTAGCAAGAGGAGAAGATGTCAGTGCATGTAAAAACTTATACACCAGGTTTGAATCTACCTCCATTACACCCTCCAATACTTTCACAACTGTGGACATGAGGGGCCTACTTTCTGGGTCATCTTGCAAACACCAAGCAGCAATCTTTATCATTCTGATTATTTCTTCTGTATCACTCTGCATGTCTTCATCTAAGTGATCCACAATGTAGACAGTTTCTTTCTGCAACATTCCAAGCAAATGAACCGCAGATTCTCGTTGCGAGTCATCCGCATTTTTGCGTGCACAAACTACTTCCAGTAGAACAATTCCAAAGCTGTATACATCAACTTTTACAGTGATGCGACCTAATGGTTGACGCCATTCTGGGGCAAGATATCCAGGCGTTCCTCTCATTGAGAGTTCAATTTGGCTCATCTCCCTATCAATCGGTTTAGATAATCCGAAGTCAGAGATTTTGGCGTTGAAATTTTGATCCAAAAGAATGTTTTGTGGTTTTATATCCAGGTGCATAATGGTCTGTCGGCAGTCTTCGTGAAGATAAGCCAGCCCTTTAGCTATGTCAAGTATAATCTTCTTTCGTGTCTGCCAATCCAGGGACGATCTTTGGTTTTTCTTAAAAATCCAATTATCCAATGATCCGTTACTCATATACTCGTAAACTAAAAGCGTGTATGATTTCTCTGAACAAAATCCAATCAACCTCACCAAGTTAAAATGGTGCAAGCTTCCAATTGTCTCAACTTCTGCTAAAAATGCCCTCTTTCCTTGGCCTAATCTATCCAAACGCTTTACGGCAATTCCTGTTCCATCTGCTAGTACTCCTTTGAACACAGAACCGAACCCTCCTCTTCCAAGTGTTTCCCTGAAATCATCCGTTGCGATGCGTAGATCTTCATATGAAAACCTCACAGGCATTCCTGGAACTTGGTTTATTTGATCATCTTCCACGTCCTTCTTTGATTTTTTAGCCTTCATCCACCGTCTTGCCCTTACGATGATTACTACAACAGAAATTGTGAACATCGCACTAGCTATAATTCGTGATATATTTGGTGCTAAACGTTGTCTTGGTTTTCTGTCTTCCGGTGAAGGGCTAGGTGTTATCTCCCCTGATGTTGGCTGAGAATTGTTTCTTGTATCAACTGGTGTGGTGTTTGTGCTTGGCGAAGGGCTCGGTGTTTTATCTTCCGGCTTTGTGCGGCTAGGAGCTGTGGCATTTACCGTTACTGTTGCTGTCTCAGCTTTGTTTACCTTTGCTGTTTCTTTTTTGTAAACAGTAGCAGGATAAGAATTCTTTATGTTGCTTTTGATGGAGTTGTATGCCAAAAGTCTTCTCGGACTTGTATTTTTTGCTGCATGGAATGTACCAATGAACAATGATAAGATGAGAATTCGGAATAAATAAATAAATTATTATTCAGACTCCCCTGGATGTTTTACATGCACTGTAATTTGATAAAATACATAAAATTATTTTTAAAAATTATTTTATTTTAATATCTCATATTATATTATACATCTATTAAAATACATCAAATTTTATATTTGACTTATTATTTTTTATCTTTATATTTTTCATAATTTTTTATTAAAAAATTATTTAATAGTATAAAGAACGTTAAAACCAATTGATTCTTAGCTAAAAATTTATTTTGTAATGGTTTTTAAACATTTTTTTCTTTAAAATTTTTTATTAAAAAAATAAAAAAAAGGACCAAAATGAGAAAAATGAAATAAAAAAGAGGGACTGAAACCAAATAAAATTTTTTTTACGGATTGAAAAAGTCATATTTGAAAAAAAAAGGATCAAAGTGTAATGTTAGGAAAATTTTCATTATAAATGTATTAAAAATGTTTAAAAACTACAAAAATATTATTGTATAGTAAAATGAATAGTGCTTTAGAGTGTGTGAATAATAAAATAAGTGTGGATGAATAGTATTTTCAATAGTAAATGAATAATAAAATTAATAATTTTACTTTAGTTTTATTTATAATTTATAATGTTTTTAGTAAAATAATTAATCTCTCTTATTTAAAAAAGAGAATATCACATGATCTTAATGTTTTCGTTTGTATTATAAGGTATTTGGCTCTCAGTAGTTCAATAATTTTTCTTTTCAAAATACTCCTTTTCATTACGAATTACTTCTTCTATTCTAAGGAAATTATCCCTTTTATTTATATGTGTGTCAAAAAGCTTATGTGATCAAAATTTTCAATAATATTTTCAATAATTGATAAATAAATAAATCCTTTCTTCCATTTTTTTTCTCTTCAAAAACAAACAATTAATTTTTTTATACTTTTTTTTCTTGTACATACAAATGTCTCTAACTTTTATATTCTTCTAGAAAACTCATAGAAGTTTGCAAAATATCTTGATCACATTCAAAACAATAGAATTCCAATTTCCTACCTTATTTCCTAATTTATAATTTACTCTATCTCCTTTCAATATCCTATGTGTTGAAGACTAGGAGCACTCTAGTCAGTAATGACGCGGTACGCGGCTGGTAGGACCAACAAGTCAACAACTCTGTGTCTGGCCAATAGGACAGGACTGGAATAGGAATGTAGTTTGATCATTTTTTCTAAAAGAACTAACGGAGTTTTCAAAGAATTAACAATCATAGATTGTTAATAAGGGATTAAAAACACATAAAACACTCATAAAGCTACCACAAGATTGAGAGATGGTAAATTTACCTGCGCAGAAGATAATTTGGTAATCGGCTGATGCACAATACTGTGGTGACCCAAAGGCTTGGCACTCATCCTTGCACGCCACGATCTCCCTGTTGGAACTATTAAACTTAAGCTGTGAAGGACATGCTCCATTCAAATCCCTCAAGCATCCTGCGCTTCTACAATTCTGATCAGAAGGCACAACAAGCAAAGGCAGGTTGAGGCCATCAAAAACACTAACACCAAAAAAATCAAGTCCACCATAACCATCGAGCTTGAACTCTGCCAACGTCGCAGGAGGAGCTGCGCCGTTGCCTAGACATTCTAGTTTGCCAGAACCACAGTCACCTGTGATGCAAGAGAACTTTCCTGTGGAGTCTTCAGTGCAATGAGTGCGGCCCATAAACGACCACCCCAACATGTTGGTACTGAAATGGTCTTTGATTGACCCGTTGGAAGGGAGAAGCCAGTGGTAAAGAGTGGAGGATCATCTTCATTTGACAGAATTCCTGGCCATATTGTGTAGTTACACTTGTTTGTTACTGTAAAAGTTGTTGAAACAACACCTGCTAGCAATTATATCATATAATATAACAACAACTGTTAATTTAGATTCAAGAATTAGACCAGAAAACATATTGGAGAATTCCATGGGTTACCTGATATGAATAAATGAGCAATGAAGAGATGCCTCAGATCCATACTTGTGTGGAGTTGCAAGCTCAATGCAAAGGAAAAGGAGAACTTATCGAACACAGAGTGGACTTACTTTGTCAAGGCCTTTTGTTGTATTAAGGTGGGATAAGATTTCCAAGGTCCAGCAAGAAACTCAAGTGACTTTCCCTACTTTGGGGAGAAAAAAAAAAAAAAAGTTAACCCTTTTTTAACTGCACGACTTTGTCAATTGTGCATTTCTTGTGGACCCATTTGTAATTTCACATCATATTCATTCATTGAAGGCACTTTGTGTTCCTGCATCGGATTAAATTTCATCATTTATCTTTTTGTTTGTGTCGACCTTCTTTTCCTTTTTATTTATTCATTTTTATGAATGCGATCTAAATTAATAAATAAAAATTAGGATATGCTCGTCGATTCTTATATAATAGATTAATATTTTATTATGTTCTTATATTTTAAAATGCTTTCAATTTGTTATATATATATATTGTTTCTAATTTATTATTTTGATCAAAATTTTTTCACTAATTTATTAAAAATTAATCTTCATTTTAATTAATATAAATCATTTATATTAAATAATTAAGATAATTTTATCAAATTACATGCTTAATTTTTAATGAATTGATTGAAAATTTTAACTAAAAAAATATTAAAAATCAATTCAAATAATAAATACATATTAATACCGTTTTAAAAATAATGAATAAATTAAAAAATTAATTTATTATATAAGAATGCGTGAAAGTATTAATCATAAAAAATTAATAAAAAAAAAATACGGCAGCAAACAGAAAGCCCAAATCTGGGAAGACGCAGCATACTGGATAGCAGCACAGGAGAACAAGAAATTACAATACAAGGGATGAGAAAGAGCAGTAACCTGCCAAGAAACTCAATGCAACAGCCGGTACTACAATCCCAGAAAACGAAACACAAAAATAAACTAGATCCAAGCCACCATATCAGTACCTCTGAAAGTACTCAATGCAACAATTACCCAGAAATTGTTGCCGTAAACATGAAAACGAATGATAGCAATTGATCTTTAATATTCATTTTAAGAAATCATTAATTAGTTAAGCAACATGTGAAGACAAAAACCAAAAAGAAAAAAAGGGAAAAAGGGGAAAAATTATGAACACAGAAAACTTATTTGGTGTTTACGTTTTCTACTTTTAGGATTAATGATTTATTCTGTTTTTATATAATAGGATAATTTTACATTAAAAAAATTATTTAACTGATTTATAGGATATTTTGAAAATAAAAATTTATTTATGCGTAAATTACTTAAAAATCTTGACAAAACGAGAGATAAATTGAAAATTTAATAAATTTTAAGAATAAATTGACTTAATTAAGAAAATAAATACATATCGGATAATTATTTCATTATAAAAGTTTTATATAAGGATAGACTAAGCTTAACTCGTACTTAAATTTCAACCATCAGCTCATTTATGCTTGGTTTGGCACTTTCAAACAACTCCACAAACTTTAAATGATTCAAACGTCAATAGGAAAGAAATTATGAACACTCAAAAACCGGTTGTGCATAGCTTAAGATAACATGGAAAAACAGTGTAAATGATGACAAGCTTCATGAATTTTGTTTCGGCCAGAAGAGAAATATATATCACTAGATCATCTGGGACAAGAAAGAACATCTGCTGGCGGCGGTGCTGAGGTAATATGGTGATTAGCTGGCGGCGGTGCTGAAGTAATATGGTGATTAACAACAGGAGGAGATATCAATGCATGACAAAACTTATAAACGATGTTTGAATCTACCTCCATTACACCCTCCAACACCTTCACAACTGTTGACATGAGAGGCCTTTTTTTTGGGTCATCTTGCAAACACCAAGCAGCAAGCTTTAACATTCTGATTATTTCCTCTTTATCAATCTGCATGTATAGATCATCCAAATTCTCCACAATGTCTATGAGTCTATCTTCTTCAGCTTTCCTCTGCAACATCTTAAGCAAATGATTGTTAGATTCTGGCTGTGAATTATCCACATTTTTGCGTGCACTAACGATCTCCAGGAGAACAATTCCGAAGCTGTATATGTCAACTTTTACCGTGATACGGTCTGGTGGTATTTTACAACATTCTGGAGCAATATATCCTGGGGTTCCTCTCATTCGGGTTTCAACTTGGCTCATATCTCTATCAACTAGCTGAGATAACCCAAAATCACAAATTTTGGCATTGAAATTTTGATCCAAGACAATGTTCTGCGGTTTTATATCGAAGTGTATTATTTTCTTCAAGCAGTCTTCATGAAGATATGCCAGCCCCTTTGCTATGCCAAGTATAACCTTCTTTCGGGTCTGCCAATCAATGCAAGATCTTTGGTCATTCTTGAAAATCCATTTATCCAACGATCCTTTGTTCATATACTCGAATACCAGAAGCCCAAGTGATTTCTCTGCACAAAATCCGATCAACTTCACCAAATTAAAATGGTGAAGGCTTCCAATTGCCTCAACTTCTGTTACAAATGCACTCATATCTTCGCTTAATTTCTCCAACTTCTTCACGGCAATTTCAGTTATTCCATCTTTCAGTACTCCTTTGAACACAGACCCGGAGCCTCCTTTTCCAAGTCTATCTTTGAAATTACCAGTCGCGATGCAAATATCTTCATATGAAAACCTCACAGGCATTCCTGGAACTTGCTTTATATGATCAGCTTCCAAATCATTCTCAGGTTTTTCGGATTTGCTCCACCATCTCGCCCTCAAAATAAGAATCACTACAAGAGAAATGACGAGCAGAGCACCACCAATAACTCCTGCTATAATCAGTGCCAAACGTCTTCTTAGAGTAGTATCAGGCCTCATTTCTGGCAAAGGGTTTGGGGTTTTCTCCCCTGGCGAAGTGGGTCTTGGTGTTTCCTCTTCTGACGAAGTGGGGCTTGGTGTTGTAGCATTTGTTACGTTATTTGTAACTACTGCACCACTGCTTGAATTGGATCCCTTTGAACGAGATCTAACGTCAGCTGTTGGGGTGACTGCGGAGGATTCCGATGACGAATTGGGGCCATTTGCAGTGGCATATGATGAAACGGTTGAGGTTTTTGTGGTGGACTCGGACGCCGAACGTCTTCTTGGAGTAGCATCTTTCGCTGCAAATGGATAAATCTTATCTTAATCATGGAAAATTTTATAATACGCAATGTGAAAGTATTATATATGTAATTAGTTATTTTTTATGTATTATATAATTTCTCGCTTCATTATAACATATAGGAGAAGACGGGGTAAACTTTTGAAGATAATATAATATTTTTTCTTTTCTTTTCTTTTTGTTGAGTGTTGTGAATTTTTTTCCCTACTTGAGTAATTTACGGTCATTTTTTTTAATATAAATTTAGAATCCTAAAATAATAAAACTGAAAAAATAATCATAGCAACTAAATCCATTTTTTCTAATAGGACTATAAGGAGACTATAATGCCCTTCTTTTTTCTTTTTTTTTTGGAATGGTCCAGTTGTGATTTATTTTTAGCTATAGTAGTTTGCCTTTTTTTTCAAATTAATTTAGAATCATAAAATAAATAAAACTGAAAAGAAAACGAAATTCATAGTAACTAACCCAGTTTTTTAAATTGTCAAGTTGTGAACTTTTATCTTTGTGTTATAATAATTTGTTTTCTTATATATATATATTCAGAATCCTAAAATAAAAAATAAAAACTGAAAAGAAAGCGAATTTCATAGTCACTAAAATAACTAAATCCCTTTAAAAGAAATTATCCGCTTGTGATTTTATTTATTTATTTATTTATTTATTATTATTATTATGCTATAAGTTTTTGTCATTTTTTTTATAAATTTAGAATCATAAAATAACTAAAAAAAAAAAAATTTCCTATTAACTATCTCCTCTTTAAAAAAAAAAAAAAATTCAAGTTGTGAGTGCAAGGAAAAACTAAAAATTTATAATATCTTTATCTTGATTGTATTAAGAATACCCTGCTTCTATTAGAGTCTTATCTAAATTTTTTTTTACTGTTAAAAAAAATATTTTCTATGGTTAACTCTAAATTGTAATTAAACAGAAAAAGAAAAAAACTTTTATTAGTTTGGAGACCAAAACATAAAATAAAAATTAATTAGTTTCACTTAATTTTATTGCTATGAGTGTAGACTCTATCTATCACACAATCTTGATAGACAATGCTAGCAGTATTTCAGATTTTTTTTTTTTTTTTTTTTTTTTTTTTTTGTTTCCACTAACATTCGCTTATTAAATGATGTGAAGATTTAAGTATCCCAATATTACTCATCTTGATAACTGATAATATTTAAGTTTAATGTCAAAAATTTCATATTAAATACAAATGATATTTTATAATTTTTTTTCTGAGTCTAAATAATATATAAAAAAATTATTTGATGATCTAGTATGTCACGGTATGTGATTCATGTAATATTAAATTATCCTTAAATTAACTAGTTTCAATCTTAAATTAAATACTGATGAAATTTAGATTTGGAAGGTTTTTTTGTTATTTTATTTTTTTCAATGAAAGTATGTTAGTTTACGTGTCTAAAAGTGTCTCTCCAAAAACACATATGTTGTTTGTTTATTAGACCACGTCACTTTTATATGCAAAAAAATAAAAATAAAAAATGCTAGAGATCGGTCGACGGAAAGGTAAGATTTTGTTTTTTTTTTTTTGGAAAAAAAAAAAGGACTCAAATCGGGGGAAAAAAAGAGATTGCAGGCCTATTTTTGTTTAATTAAAAATTCAGAATACTATATATAGAACCAATCAGCCTTGTGCAAAGCTAACTAAAATCAAAAGTAAAAAATCATCCTAGATGTAAATCAAAACAATGAAGAAAAATAAAAATAGATCCAAGAACACAAAACTCAAAAAACTGCTACAAGATTGAGAAATGGTAAATTTACCTGCGCAGAAGATGATTTGGTAACCGGCTGATGCACAGTTCTGTGGTGATCCAAAGGCTTGAGACACACACTTGCACACCGCGATCTCCCCATTGGAACTATTAACGTTCAGCTCTAAAGGATATGCTCTGTTCAAATCCACCACGCATCCTGCATACGTATGTAAGACTACGATCAGAAGTCATAACAAGCAAAACTGCAGGTTGAAGCCATCAAGAAAAGTAAAAACAAAAATCTAAGCCCACCAGAACCGTCAAGCTTGAACTCTGCCGGTATGGCAGGAGGTGCCGTGCCGCTGCCTGAACATTCTAGTTTGCCAGAACCACAATCACCAGTGATGCAGGAGTATTTTCCTATGGAGTCTTCAGTGCAATATGTGTGGCCCCAGAAACGAGCATCCCATGAAGCTGGTGCTGATATGGTCTCTGACTGTCCCGTTTGAAGGGACAAGCTGGTGGTAGAGAGTAAAGAATCATCTTCATTTGACAGAAAGCCTGGCCATATTGTGTAGTTGCACTTGTTTGTTACTGTGAAAGTTGTTGAAACAACACCTGCTAGCAAATATATGATATGATTAACAAGAATTTCTTAAAGTTTTTTTTTCTTTTTTGGATGAGATCGATGATTATATTAATGAAATAAGCTAGCAGGGAGCTAGAAAAAGAAGACTACAACCAAGCTAAGAAGTTGATAAACCTATAGAGACTAGACTAAACTAGAGAGTCAGCTACAAAACTTTTTTTCCTAAGTATATGAGTGAAAGAACTTGTTAATTTATATTCTAGAATTAGAACAGAAAACATATTGAAGCTTAACCATATCGATCGGTTACCTGATATGAACAGATGAGCAATGAAGAAACTGATTAGATCCATAGATTGTGGAGAAGCAAGCTTTAATAAGGTCCTAGGTTGTATTTAAAAAGGGCTTAGATTTTCAAGCTCAAGCATGAAAATCTGTTTTGCTACATTGCACCAGCACGACACAACTCATGTATTTAATCAAGACGAGCTGCATAGGATCCTTCAGAAGAGTCCAAATCTATTGCGAGAAAAATAGTATCTATTTGAAGCTGGGAGGGACCGACGTTGTCAATCGTTTGTCAATTGTGTTTAAAGTTGAAAGAGGCATTTAAGTTTTTTATTCAACTCTTTCTTGAAAATTAGATAAACTGTCTTAAATTTTTTGACAATATGCATTGTGTTTACTTTATGAAAACGAATCTGAACAAAAAGCTTTCCTATTCTGATCAGCATTGATGAAATTAATTAAGAGTTAAATGGACGAAATTTCTTCTAAATTTTAATTCATTTGAAATTGATTTTTGGATCTTTGAACTTTTAATATTTTGCGCTATTTTATGATTTTCAATTATTATTTTTTAAAAAAATTAATTATTAGTATTTTGAGTTAACGTTTTACATACGTTTAGAAAAAAATCCGATCCATTATCTAGATAAATTCTAGAATTTACTCGACAATCCTATGATCCAGTATATTATTTGCATTTTGAGTTTTTCTCTTTTTTTTTCTTTTTTTTTTTCCTTTTTGTTAATTTCTATATTTGTTATGCCTTATTAGAGCGTGTCTACAGGCACGTACCTGCATTACATAATTTATCTCGATTTTCTTATGAGGAAAAGACAGCTGAGGGAGACTGAGGAAGGACCGAATTATCATCGTTTGCTTTATTGAAAAGCTGGAATGTGCCGTGTAGGAGTTGATTGGGGTCGATAGGAAAAAAATTATTTACATCCAAAATAAAGTTTGGTAAGGATCGTTTTCAAAGTTGATATAATCTAGATCCGATTATCTTCATTTATAAAAATAATTTACATTTTGATCCTTATATAAAAGATTAATAGTCTTATGTATTTTTATATAATGATTTAAATTTTCAATCTATTTTTATATTTTAAAACAATAATGTTATGTTTCTGTTATTTTAGATAATTTATTATTATTTTTTTTTGCAAAATCATTAAAAATTGACTACATGACCTTCACATAATATGTCTTTTAACGGAAATGACCATCATATACAAATCAGCTTACTCAATGGATTTATTTTTCAAGAGCATTAACATAAAAAAAAAAGAAAAAAAAAGATGTAAGTGCCAGTCATGTGATCAATTTTTAGTAGTTTGTTTTGAAAAATTGACCATAATGATGAATTAGATATTAGCTAATTAAAATAATAGGAACATGATATAATTGTTTTAAAATATAATAATAGATCAAAAATTTAGACTGTTATACACAAAATTGAGATTATTAACTCTATTTTACACGAAATTCATAACATATGTGTGGTTATAAGGAGGAGTAAATTATAAATTAGTCCCTCTCGTTAAAAAAAAAATTAATTAATTAATCATTTTTATTTAAAAAACTAATCACCTAGTCCATCATGTTTTAATTCTCAATAATTTTGTTATTTAATTAGTTTTTGATAAGATTAGTTATTTTTTTCTCAAATTGTCATTTTTATGCTTTATTTATCTTCTAAATCAACTTTTTTCTCTTTCTTCAACAAAAAAAAAAAAATCAATAAAAGAATAATTTGAAGATAGAAATCACTAATCTAATAAAAAAAATTATATTATTGACAAAATTAAAACGTGATAAATTAAATGATTAATTTTTTAAAAAGAAAAAAACTAATTAATGCGTTTATCTAAAAAAACAAAGGCTAATCTATAATTTACTCGTATAGGGAGCAGTGTTTCTTACCCAAAATGTAAGGTCAACTTATTTTAAAATATGGAAAAACCGAGACGTGATGGATAAAAAATAAAAAAAGGGCAATTATTGAAAAGGAAGAGGGATAAACCTTGCCTTAGTCTTGGCCCGTGTCCCGGTGTCCGTGTATTTCTTGTTGTGTTTGGAGACTGTAGAGGGCCGCGTCTGACGTAGTTAAATTGACGTCAGATGGTCAAATCACTGAATTAATGTGACGTCAAAAGACTAGAAATTATTATATACAAAGAAGTTGTATGAGAATTATAAATTAATCCCTCTTCTTTAGAAAAATAACTTAATTACTCTTTTTTCTTTTAAAAACTATTTTTTTTTCTCTAAATTGTTCTTCTTTTGATTTTTGGTTTATGACAATTAAGTACTTCTATCTAACTTTAAAGCTTTTTGTCCATAATTCTGTTCGAACTATTTTTTTTTTTAAGAAAAAACGTCATTATTTTAGGGATTTAATGCTTTTTTAAAGTGATTCTAACAAAAATTCTTAATTAAGAAATTAAAATAATTTTATTGCAAAATTGATACAAAAGTTAATTTGAATTTAAAATTAATAATACTCTAATAATTTAATGGTTTATTTTATGTTTGGCTTCTTCTTTTTTTAATACTCAGGGACAAAAACGAACCCCAATGCTCTTAAAAGCCCTGTGATTATTCTAATTTTTTTAATTTCACCACCTCATTAACACTGATGTTTTAATTTAATCCCTCAACAGCACATTTTCTGTTAAATATAACTACCAAGAAACTAAAACCAGAAAGGCCAACTTTTCCAATTTCAGTCCTTCCCTTCCTTCTCTCCCTCTAGAAGATTCACATCCCCTCTTCTTCAAGAAACTCTCCATTTTCAAGAATCTTTCAACTCAAAGTGTTTTAATTCTCTCAATGATTTCGTCATTTAATTGGTTTTTGGTAAGATTAGTTAATTATTTTTTTCAAAAATTTTTTATTTATCTTCTCATTCGTTCTTTTCTCTCCTAAAAAATTAATTTGAGAATAAAAAATTATTAATCTAATAAAAAATTAAATTTTCGACCAAATTAAAAAGTGTGAAAGATTAAATCGTTTTCCATACAAAAAGGATTAATTTATAATTTACTCGTATAAGGAGCAGTGTTTCTTAACAAAAAAGTAAGTTCAATTTGTAGTAAACGAATATGGAAATGCCGAAAGGTTAGGGAAAGAAAAAGGACAATTATTGAGAGGACAGAGGGTTTTGTCATAAAAGTATGTGATATTTATGATTGTAATTAATTTTAGATTTTTGTATGGATATTCATTAATCTATGCATAAGTGTTTAATAATAATAAAAAAAATACAAAGGGGGAAACGTGAATTATCATATAAATTTTTATTATTAAATTAACATAATTATTCTACTAAGACTTAAAAAGAACACATGTTAATTTAATTAAGATTAATTTTTATTTTGAGTGTCAATTATTTTTATGTGACTCATATTGAAATTTTTTGACACCCTTTTCCGATTGAGGCATTATGAACAATTATGAAAATAATAATCTTATTAATAGATTATTAGTAAGATAAATTGATAAGGTACATGGATTAATAAAGAGCTTATCACGTAATATTTTTCTATGTAGAAAATAAAATTTGATATATTATTTTTTAAAAATATATCCTTACTTGACTGTAGTATTATGAACAACTATAAAAATAATAATCTTATTAGTAGATTAGTAGTAAGATAAATTGAAAAGGTACATGAATTAATAAAGAGATTCCCATGTAATATTTTTCTACGTGGAAAATAAAAAAATAATCATTGAAAGACTAGAAATTATTGAAAATAAACGTGGAAAGTGCCGCGCAAGAAAAAAGGGCAATTATTGAAAAGGAAGAGGGATGAACCTTGGTTTTTGCACGTGGGTGTCTTGTTGAGTTTGGAGAGTGCCGCGTCTGACGCAGTTAAAACGATGTTACATGGTCAAATAACTTTAATTAAGTGATGTCAAAAGACACATGAAGTTGTATGGGTAAATTATAAATCACTCCTCTGCTTAGAGAAATAAATAAATAAATTTTTTTTTAAAAAAAAGTAATCATTTTTTTCGTTAAATTCCTTTTTTGTTTTTTTTTGGTTTAGTAGAAAGAAAGTGGGTGAAGAGAGAAATTAGACATCAAACGAGGAGCAATTTAGGAAAAAAAACTACTTAACTATATAATCATTTAAAAATTCACAATTAAGTACTTCGATCTAATTTTAAAGCTTTTTATCCATTTTTTTTTCAAATTGTATTTTTTTTTAAAGAAACAATGTCATTATTTAGGGATTTAATGCTTTTTTGTTAAGTGATTCTAACAAAAATTCTTAATTAAGAAATTAAAATAATTTTTTAGAAAAATTCATAAAAAAAGTTAATTTGAATTTAAAATTAATAATACTCTAATAATTTAATGGTTTATTTTAAATTCATACAGAAATTAATTTGAATTTAAAGTCATTACGTAGGGAAAGTGCCGCGTAAGAAAGAGGACAATTATTGAAAAGAAAGAGGGATGAACCTTAGTTTTCGCACGTGGGTTTCTTGTTGAGTTTGGAGAGTGCCGCGTCTGACGTAGTTAAAACGAGTCACGTGGTCAAAGCACTTAATTAATGTGATGTCAAAAGACTAGAAATTATTATAAACGTATGAAGTTGTATGGGTAAATTATAAACTAGTCCCTCTTGTTTAGAAACATAAATTAATTAGTCTTTTTTCTTTCAAAAACTAATCATTTAATCCTTTTATCAGTTTTCTTTTCCTTTAGATTAGAAATTTTTGTTTACAGATTGTCCATTTTGGTTTAGGAGAGAGAAAAAAGTGGGTGAAAAGAGAAATTAGACATCAAAGAAAGAGCAATTTAGGAAAAAAATCATTAATTTAACAAAAATCTGAAGGAAAAAATTATTGATGAAATTAAAAAAAATAAAAGATTAAATAATTAGTTTTTAAATCAATAAGGACTATTTTGTTTTTTTTGAAACAAGAGGGATTAATTTATAATCTCCTCGAAGTAGCAAACACCCCCACACCCCTCCCCCCCAAAAAAAAGCTTAAGCATAGAGTACTGTGTCAGGAAATTATATGTGAATTCTATCTTTTTTATGGGAAGGAGTATTGTGAATATTTTTTTATATAAAAATCCATATTTAAATGTGGCTCACACCTAAAGAGTAACAAAAAAAGGATTTTTTAAATTAAAAAAATAATAATAACAACATTCTTGTATAACTCAAAACCTAGCTATATAGTGAAAGCTTACTGTGTTAGGGTTAATTTAGAGTAAATTGTAAATTAGTCCCTATCATTTCAAAAAAAAATATGAAAATATTGACAAGAAAGAACAATATTTTATGAAATAAAAAATATTAAATCAAGTTATCAACTTTGATCAAAAGATTAAATAATAATTTTTGAAATGAATGCAACTAATTAATTTGTTTCTTAAAATGAGAGGAACTAAAATTATCATAAAATTCTATATTCTTAATGTGAATGAAAGGTGTTTCACAAGATTAGAGAATAGATCGAGGGGATGTTTGATAAAATTAAAAATTAAGTATCGAATCCGTTAAATAGTGAATTTTAAGTACCGAATATGTTCTTGACAAACTGTTTGGTATTTAATGAAAATTAAGTGCTGAATATCATAAGTTTATTTGATAAATACCGTTGTTGAACATATTAAGGCTATATACATAACAATTTTAACCTTTTAATTGTAATATGATATTTGTTAATACAAATAAAAATATATACATAAATGTGTTTGTGTATACAAATAAATAAATAAATAAAAATTCAAAAAAATAATTATTAATAAAAAATTAAATACGGTCTAAGAAAAGATCAATTGGTGTTTCGGATTCGGGATGGCGGCACCAATAATGGAGAAGGTTTCTTCTATTTTAGCAATAAGGATAATAGAGATTGTTTTTCAATTGATTTATATATCTAAAGTTATAAAAATATAAAAGGACAATATAGTCATATTTAAAAAGTTTTAAAAATCTTTTAACCGAGTGTGTCAATTAAAAAAATAATAAGTTAAAAATTTTAATTTATCCGATTAAGTAGATTTTAAGTGAACTTAAATTTTTAATTTGAGATTATTTAGGTTATCAAATAAATATTTTATATTAAGTATTACAACTTAATTTTTTAAGCTACTTAAATAGGTTATTAAACACCGTTTAGTCTTTTAGGTAAAAGCTGGAATTAAGTATATATACCCATTACTCGTAAAATTAAACTATTATATAATCTTTAAATTACATAAAAAAAAATTTATATGAATAAAAGATCTTTTCACATTTAAATTTTTTAATAGGCGAAAAAATCATTAGAAAGATAAAATGAATATTTTAAAAAATTTAAAGATATATGAAATATAATTGAAAATCAGAATACAAATGAAAGAATCCAAGTATAATATATATAGACCAGAAAAGGAACTATGTAGGATTAAACCTATTTACATCAAAGATTCGAATGTATTTTAAAATTTTTAGTAAAATCCTGTGCAATGGAAAAAGCTCAAGTGTGAAAGAAAAAGAACACTTCATGACTTTGTCGGTTCACACTTGAAGGTCCATCCAATCTATTCCACTGTTTTTAGTGATATGGCTCACAAGGGTTTATTTATTTATTTATTATTATTATTTATGCTATTTTTGGAACATCATAAGTTATTACATAGAAAAATCATGGAAATTTCTTCTTGCGTGTCAAAAGATTGAAAATCATCGGATTGAATAAAAGAAAACAGTACATCTTTAGCTTTTTTCTTTTCTTTAATTTTTAATGGAAATCGAGATTAGATTAATTAGAAAAAAGTTACTTGTAGCTGATAAAAATACAGAATTTAGACATAAAAAAAAAAAAAAATTAGAGCAGAAAATACACCAAAGCCATGCAATTTGACCGGGGTCTCTATAGAGGCTAAAGATACTCTAAAAACGTCAAGGTTTAACAGAAACTTCCTTCTCATTCAAACAATCAAATTAGCCAACTCCGATTCAATAATCAAATTTACCTGATAAGCATAGATGGAAGAGGCACTAATCTCCGAAGATTTTTTTATCACTAACACCTCAACCTCATTTCATTCTTTGATTTCTGTTGGAATGAAAAATTTATACCAGATGATTCTTTGGCGATTTCTGAAAACTCCTTCAATACCAAAAATCTCAAGCTTGTCTAACAATAAACAATCAATATTCCATTTCGTAGAGTCTAGACAAGGCTTAGATCACTATTTGTATAGAAAAAATGATCATCTATAAATTCGTCCAGTAAGCTAACCTGTGGAGCATTAGAGAGGATATGATCCCAATCTGGCCTAATATCATTGAAGACTATCATTCCTTGTGAGCTAGATAGACCAGAGAACAGCATAAAGAACTAAAAACTAATTTTTTTCTAGCATTCGACCATTACAAAAGAACTTCCATCCTTGAAACATGTCATCAAGAAACATCTTTAGCTTTATTAATTATATGCATGTAGAAGGCAAAGTGGGATGGAGCAGCTATTGCTCTGTTTATTTATCATCTTGCAAACAACAAGCAGCAATCTTTATCATTCTGATTATTTCCTTATATCACTTTGCATGTTTTCTTGATTATCTAAAGTTTCTACGATGTCTGCTAGTCTATCTTGTTCACCTTTCTTCTGCAACATTATAAGCAAATGAATGGCTGTTTCTGGTTGCGAGTCATCTTCATTTCTGCGTGCAAAAACTATCTCCAGGGGAAGAACAACAAGCTAAGGGAGGTTGTAGCAATCAACGAGACTAACATCAAATAATCAGTTCCAGTGTCATCATAATCTAGATTGATCTCTGACAAGGTGGCAGGAGGAGAAGCACCATTGCCTGAACATTCTAGTTTGCCAGAATCACAATCTGCTGTGGTACAGGAGAATTTTCTTGTGGAGTCCTTAGTGCAATATGTGCTGCCCCATAAATAACCAAACGAGGAATCTGGTGCTCACATTGTTCTTTGACTGAAACTTTTGTAGGGAGAAGCCTGTGGTGGAGAGAGGTGCGTCAGCACTAATTGGCAGAATCGCACGATTTCTATTAGCAAGCAAACTAATCAATCACCAATTCTTTCTCCTTACTGTTATCTGCAATATTCTTGATTGTGTTCTTTGAGGTGGACTTCCAAAGTATGGTACAATGACTACCCTTTTTTTTCTCTCTCTCTTTATCGTACTAGTTCTGTTGCTTGAATCAAGGCAGTTTTAGACTAACTTGAAAGAAAACAACACTACAATGGTGATTGTAAAAGTTCATTGATAATTGAATTGATGGTGTTGTGGCTATAATTTTTTGCGAGTTCGATATGGAGGATAGATTAGATCCACAATTTGTGGTGGTGCCATTAACCTATTTCTTATTGTGCTTCCTGGTCAACTTAAATTTTAATGTTAAAGAAAAAATTTCGAAAGTTCATGATTAACAAATTCTTGTAGCAGCTGATACTTTTGACTTTTTTTTTGTTTTCAAAAAAAAAAAAAAAACAAAACAAAAAAAAAAAAACAAAAACAGCTTCAATGGCATCAGGTCCATTGTTCGGAATACAAATTTTTTTGTTTTTTTGTTTTTTTCTTAATGTGTTCCTCATAAATTCTTCCAACTGAAAAAATTGAATTGAAGAGATTTTGGAATTGTGAATTGAGACAAGAATTGATGGATATGGACTCATGGACATGCCAATTAGTCATATTGTTAATGTTTCTTTGACCACGAAAAAGTCATTCCATCAAAGCAGCCAAGAAAATCCCACAAAATGAACACCGGTCTCATCATCACTCAGTCACATCTCAGCAAAAGAATTCGAATTCAGAGGACATATATAGTTTTCTCACAAAAGTCTTTATCTTCCCATCGAATAATTCTATGGAAATTGATAGTATATAGAAAGGAAATATTTTGGTCCCTTCAGGCTTAGTCTGATTTGTTGTTTGCTTTTTATCATCCAGGATTCACAACTGCGAGAGAGTCCAGGAAAACAAAATCTTATGACTTTATTAATTCAAGTAGAAATTTTAGAGTATTAATTTCCAGAGTAAGTATCAGTCCAATAAGTTCAAGTTCTCCATAAAGTGTTGCATCAATGGTGGCAGCATGCATTTGGAAACTGTGACATCTCAAATGATTGAACTTAATATTAATTTCCACTATTACATCTAAGACCAGAAAGACTGATAAAGAGAATATAGAAAAGTTGGAAAAATAAGTAATAGATTTTTGGATCCTGTAGAGTAGTTAAGGGATAATCGCCTGTTTTTATTTTGCTTACTTCCAATATTCTCAAGCCAGCATCCTACATCATTCTGGTAATATCAAAATTCAAACTCAAGAAGAAATAGAGCAACTCTTCTTGACTATTAGCCTAATGTCCTAGGGTTTATTTTGGTTAAATTTGAAGACAAATATTCACAACAAAGTAGCAAATTCTTGTATTTAGCAGAGGTAACATTTTTGACATTTTTTTTTCAAAGGTGGCCTTCAACCCAGTCAAATCCAGCAACAAACTGGGCTTGCATTTTTAGGATCATAGAGGAAGCCATTCCACCAAAGCAGACAAGAAAAACCCATTCTTATGTTTGATTTCTTCATGAACTCCAAAAACCTGGAAAAAATTATGAAGGCTCACAAAATAATTTTGATTAGCTTAAGATTACATGGAAAAGTAGTACAAATGAGGAAAGACTTGAGGAATTTTGTTTCTTCCAAAAAATAAATGAATAAATTGATTTGTCATTTACAACTCGATTATCTGGCACAAGAAAGAATAGATGCTGAAAACTGTGCTGAAGAAATTTGGGGATTATCAACAGAAGAAGCTATCAGTGAATGTGAAAACTTATACACAAAGTTTGTATCTATCTCCTTCACACCCTCAAATACCTTCACCACAGTGGACATGAGAGGCCTTCTTTCTGGGTCATCTTGCAAACACCAAGCAGCAACCTTTATCATCCTCAGTATTTCCTCTCTATCACTCTGCATGCATTCATCTACATTTTCCACAATGTCTATTAGTCTATCTTCTTCAGCTTTATTCTGTAACATTCTAAGTAAGTGGAAGTCAGATTCGGGCAGCGAGGGCTCTATGTTTTTGCGTGCACAAACTACTTCTAGCAGAACAATTCCGAAGCTGTAGACATCAACTTTTGGGGTGATTCGAGAACCTGGTGGTAATTTACACCATTCTGGAGCAATATATCCAGGGGTTCCTCTCATCGAGATTTGAAAATGGCCCGTTTCTCCATCGATGACTTTAGATAACCCAAAATCAGATACTTTGGCATTGAAATTTGGATCCAACAGAATGTTCTGCGGCTTTATATCGAAGTGAATTATGGTCTGACGACATTCTTCGTGAAGATAAGCTAGCCCTTTCGCAATGTCAAGTATAATCTTCTTTCGTGTCTGCCAATCAAGGCCAGGTCTTTTGTCATTCTGAAAAATCCAATTTTCTAACGATCCATTACTCATGTACTCATACACTAAAAGCTTGTATAATTTCTCTGCGCAAAATCCTATCAACCTCACCAGGTTAGAATGGTGCAGGTTTCCGATTGTCTCAACTTCTTCTAAAACTGCCTTCTTTCCTTGGCCTTGTTTATCCAAATGCTTCACGGCAATTATTGTTCCATCTTCGAGAACTCCTTTGAACACGGACCCGAAGCCTCCTCTTCCAAGTCTTTCCTTGAAATCATCGGTTGCAACGCGTAGATCTTCGTATGAAAACCTAACAGGCATTCCGGGAACTTCCACATCCTCCTCAGTTCTTTTAGACTTACTCCACCGTCTGACCCTGAAAATAAGAATCACTACAAGAGAAATGGTGAGCAAACCAGCACCTGTAAGACCTGCAACAATTTGTGCCAGGCTTATTCTTGGAGTAGTATTTGACATTATTTGTTGCAAAGAGCCTGGTGTCATCTCCCGGAGTGATGTTGGCTGAGAATTTCTTCCTGTAATGTCACTTGTGTTTCTTGAATTCTACCTAGAAGTAGTAGTATTTCTAAGAAGTTTGGACTAACATTTTAGGCATGCATCCAATGTAACTTGTATACTAAAGGAGTATGTCGTGGTTCCTAGCATACATACGCTTGATTAAATTTTTCTAATAATGGTATAATCTTCTTTAATTACGGGTTAGAGATTTATTATCAATTAAGAAAAAATGAAGTTGCTTTGTTGTCGGATTGAGTGTATACACATAACAATTAAATATGATTTCTGTGTTGTTTGAATAAAAATAAAATAGGCAGGATGTTTCTAATATTGCTATCAGAATCTATTTATGCTAGGACTTGAACCCTCATTAACAACTAACAAAAAAAAAAAAAAAAGAAAAGAAAAATTGGAATTTACTTAATTTGATGTGGGCTTGGGTGGAGTAAATTATAAATTAATCCATCTAATTTTGAGAAATGAATTAATTAGTCCTTTATAATTTTAAATTTTAATTATTTAATTTTTTTTATTATTTTATGCTCTTACACACACACATGTATATATTTGGAAAATAAAATAAATAAATAAATATCATGAAAAGATTGATGAAAAATTATTTTTTAAAAATAATATAATATCAAATTAAACATGTTCACCATTGATTTAAGAAAGTTAATTTTTAAAACAAAAAAATTAATTAATTAATTTCTCCAAACTAGAAAGACTAATTTATAATTTATTAGATTGGGTGTAAACATAAAGAATAATTGTAACAATTAGACAAGTTATTTACTGTTGTCGAGTGGCGGCTGAAAATACTTAATTGCTTCTATATTGAGCTATGGTGCTTTAAGAAATTTATACAAGCCTGTGAACGTTTCACAGTTCTGTTCCTTTGCATATTAAAAAATGGTACACATGCTTGCATGATCATCAACTATTAAAAAAAATGGGCATAAATTTATAGACAAGTATGGCTTCTCATCATGGTTATAAATATAATAATACCATATGATATGTTTTTTTTTTCCCATGAGCAGAGGTGGTAAACCTTATGGAGAAAAAAAAGTCAATTTATCTTTACATAATACCTTAATATGTTAAGATTCAAATATGGGTCTTTTCTTTCGAATTGAAAAATTCTAAAATAGAAAAGAGAAAAGTTGAATTTGTCTTTATATAATAATTTGAATCTCTAATTTATTCCTAAGTTTCTAATTGAATTTCATTTGTCTCTGAAAATTATTTATATATTCAATCTGTCTTTCTAATCAATTTTTCCATCATGGACAAAAAATTGGCTGAAATGGCCCAAATTGAAATGGAACTTAGTTATAAATAAAATTTTAAGGACTTCAAAAATAGACCATGCAAATAATGTGACTTTGAGTTTTTTTTTTTTGGTGCATTTTAGTAAATGATATTTCTGTCAAGAAATTTATTTTTGATAAAAAAATTAATTGAAATAATAAATTGAATATTTTAAAAAATTTTAAAAACAAATTAATGCAATTAAAAATTTATGGACATAAAGAAAATTCAAGATATTATATAAAAACATATTTAGCTATTTACGTGTATATATATATATATATATATATATATATATATTCTAACCTAGACTTGACCGCCATCCAATCCTTAAGTGCCTCAAATCCGAATCCAACCCCACCCTTGAGTGTCTCAAATCCGACCCTAGCTTGGGCTTTTACATCTTCGACCTAGCTTGGCAACAATTTTACAGAACTTTCAAATTATAGGATGATAGTGCAAAACTATATATTTCTGAAAACTTCAAAATATTTCAAAACTTTTGCAGGTGAAAATAAAAATAAAAAGCAATCAAGCCAGGTCTGGCTTATCGATTTTAAAAAGTTAGGATTACTTTGGTGCGAATTGTTTGTACATATAAATTTTACTAAATTTAATGTTTTTGAACTAGTCCTATATCATTATAACAATAATAAATTGCAGTTCCCAATTTATATCCCAACTTGCTAATATTCCATGCTTCTATGTATTTTCTTGTTGTCAGAACTGTATACAAACCTGTAGTTTCTAGGCTGTTTTTGCAGTTTGCACGTTAAAAATCGGCGCATGTTTCCTGTTTTCGAAGTTACTTTGGTCCTTCCGTTCTTATGAACAGGTGAAGGTTCCCAATATGTGTACTCTTAATCTTCCAAAGTTTAAATGCTATGATACATCTTTGAATGATTGATACAATGATGTGATGATTTGACGGAGTCAGAAAGTTTAATAAGGTTTTTAAAAAATAGATAAATGAAATTATTCAAGCAATAATTAAAATTTTTTAAATAAAAATTACTTTCTTTTTCAAAATAAACTAGATAAATAATGTTATATTTTAAACCCATCGATGGTTTGGAAAGTTTAGAGATTCTTATCTTTCGTCCGTAAAAGGATCATATGTTGCATGAAAGATAATGATTCACTAAAGTTACGAAGGTTTTTGTCATATTTATTTTCTTATAACAGATATTATGTGAGCAATTTATTTTGTATCAATTTAATATTAATAAAATTATCATCTTGTTCAAATTAAAAAAAAAAAAGAGTGAGTAATTTATGGATAAAAACTTTACGACCAACATTGAAGATAACTTATTTTCTTCAAACTTAATCGATACAAGGAGTGCATATTTAAAATCTTTAGAATAAAGAATTTAATTTGTATTGACATATAAGTTTGGTCTTAAAAAACACAACCAATAATCTATTTGGATAAAAAAATTTTTTGCTGGTTTAGAGTTCGGTAAGTAAACTCGAATTCAAGCGAATTTTTTGTCAACGTGTAAGGTTCGAATTCTAAAATTATATTTGTTAAAAATGATTAAATTAAATCTTTTCCCTCATGTTTCGAATACATTTTGAATGTGAAATAAAAATACCTAAAAAAAAAAAGAAGATAAACTAATAAAATGTAACTTAAGAAGAAGACCGACCTTTCATTTCAAAGAGGAATGGCATTACTGTTTTAAGCATTAACTAAATAAAAAGCCAAAAGCTTTCACTTACATGACATTCCCTGAAAGCAAGGAGGAACGACCTTGTCGTTCGTTTTTTTTTTTGTTTTTTTTTTTTTTTTTTTTTTTTGCCTTTGTGAGTTGTGAGTTGACTGGATCCTCTTGTTCTTGGATAATGAAGTATCTAAGTATCCAACTGTCTTTCTTTCTCGGCCAAGGTAGTCTTACTTGGTCTCCACATTAGTCATTATTAATCTATACCAACTAGCGTTTGTTACAAATTTTTTATTAGAAGTCTGGAATAAGACTTTATGTATGCATCTAAATATCTATAAATTTTTAGGCAAACATTTAATATCCTATCAAATTGTAAGGGTATTATCAAATTTTTTTTCCCATTAAAATCACTTAAAAAACTATTAAGTTCCACACAAAAAGAATTCATTTCTTAGGAAAAAAAATAGTACAGTTTAGATGAAAAATCTTTAAAATGAATGGAAACTCTTAACGGAGTAAATCGAAAATTTGATGGTGAATTGATATCGAAATGTGTTTGGTGGTAACATTGAGACTACTTATATAGTTTTGTGATAATTTTAAGATTTTTCATGTGTTTTTTATTTGACAATAAGAGAAAATAATAGATCTGCTTGCTCGTTAATTGATATTAAGTTTTTTTTTTTTTTCCCAAATGATTTTAACGACATACTTCCCATATTGGTCTGGTGTCATTAATTTTTCGAGACTAAATACTAGTCGTTTTCAAGGTTTAAATCTACAAAATCAAAGAATAGAATACATTTCCTTAACTGTTAAGTCAATCCCTCAAAATTTACGTACTTACATAGATATAGACACACAAACAGAAACACCCAAACAATAGGAGAATGTTTTAGTTCATTAAAAAAAAATTCTAATTATAGCATATTTACTTTAGGGATAAGATACTAATTATCTATTCAAAAAAGAATTGAGGTGATTGTGTTGTCGCAATATGTGTATACACATAACAATTAAATATGTTTTCTGTGTTGTTTGAATGAAAAGAAAATAAGCAGGATGTTTCTCATATTACTATCAGAATCTATTTATGCTAGGACTTGAACCCTAATTATCGATTAAAAAAGTGGGATTTGCTTAATTTGGTGTGGGATTGGGTGTACACACACACATATATATATATATAACAGTTGTAACAATTGGACTACTCCTGTTCTGTTGCAGAATGTTGACTGCAAGTACTTAATTGCTTTCTACGTACAGGTTCTGTATCAACTTGTTAAGATTCCCATGCATATATAGGTGAGCTTTCGTGCTTTCAGAACTTTGGACAAGCCTATACACATCTCATTGTTCTGTTCCTTCGCACATTATATATTGGTACACATGCTTGCATGATCTGTAACTCTTGTGATTCAGTTTGAATATTCAGCAGTACATGTAGTTTTGAAAGAGAGAAAGACGGGAGGAATGAAAATTCAGAATTGTTATTTTTACATGTTTGGATATGAAAATAGAGGGGAAAGAAAAGGAAAACATTAAAAGAAACATTACTTGGAAATAATTTTTTTTATTTTCTCTCCTTTTATATATATATATATATAGAGAGAGAGAGAGAGAGAGGATTAGTTAATAGTTATGAGCAAGGGATGAAATGTAACATAATTAACAAGTACATATTTTTCTGTATGTATATATATAGGGATTTAATTATAAAAAATATAAAAATTAAAATGATTTTTCACGCAACATAAGGACAAAAAACCTTCCAATTGAGAACTTATATACAAAAAAAAAAAAAAAGATATAAGGACTAAAATCATTTTCCTAAAACTATATGTCTAAAATGAAAATTAGTGTTTTTTTTTTTTTTTGGTGGATGAAAATGAATTTAGATTAGAAAGAGAGAGTCAACTAGATTTTGACTGGATTAGTCCATCTATGAATTTTGACTGGATTGGTCCATCTATGAATTCCCTATGAGCTCTGAACAAGTTCACTTTCTGAATACAAAGAGTTCATTAATTGATTTGGCCCAAAATGCCACTCTGTGAAACATTAGAGAATAAATTAAATGTTACTGAATCAAGAACTACCCTATTGAAGGCCCAATTAAGGCCCAATCATTTCTAGCTAACCAAATTCACTAAGAATCACTTTTTTTTTTTTTTTAACAGTGCTAATGATAATAAAGATGATCATGGTAGTGACGGTGAATGAAAGAATAGTTGTAAAGCAGTGCTAAGCTTAATAATAATACATTAATAATAATAATATCTATTTTTTAAAAAAATAAATATCTCACCACCGGAGCCGGAGGTAGCCATCATTGGTCAAGAGCCAAAATTATTAGTAATGAAGTTTCCTTGTAAGCAACTCAACCACTCAAGTGAACCAGATTTATTTATTTATTTATTTAAAAAAAATACAAAACTGTGCTGAATATGTGTATGGGCCTATGGGCTATGGGGTGCGAATTGGCAATGCAAGCTTGACTGAGTTCAGCATGGATAGGTCCCCCAACTAACTACTTAAGCAATATTACCCTAAAAGTATCTTATATTTTTCAATGTTGCCCCCACCATCACTTTCAACTTAATAAACCCCTTAAAAAAGCATGTCTTTGTAACGTTCCTTGTTTAGGTTATACTTTGGGCGAAAACGAAAAGCTCGAATTCCATCTCTAATTCACAACATATGACCTCTTACAATATTTGTAATATTGCATTTGATGGATAACTTTTCAAACTATACCATAGATTTTCTTGATTAAGCAAGTTTAGGAATTTATTTTGGTGCTCGAATTGCATCATCCTTAATAAGACATGTGATGAAAAATAAAAATAAAAATAAATTAAAGGAATTAATCTAATTAATTTTGAGGGTCCAAAATTGGGTTATAATAATAATAATAATAATAATAATATATATTTTTTTATAACTTTTAACCTGATTTCTAGGAAAGTGTCCCATACGTAGGTTAGACAATCATAGAATGACTAATTAACTACCGTGATTCAACTAATGGTCCAAAAACTTCACTATAGCAATATTTTTCAACAATATGCAAGCCATTTTCGTTGAACAGTAATAATAGTAAAAACAAAAAAAGTTAATCTGAGTTCGATTCACGATCCCAAACAAACTACATCGAAGGTTAGGATTCTTGATCAAAACCGACAACCGACAAGGACTAGCTAGTGCCTCAATAGAATGCCACAACCCTTGCTATCCTAGATGTCTGCTTTGAACAAAAAAAAAAAAAAGTTACTCCTCACCTATTCTTGCGACGAAAAAAACATGCATTTAATGAATTCATCCTTTCAAGACTGCTTTTGTCCAATCAACACAAACCAAAAAGGTGTTGATGTCGTGAGAGAATAAATCATCATAAAAAAAGACACAGGTCCTCGATTTGGCATCAAAGATCGTCGATAATTAAGAAATAGATCGATAATTCTATCTTCTTTATCATGTAACTTGACAGAAGTCTCATCTATATAAAAACCTTAAGTATCAAAGGTTCTAAGTTTCCATTATGCACTCTCTACTTCGTATTATTGTTCGATTTCTTACATTCGCACATAGATACATATAAAGCCTATTCAGGTATCTCCTCTATCCGATCGCTGACTTAGCCTTCAAAGAATCTCTCAGTCTACCAAAGGAACTTGTCTTGCAGGTAGTTTGATTAAGAAGGGTCTCTTTAAGCCATCGATCTTCACCGTTAATCTTTATCCATAAAGAGCTACATAAATACTAATCATTATTTGAGTTTTAAAATTAATCAATTGCCTTTGTCTATAAGAAACTAAGCAAAAAGCCAATTTTCAGCATCAAAATTTGACTTTTCAAGCTATTTTCATGGCTGATAATCAAGAGACTCTAGGTCATGTGACCCTTCTAGACTTTGCCAGTCCTAGTACCAAACCTGTGGACGTCATCCAGGTACCCCAATACGTCCAAAACATTATGAAAATATTTTTGGCAATGTAAGAGCAGATGAAGGCACTGACCATGCCTCTACCAATACCATGAGCACCCATTCGTGATAAACTACTAAAAACTCCTACACCACCATATACTGCACCACACATCGAGGAAATCGTATCCTTCCCTCACATTAATAGTAGTGATCAACGTCTTATTGAGAAGGGAAGATTAGGACGTAATGATGCAAGAAAAGCTGAATCAGAGCAATACCACTCTTCAAAACCACGAAGAAGCCACTGTCGTTGCCATGGAAAGGAACCATTGAGTTAAGGCTCTCATAAAAAGGAGAAAGGGAAGAAAGGTTGGAGCAATTTCTCAACCCTAGAAATAGATATAGTCTTAGAAGGGATCACAATGAGAGTACCTCTTTATCACAAACCTACTTTTGAGCCTTGAACCTAAGCACTAGTGTGTAGAAAGAAAGTATGAGGCCTCTGTCCAATCATTTTTGGACCAATATAGCCATAAGTTCTAGTTTTCTCTTTTCGCCCCTATATTCTGAACACTAGACTCTCCAAAAAGTTCATCTTAGAAAAGATAAACCTTGACATGTATGATTGATCGACTAATCTTAGGAAGTGTGTATAAAATATGAAGGGGATCCTCGAGCTAGTATTACGAAGAATGGATGCCATTTGTAAAGTACTGCCTACTACCTTCAGAGACACAACTAGAAAATAGTATAATAGTTTGGATCTTGAATTTGTCCTCAACTTCAAGGATATTAATTTTAAGCTAATTGCCTACTCTCTACTGGCATCCTTGTCCATCTTTGCTTGATCTTCTAACAAGAAAGAGAGCACTCAGATATACCTCTCTTATTTCTATTAGGAAATACTAAAAGTTGAAGGGTTATTAGAATCTGTAGCGATAGAATTCCTTATAAAAGGAATTAGTGATGCCAGCCTATAAAGAAAAAATCTTTGCCCTCCCTAGCAGGAACCCCTACCGAATGGAAAAGATTGTAAAAAGCCATATTTTGATAGAAAAAACTATCATAGTTAGGGAAATGCACCCTCACTTTCAGAAACCCATGAAAAAAGCGAAAAGGCAAAGATCCCTATAAGTCCATTTCACCCTAAAAAAAATCTTAAAAGGCCTTAACCTTTCTCGAGCTTTAAACAACACCACTAAACACAACCCAGACAAAAGTATTCATTGCCATCTAGGAAAAAAGATATATAAATTATCTTCCTCCCCGATGAGAGGTCCCTCACACATGCGTAGCTTGAAAAAATATTGTCACTTCCAACAAGACAATGACCATGATATCGAAAATTATTGTTCCTTGGAAAGAAAGATCGAAAGATTGACTATCAGGAGATACCTCAAATAGTTTCTAAAGGAAGGCCCTAATTTAAATCAGATTAAAACATAATCAAATTGCTGCCAGAACGATCTCTAAGAGGTCGGAGTCATATTGGAAGGATAACTAGCTCAAAATGAACCCAACCAAACGAGGAGAATAGGTAAAAATATGATCCTCACCACCACCCAGCCTACAATGCCATGAGATGAGTCAACTGTATTCACTCCAAGAGATGTAGAAGGTATGAACTATCCTTAGAACAATGCGCTAGTCATCTTTGTGATCCTCTCTAATTGTAAAGTTTATCGTATATTAGTAAACCATAGAAGTGTGATGAATATCTTGTCTTATAAAGCCTTCAACCTGATAAAAATGGTTTTCTCCAAACTTCGAGGGATAGAGACCTCATTGATGCATATAAAAAATATTAGAACATATCCCACGTTGAATAGTTAAATCAATAATAAATAATATATAAAGTTGAGAAGGGGTCATCCATCACAAGGGTTAAGTCTTTTGGATGGAACCCAGTCTTAATTATCTAACTCTAATATGGTATCGTAGCATCAAAGAGGTCCAATGGCCCAACAAAGATCCCGAAGTCTAAACCACTTGATAAAAACCAAAAAGCTAGATCGTAAGTGAGGAGTGTTGGAATATATCCCACATTGAATATTTAAATCAATAATAAAGATCATAAAGATAAATTTAGCATACAATGTTATCTTCAAGAGGCTCCTCTTACACGAGATAACTAACCTAACTTGTATAAGGGTTTTTATCCCCGAAATCCCCTACATTAGGAGGAACAACTATGATAAGGGACAACCATTTGAAGGGGAAAAAAAAAGTCATCTTATTAGAAGGCCAGAACAAACTAACCTAGGAACAAGAAGTGACAAAAAAAAAAAAAAAATGTTGAGGGGTTAGTGGTATGGCTTAAAAATTTTAGTGCACAAGCCCAACGTTATAGCCATGGCATAATGAATTTCTAAATGAGTCTCTCTAGAAGTTTTGTACATATGTAATGACATTAGTTAAAAATTTCTCCTCCTAATATGAACTTCATCGCCAATTCAAGGCCATATTCTTCGGAAAACAAATGACCACAATTCCTCTAGAAGAAGAGTTCAAGGCTATATTCCTAAAGGAATAAATGACCATATTTCCTCTAGAAGAAGAGTTTAAGAACATATTCCTCAAGAAACAGATGCTCATATTTCCTCGTAGAGAAGAGTTCAAGGCCATATTTCTTAGAAAATAGACAACTATGTTTCCTTCAAAAAAAAAAATCAATGTCATATTCTTCAAGGAATAATGGCCACATCTTTCGAGAAAAAATAAAAAAAGAATGAGTTCTAGGTGATAATACCAAGGAAATATATGACCTTCCCCTTAGGAAAGTAATTTTTTGGAGAGCTAGTGGCCTTCACTCTCTAAAAATTAAGGTCCATCAAGAATCGCAGCTGCATTCTAATTGCTGTCGATTTATTCATACTTGAGGACTAGCTAAGAATTCAGTACTCCAAGATGCAAAAATCAAACTCAAAACAAACACTTAAAACGAAGATATCAGATAGAGAAACTTAAAACCATATATAGATTGAGAAGAACTCTCACAACTTACGCAAACATACCAACTCCAATAACAAGCCCAATCTAATACAGCCCACCAAAAAGTGATAATGGGTCAAACATGCCAATCGATAAAGATAGCAATCAATGGATTTTTGAAAACTCTAAAAGGCAGTCTTTTTATACTTCCAAAGTTCTCTCACGTGCGAATGTTCAATCTTTCCAATAAAGCAGCATTGTTTTCAAAGCGCCAGTCATTAAATAACACTCATCTTCATCTACCAAAGCAAAAATAAGATCGGTAAAAATAGTTTTTTTTTGCCATATCGAGAACTAGAGGCATGCATAGCCATTTCATACTAGTTTTAACCAAACATGCTTGCCAAGATTCAAGAGGACTACCGATGAACCCGGATAACACATGTCATTCGACTATCCTAAGCAAACCACACCTAGGGGTAGGATTTCTGGCCGAAATCATCAACTGACCAAGGACTAGTTAGTGCCCTAACAGGACATCACTAACCCCCACTATCTTGGAAGTCTGATCTAGATGACAAAGATATCCCTCACCTACTGTATATCATGATGGAAAAAACATGTATGTAATGAAAATATCCTTTCGAGACTAGTTCAATTGATATTAACCATGACGATGCTGGTACTATCAAAGAAGAAATCATCATAAAAAAGAACATAGGTTAAGTTTCACGTTCCCATCTCACTCTTTCTACTCCATATTATTGTTCATTATTTTTTTAAACAAGCACAGAGAGACACACGAAGGCTACTCAGGTATCTCCTCTCTTCGATTACTGACTTAGCTATCTAAGGGTCTTTCAATCCACCAGAAAGACTTGTCTTACAGAGAGCGAGAGGAAAGAATCTTTGTAAGCCATCCATCTTCAGCATCGATCTTCAGCCATAAAGAAGTATATAATCACTAATCATTATTTGACTCTGACTCATCCAGGTGGGTGCCTTTCCTAGCTAACATCTAGTAAGCAATCCAAACTACTGCTACTTATTGTCTTCTCTTAACATTCTTTCATTGATCCATCATCAATGACTAAACTAACATTACTTTTCTCATCCGTATTTTAACTTCATCGCTCATTTATTCATATCAGATTAAGGAAAATAATATCATAGTTCGAATTAATTATTGAGCTTCATTAATTACAGGTTCATAATGTTATTTCTAGCAGATGTAGTTTCAACAACTTTACAACAACAAACAAGTGTGACTATATAAGGTCGTGTGGTGTAAGCCTTTTTATGCCCGGACTCTTACGAGCGTGTGCAAGTTTCGGCTCCGATACTGATAATGAGAATTGCCATCATCTTCTTCCCAGGTAATTTATCATTTTTTGAAATGGAGTTTTGCTGTTTCTGATCATTTTAATTGGCTAACATGTATAAAGATTTTCTCAAATATTGACCATTTTAATTAACATTTCAAATATTTCTTTTAATTTAATGCCTGAACTAACGTTGAAAATAATGGAGAGATTGAACTTTGTAGTTTCTTTTCATGTGGCTAGGGACTCTTGACTCAAATAATTAATATTTGAGGCAGAACGGATAGACGTCGGCGATGCATGTTGAAACTTGGGCGGTGCCAATGAGAAGTAAGAAAGACCGGAAAAATTAAATTGCAAAAGTTCATGGCTATTGACATACTGAAATAAGAAAGACCAGAGAAATTAAATACTACGGAGGTTTTGATACATATAGACCAACTTGGCAACTTGCAGATCAATCACTTGATCTCTATTAATTATACCCGAGCATTCTATTTTCTCTCAAGGTTCGGCAAGCCATGATAGCCAATGATCCCCATCGCAGTGTTAGAGAGTAATATAAGCTTAATTTATCTAATAGTTTAATGTTTTGAAGTAAAATAATTTTTTAATATGATATAAAAATTTTAATAATTAAATGGTTACGAGTTTGAATTCCTTCCTCATTTGCCATTGCCATTGCCACTCGCACAATTAGAGAGTAATATAGGCTTTACCTAATAGTTTAATATATTGAGGTGAAATAATTTTTTGATATGATATCATAATTTTAATAATCAAATGGTCATGAGTTTGAATTTCATCACATCCACCTTTTCTTCTAATTGAAAACCAAATGATAGTTCGAATCTCATCACCAATACTTTATGTTTTAATTAAGTATAAGTTAATTGTACATCCGTGTAAGGGGGTGTTTGATAACCTATTTAAATAACTTAAAAAATTAAGTTGTAGTACTTAATATAAAAAGTTTGTTTGATAATCTAAATAATCTCATATTAAAAATTTAACTTCGAGTCAAAATCTACTTAATTAGATAAGTTAAAGTTTTTAACTTATTACTTTTTTATTAACACGCTCGGTTGAAAGATTTTTAAAATTTTTTAAATATGACTATATCGCCCTTTTATATTTTTATAACTTTAGATATACAAACCAATTGAAAAACAAACTCTATTATCCTCATTGCTAAAATAGAGAAAACCTTCTCTATTATCGATGCTACCATTTCGGAATCCGAAACTTCAATTAATGTTATCTTCGATCGTATTTAATTTTTTATTTATAATTATTTTTATTGAATTTTTATTTATTTGTACATACAAATACATTTATGTATATATTTTTATTTGTGTTAAAAAAATATCATGTTACAATTATAAGGTTAAAATTGTCATGTATATAGCCTTAATATGTTCAAGCAGCAAGTATTTATCAAGCAAGTTTATTATATTCAGCATTTAATTTTCAGTAAATACCAAATAGCTTTTCATGAACATAGTCGGTACTTAATTATTCAGTACTTAACGTATTCAGCACTTAATTTTTAATTTTATCAAACGCCCCCTAAATGATTTTTTAACACACACAAACTCCGCCTCGATTTCCTCTCCAATTCCCCTCCATCTCGGGCTTAACATCTCTTGAGATCACCACCAAATCCATCACTATTTACTTTCTTTTCTTTTTTATTAATATAATAATAATAGATTTATAAAGTTTCAAATTTTAAAAATTATTGTTTGAATAGAATTATTAGAAACTAAAATAAAACTATTCCTTAGATATCATCTAATCCCTTGAGTTTTTAAGAGAGTTTTTTGACATATTCAAACTCTTGACCACCGAATAAAACAAACTTTCACGTCAAAAGGCTTTTGAAATATTACCCAATACCTTAAACTGTTAAATCTTTAGAATTTTTGTATCAACTCCCTCACATCATAAAACCACACCCCAAATGTCCTCCCCATCAAAACATTAGACCCTGGAAACGTAGTCGACCATCATATGACTTCAAAATCAAGTTCAAACATATATATATATATATATATATATATATATAGTTAAATGATCAATGAATCAAAAAACAATAATTTTTTAAAAAATGGAGAAAAGCTCAAGTGAGGAAGGACACTGAAAATTGAATTTTTCAGTTTCTCTTCCATCGACACACCTCGAATTTTTTTGCGGCTAATGACTCTTTGCTCATATAATAAATATTTGAAGCAGAACGATAGGGATGCATGTTCAAACTTGGTGGTGCTAATGGGAAGTAAAAAATACGGAGAAATTAAATTGCAAGCAAGAGTTGATGGCTATCGACATACTGAATAGGGGAAATTAAATAAATACGGAGATTTTGATGCCTACAGACCAACTTGCAGGTCAAGTTGATCATTTGGATTAATGATAGTCAAGCATCCCTATTGACTATTATCATGTGGTAAAAAAATTCAAGGTTCTGCAATCGGCAAGCCATAGCTAATTAATATGTCCTTAAAGTTCTAGGCGCATGGAAAAACTCAAGGTTCCCTTCTCTTTGGATTCGTCGCCACCACACAAACCTTGCCCCATTTTCTCTCCACCTCCCTTCCATCTCAGTCTTAGAGGTCTTTTTTTTTTTTTTTTAATTCACACGTCCAAGATTCTCCATGAATCATAAATTAAAACGAATTTGTTTACACTATTCGTGATATTCTAACGGGGTATCATTAAATTGAAAAGTCCACCAATATTCATACAATATGAAGGAAAAAAAATCTTATATATATATAAACATGGGTCGTTTCTTATCAGGAAAAAAAATGTTTTAACAAAAAAATTTGATAACCACTTTACCGATGTAATTATTTTCATTTTACATCTAAAGGTTTAATTGTTTTGACTTTATAACTCACCAATATTACTGAATTATAAATCCTGAATTAGTGTACAATCTTTCAATTAGAACAACTTAAGCGAGGAGAGACATTGGAAAAACTGCAGAGATGAATTTTGTAAGCAGTTTCTTTCCATGCACACGCCCTGTATTTTCCTTGGCTAATGACTATTAACTCAAATAATTAATTTTTGAAGCAAAATGGATAGCGATGCATGTTGAGACTTTGTGATGCAAGTAGGAAGTAAGAAAGACCAGATACATTAAATTGCTAAAGTTGACGGCTACTGGCATAGTGAAGTCAGAAAGATAAATTTGACATTTAGACCAACTCCCAAGTCATTTTTTTTTAATTATTTATTTTATTTATTTATTTTACAACTCGCAAGTCAAGTTGTTCTCGACTAATGATTGTCAAGCATTCCTATTATTGTTAGGTTAAAAAAGTCAAGGTTCGGCAAGCCATGACTAACATGCCTAAACACACAGACAAACCAAGGTTCCCTTTCTCTCCATTTCGGTGCCAGCAGACTAACCTTGGTCGATTCCCTCTCCACTTCCACTCCATCTCAGGCTTGGCAGTCACTGAGATCAATATCAAATCTTTCAATCTTCATCTCTGACTCCATCATTAACACCACACAACCAAACTCTAAAAACAATATCGTCGACCACCACCACCACAAGCCACCTTCACCATCACGTTCCTCCTCGTAGCCACATCGGTGTTCATTGCTCCCCCCACTGGGATTGAATCCACGCCGCATCTTCTTCTATCGACTTCACGAGCATCCGACACACTTCCATTTGTCGGAAAACACCTCAGCCACCGCAAAACAAGAGGAATGCATCTTCACACTTTTAAGGCATCCATAGTTTGCATGGGTAAACTTTCTATTCATTCGAGATTGTTTTTTCGCATCCTTAGCCGTTTTGATTTTTTGTCTATCCATTTTTTGGTTCCAAGTTATTTGTTGTCATTTGGGTGTTTCTCTTCCGATAGATTTACTTCCTATTGCTTCGAAACTGGATAAGGAGTGTTGATCTTGTGATACTTTTTTTGTCATTTGTCTGCTTTGATTGCCCGTCTTGCCTTGTTGGACGAAATCTTGGCAAAATGTTCACCATGTATAACAGAAATCTGTATTCTCTCTTCTAAACCCGAGATACTATCTATGAATCTTATTTTTTATAGAAGAGAGAGAAGTACAACTTTAGATATACTGAATAATTTCTATGTGTTGATTTTAGGGGTTTATTTGTGGTTCTGTTTGTAAATTGAACTAACCAGACAAACGAGTAAATTATAAATTTGTCCATTTAGTTTCCATAAACGAATTAATTAGTCCTACTTGTTTCAAAAATTAATTTTTTTAATTTTTTTTTTGTTCTTTTACCATTTATTTTGATTTTTTGTTTTAAAAGATAAAAAAAGAAAAATATCAAAAAATATATATAAAAAATTGATTATAAAATAGACATTTTATGAAATAAAAAATAATATTAAATTAAACATTGTCAACATTGGTTAAATGATTGAATAATAATTTAAAAATAAGAGAGATTAATTAATTTGTTTTTTGAAATAAGGGAGACTAATTTATAATTTACTCTCAAATAAACCGATCATTTTTTTCATTTTTAGTCTTTAACACATGTATATTGGAAAACGAATAGCATTAATTAAAAATGATATATTGTTAAAAGTGTGTGCTAAATATTTCATCGTTTTTTTTTCATACAAAAATTTTGAATTTTCTCATGTCAATTTTAAAATGAAGACATGTAAGTTTGGTTTTTGTAAAAAATGAATTGAATAGATCAGATAACAGCTTATGAGGTATAGAGTTTGATGTTCATTCTTGAAAAACACACATTTCTTTGTTATGTGATATTAGACATAAATTGTTGATGAATTTAAAAAGTCTAGTCTTTAAAAGGGATCACAATAGATGTGATTTAACATGAATCTAGTCTAAAAGAATAATCCCCTATATATATATAAAGAGGGGCCAAATTGTGAACCATTGCTGCCCTTTAGTTACCGTGTTGGTCTATAATATGTGAGTGAATGCTTGTTGACGAATTGCTAGGTATGGGCAATATAGGGACTATCTTATAATAATTTATTTGGGTCTCCCTATCATCCATGCCTTGCATTTCCTCTGTCATTAAGCGAAAAATGGTATATTTGCTTGTTTGTTGCCATTTTTGTCCTTAACTTGTTTAATTTCTTTTTGTTGACAACATTTTTCTTTCGATTTGGTTTGAGTTTACCATGCATGGATGGTGCTTTCACATGGCTCTTGAAGTTAGAGAATGGCTTTGGGTGCATTTGTTTTTCATTTGGATGTTTTGCCCACCCTTGAGGTGGCTTCTTTGGATTTTATTGTAATAATTAGAAGTTAAGGGTCTGTTTTTTTGGCTTTGTGGTAATCTTAGAGACCATTTTGTATTGTTGGTAAATTCAATTTTCTGCTGGTTGGACTAAGCATAGAAAAGGGCCTTGAACCCACCTTTTTGCTATTTCTTAAGTTTATTTGATATTTGTGTTAGGGGCTTGAGGCCCAAAGAGAAGAGGTAAATTCAGTTTTGGCTCTGAAGTTTTATTTCTGGCAAGCAGAACCTGGACTCAAATGTCATTTTAAGTTTTAGTTCAACAGCCGATCATCTTGTTCATGCCATTTGCGATATTTTTCGATGGTCGTAACAAATTTAGATTTTTTGTGTTTATAGGGAAACAAATCGGATTGTAGATCCAATCGCTTCTTATGCCTACGGGATCCGATGGAAATTTCTTACTTTATAAATGCTTCGTTTAGCTGTGTTAGTATTCTATTAGAGGACATTTTCGGATTTGATATTCCTAAACTTTGTAACATGTAGTTTTTTTTTTCCTTTTCGGAGTCCTATCTTTTTCTGAATAATTAGTGTCCTACCCTAAAAGTAAATACACTATTATTAGAACTTTATAATCCTGTATCTATATGTTAAAGAACTAGAACATACTCTTTAGATATATTAAGTTATAAAGATATATTAAGTTATAAAGACTGATGTGTATATTAATGTGTATGTAATTAACAGTTTAATATGCTAGACAAAATTAGCACAATTGTCTTGTTAATTTGTTTATTGTCGTTGAGTAGATACACTTGTCGAATTACGTAAGTTTTGTGACGTGTGATTGCTTATTGTTTTTTTTTTTTAATTTTCTTTTTTGATTCGTTTTCTAGCAAAATGCATAAATAAAATCTTGATCCACACTTCATGATAAAAAAAAAAATCTGACAAATACGACTTCATACATAGGTCTATTTCAACAAACACAAGACACAATTCTCGGCCAAAATCAGACTGGGAGATAACACCGTGCCCTTTGCCAGAAACAATGCATAACACTACTCATAGAAGACGTTTGGCGCCAATTGTAGAAGGGCTAATAGGTGGTGGTCTTGTCATCATTTCCAAATGGTGGAGGAAGTCTAAAACAACTAACGAGGATGTCGAAGTTCCAGCTAAAATACCTGTTAGGTTTTCATATCAAGATCTACGTGTTGCCACAGATACTTTCAAGGAAATAATTGGAAGAGGAGGCTTCGGGTCTGTGTTCAAAGGAGTACTAGCTTATGGAACAAGAATCGCAGTAAAGCGTTTGGATAACTTAGAGCAAGGAAAAAAGGCAGTTTTAGCAGAAGTTGAGACAATCGGACGCCTGCACCATTGTAACTTGTTGAGATTAATAGGATTTTGTTCAGAGAAATCATACAAAATTTTAGTATATGAGTACATGAGTAATGGATCATTAGATAATTGGATTTTTCAGAATGGCCATAGACCTTGCCTTGATTGGCAGACCCGAAAAAAGATTACACTTGATATTGCAAAAGGGCTAGCTTATCTTCATGAAGAATGTCAACAGACCATAATTCATTTCGATATAAAGCCGCAGAACATTCTGTTGGATCCTAATTTCAATGCCAAAATTTGTGACTTTGGGTTATCTAAGGCCATGGATACAGAAACGGGCCAAGTTGAAATCTCAGTGAGAGGAACCCCTGGATATATTGCTCCAGAATGGTGTAAATTAGCACCAGGTTCTCGAATCACCTGAAAAGTTGATGTCTACAGCTTTGGAATGGTTCTCCTGGAAGTAGTTTGTGGACGCAAAAATGTTGATCCTTCACTGCATGAATCTGACTTCCATTTACTTAGAACGCTGCAGAAGCAAGCTGAAGAAGATAGACTAGTAGATATTGTGGAAAGTGTAGATGAATCCATGCAGAGTGATAGGGAGGAAATACTTAGGATGATAAAGGTTGCTGCTTGGTGCTTGCAGGATGACCCAGAAAGAAGGCCTCTCATGTCAACAATTGTGAAGGTATTGGAGGGTGTAATGGAGGTAGATGCAAACTTGGTGTATAAGTTCTCACATTCACTGATAGCTTCTCCTGTTAATCCCCAAATTTCTTCAACACAGTTTTCAGCATCTATTCTTTCTAATCCTAGATAATGGAAATGTCAATCTTTCATTTTGGGCAGAAACAAAAATCATCAAATTTGTACTATTTTTCCTCCGCTAGATTCATCTTAATTAATCTAAGCACAACTATTATTTGAGTGTTCTCAAACTTTTTCTTATAGCATTAATTGAAGTATTTAAGTGTGGTTTGGTACTAAAGAAAAAAAAAGATAGGAATAAAAATTCTTATTTTTATAGATTTTTATAAAAAAATTCGAAGTGAGATTAAAAACCGAGAAAAAAGTCTTATTTATATATGTATTAGTAGAATAGCAAAAATGTATTTTTTGTCATTAAATTAATGTGTTTGTTCACGGTAATTATGACCTTTTCTAATCACGTAATTAAATCAACAGTTCAAGTCGTATTCAAAGTTAGGGCGGAAAGCCATTGAAGAGGATTATAATATACAAAGCAAGATGGGGGAGTTCACGTTAATAAAACAAATGGAATAAGATGCAGGGTATAAAAAAGAAGGGTCATGAAATAGAGATTAAGTGGAACAAAATTGATTGGGTGGTAGAGTCAAAGCTAGCTAAGGGGGTGACTAGACCTGTAGATGGTGATACCGCCATTATTTATTTTTTAAAAAAAAAAGAAAAAAAGAGGAAGAGTACAATACCAAGAAGCAAGTTCAGAACAGAAGGATAATGGGCTTGTCTATTATAAGTTATTAGTTGACGGAGCGTCAAATTTTTCATTTTGAAAATTTTTATAATTAAGTTTTGTTCCGATATTTTAAATATTAGAATAAAAAGAATGAAATGAGAATAAAAATAAATTATGAAATTAAAAATGAGATTGAGAATGATATAGTTTTTATTCCCATAAAAGGAGGTGAAAATAAAAACAAAAAATGAAAATGAATTTTTTTTCTTAACAAAATGCTATAGTTATTACTATTTGTTGAATAAAATTTATTTCCACCACCACCACCACTTTCATCTCTTCTTATCAAAAAAATATATTATTATCTTTATTGTTATTATTAATATTATTTTAAAATCACTCTTTCCTCTGCTACCTTCAAAGATAGTGATATAATTAATTTTTTTTAAGGATACATTATTATTATTATACCACAATCACTTTATAGCCTCTATCACTATTATTTGTCAATGGAAATATGTAAAAGAAGATAACATTTATGGTTTAACTATTTAATATGTGATATGTTTTTTAACATTCTCCCTTACTTGCGAGTCTAAGTTTTGGAATCTATCAAGTGTCTTGGGCTCTAGGATCTTTATTGGGCCGATGGGCCTCTATGAGACTCGTGATACCATATAAAATTATATAGTTGAGATTGGATTCCATCTAAAAGACTTAAGCCTTATGGTGGATGAATTCTTCTCAACTTTATATATTAATCTAAAAAACTTCATGAAGAAGGAGTTTGGGAGATGGATCCAAAGTGTCTCACACTTGAAAAAATCATAAGAAATTTCTCTTCTATAAAATTAGCAAGAAGAGAGAAAAGAGGTGATGGAAAAATGAAAATTCTAGGAAGAACAACTTGATTTCAAGCAAATTTCAAGTAAAATCAAGTCAAACCATCACCTAAAAATACCTAAACTACCGTAAATACTTCCCAAAATACCTAAAAAACACCGGAATAAACCAAATAAACAAGAAGAAAAAAATTAAAGTTTGGGTCGAAACTTGTGTCGATGGGGCACCTAGCTAATTTGAGAAAACTAGAAAACCCTAAACATAATAGTACGTGAAGATATCTAGATAAGGAGTCGGTTATGTATGGAGAAGATATAACGTCGTCATCATCCCGTCCTACCTAAGATAGATCGCATTGTTTGCATGTGAAAATAAAAACATGGTTTTTCTATGTTATGTTTCTATGCCTATTTGAATGAATTTATATTAGCAAGATCAAATAGAGAAATTTGGAATTTAGGCGGATCTATGGTCGATACCCATACTCGGAGGGTAAAGGTGGAGAAATTTAGAATTTCAGCTAATCTTTATCGAACACGACCTATACCGATAAATCAGTAAGTTTATAAAGATCGATAGTCTTTTATTAAGATGAGTAGTAGGCCATCGACAATCTCACTCACATAAATAGGAAGCCGCCAATGACTTTGAGTCATGAATTTAAGAAGTTATCGACAAGTTCATCACATAAGTAGAAAGCCACCAACAACTTTATTTTGCTCAAGCAAGGAGCGGATAACTAGTTTGAAAGCCATTGACTACTTCTTTACATAAGCGAGAAGCCCTCAATATCTCTCGTTTCAAACAAGTAGATAATAAATAAAATAATTTTAAAACTACCGGTGGCTTCATCACGGAAATGAAAAGTCACCGACAACTTCGTTTTGACAATTAAAAAATTCAATAAAATGGGTTTAGGAGCCACTAGCGACTTTATCCACATAAGTAAGAAGCTATTGATAGCTTCGTCTCGACAAACAAGCAATAGTTAATAATAATTAGAAGCCACTAATAGTTTTGATCACATAAATAGGAAGCCATCGAAACCTCATCTAAGAAAACGAGCAACATGCAACAATTATAATCATTCATAATGCACTATTTCACATTCGAGTTATCTTTAAAAATAATCCACATAAATTTAAAATTTACTCAAGCATCGTAAGACTATAGAGATTTTCTTCTTCGAATCGGTTTACGCCTTTTAATCTCGATGAAGACTAGTTATTTCAATCAATCGAGAAGGAACAAACAACTATTTGTGGATATCAAGGAGGTGTTATATAGTCACTAGAATGTTATTGGTCGGTTGTTAAATGACCACAATGCCTCTCGTAAACAAAAATACCAAAACACCCATTTAGTTAAAAATTACCAAAATACCTTTAAAAGCGAAACGATCCATCGTTGATTGCCCGATCACCATCTAGTGGTCCTTTAGGCATATGAACCAACTTGCATGGTATATGGGACCATCACAAACTTAATGATGGTGGTGGTAGTCGTTATCGACGTTAGAAAAGGGAGATTAAAGGTCTGTGAAGTTTTGGCCAAACCTCCTCCTCTTTTGGAAGAAGATTTTTATGATGATAGGGGGCTTTGAGGACACCAATTGACTTATAGGTCGGGAGGAGTGTTTATATGGTGGTTAGAAAGACTAATTTGGCCTTGATTGGCCAATTTTTCTTAATTCTTTGAAACAAGTTAGAAATGGGTTGTGGTTAATTAGACCATTTTTCAATGACTTTGTGCTATGACTTCAAGGAGGAAACCCTCGGGGGCATTGGACAACCAAGTCCGTGGTGCTGATAGTCGATGGTTTAGTCGAAAGAAGAAGATATAATCTGGTCACCAAACGAGTCATGTCATGGTGGTTCAAACTTAGATTTCTCCCTCCTATAACCGATAAAGATGGGTGGATCTGGAGATGGGTTATCCGTAGGTGGTGGTGGCTGGAGGAGATATTGACTAGAGGGTGGCCGATTTAGGAAGAGAAACATTAATAGGTCTTGAAAGGTAAACGAGTTTGGGATTCGGGTCCGATAGTTTCTTAAGGGTTGTTTGGATGATTTTTTGGGTTTTTAAGTTTTGCTCTTTTTTGGGATTTATGTCTAGTTTTAATGGATGGAGGGGTTGGGTATTTATAGAAAAAAATTAAAGGATCATGCATCCTATAAAGTTACAAAATAAACAAAGATTTTGTTTTCCTTCATTTAAAGTCTTAAGATCAATCATTAGATCAATTAACTATATTAACAAGATAGATCAAATGTTACCTCTTGTAGTGCGGTATCAAATTTACAGATTAAACCGTCCAAGCATTTAGTTTCTAGTAATCTAATATAAGATGACCAAATAAGTACACGCAAGTTGGGTCTCGACAACAAGTAAGTAAGGTTGAATGTTATTTATTACTCAATAAATGTAATAGATATGTGTGTGTGTGGTGTGTTTATTGATGCATGAATGCTATGTATATTTGACTAAATTTTTATAACTAAAAATGATTATGGTCGAAATATAAGTTCTTGAATGGTAACGAGTGACCATATGCTTGAACATGTAAATAAAATATAGGATGTTGCCAAATTTAAATATTAATGATATTATAGTGGGTCCAAGTAGAAGGAACGATAATAGTGGGGTTATTCCAAGTAGAAATGCATCGGACCATGGGGAATAGTTAATGACACCGTTAAAATAACAAAAGGAGATGTTAAAATAGCAGACAAGAGATGATGTAGAGGCTATTGGATATACAATCACAATAGCCGTAAAACCCTATGGTGGCAATGCCACAATAACGTGCTCGACATAATGGAACACTTTCGAAAATTTAATCCGAAAGAATTTTGGGGCAAACCCGACCCCATGGCTGTAGAGGAATGGTTGAAATCCATGGAAATGATCGTCGATCATATGGCCATGGAAGATACGGACAAGGTGTTTGCGTCTTTTTTATGCTCGACTAATGATGGTCATATTTGATGAGAGTCGGCTAAAATTGCTTTGAATGTGCCTAACCTCACATGAGCACGATTCAAGAAGGTTTTTAATGAGAAGTCTTTCTCTAATATTGTGAGAATCATAAATATTCAGGAATTCCTGAAATTAGAGCAACCCAACATGTCCTTGTGTATAACAAAAAATTCCTTGGGTACTTGTACCCATCTTATGCACCCAACCGAACATCGAGGATTAGTCGGAGCCTTTGAGTCTTAAATACCTTAGGAATCCACAACAAAAAAAATTAGGTTGCTTTGTTGTCGGATTGAATGTATACACATAACAATTAAATATGTTTTCTTTGTTGTTTGAATAAAAATAAAAAAGGCAGGATGTTTCTAATATTACTATCAGAATCTATTTATGCTAGGACTTGAACCCTCATTAACAACTAAAAAAAACGTTGAAGTATACTTAATTTGGTGTGGGATTGGGTGGAGTAAATTATAAATTAGTCCATTTAATTTTGATAAATGAATTAATTAGTCCCTCATAATTCAAAATCTAATTATGTTGTTTTTTTTTATATATATTATTTTATGTTCTTTTCTAATTTTGGGACATTCTCTATCACAGACATGTTGGTCGCCTTGCTTCAATTTCAGGAATTCCTGATTTTGGGTTATCTATAGTCATCGATGGAGAAACGGGCCATGTTCATATCTCAGTGAGAGGAACCCCTGGATATATTGCTCCAGAATAGTGTAAATTAGTACCAAGTTCTCGAATCACCCCAAAAGTTGATGTCTACAGCTTCGGAATTGTTCTGCTAGAAGTAGTGAAGTAGTTTGTGCACGCAAAAACATCAATCCCTCGCTGCCCGAATCTGACTTCCACTTAATTAGAGTGCTACAGATTAAAGCTGAAGAAGACATACTGATAAACATTGTGGAAAATGTAGACGAATGCATGCAGAGTGATATAGAGGAAATGCTAAGGATGATAAAGGTTGCTGCTTAATTGGTGTTTGCAAGATGACCCAGAAAGAAGGTCTCTCATGTCTACAGTGGTGAAGGTATTGGAGTGTGTAATGGAGATAAAGACAAACTTGGTGTACAAGTTTTCACGTTCACTGATAGCTTCTCCTGTTGTTAATCATCAAATTTCTTCAGCACAGTTTTCAGCATCTATTCTTTCTTTTGCTAGATAATGGAGTTGTAAAATGATAAATCAATTTATTTATTTATTTGGCAGAAAATGTAATCAAAACTGTTTTTTTTTTTTTTTTTTTAACCTTCATAATTTTTTCTAGGGTTTTGGGTGAATAAAAGAAACATAAGAATGGGCTTTTCTTGTCTGCTTCGGTGGAATGGCTTTCTCTATGGCCTTACTAATGCAAGCCCAGTTTGTTGGTGGATTTGATTGGGTCAAAGGCCTCTTTTTTTTTTTTTTTTTTTTTGGTGTTTAAAAAGAATAAAGTAATGTAAAAACTGTTATCTCTGCTACAAGAATTTGCTAATTTGTTGTGAATATTTTGTCTTCAAATTTAACCAAAATAAACTCTAAGGAATTGGCCTAACAATCAAGAAGGGTTGTTTCTTTTCTTTTAGTTTTTGAGTTTGAACTCTAACATCAGTATTCACAAAAATTTATTTTTCTAAATGTATAAAAATGATGTAAAATGCTAGATGATAAAAAGCAACCAACTAAAAAATCAGACTAAGCCTGAAGCTAGAGGCAAAAATATTTCCTCTGACTAAGAAACATTTTTGCTGACTTGTGGCTGAGTGATGGTTAGACCGGTGTTCCTTTTGTGGGATTTTCTTGGCTGCTTTGGTGGAATGACTTTTTTCATGGCTCCAAGTTTCTTACTGGATTTTAACTGTATGAGTGAACCGTTAAAAAATATGATTCATTGGCATGTCCATGACTCCACATCCATCCATCCTTGTCTCTATTCTCAGTCCCAAAGGCTCTTCATTTTTTTTTTTTTTCCCTTTCCATTGGAAGGCTCGTAACCTTAAACTATACAATAAAAATAGTCATTTTTTATTACATAATTCTTTTAAAAAAAAAAAAACTCAAAATCACTATAAGCTTTTTAACTTTACTTTAATAATAAAGTTACTTAAATAAATAACTGTTGGGCGCTCAATTCAATTTCTTCAAATTGAAGAATTTATAAAGAACACGTTAAGGGAAAAGAAGAAGAAGAAGAAGAAGAATTGAGGCTGCTTTTTTAATAAAATAAAATAAAAAGAAAAGTCAAAAGTAGAATCTGCTACTAGAATTTGTTAATCATGAACTTATAAATATTCCTTTTTAAATTTAAAAATTTAAGTTGACCTAGAAGCACATTAAGAAATAGGTTAATGTCTTAGATTGCACCACCACAAATTGTGGATCTAATCACTTATCCTCCCATATTGAACTTGCAGGAAATTATAGCCGCCAACACCATTAACTCAATCATCAATGATCTTTTATAATCACCATTTGTAGTGTTGTTTTCTTTCAAGGTGGCCTAAAACTGTCTTGATTCTTGCAACATTACCTCCAGAACTCCATTGTGTAGCATTTTGCAGCAGAACCTGTCGTGATATGTACAATAAAGAGTAAAAAAAAAATAGTCATGGTACCACACTTTGGAAGTCCACCACAAGCAAAACAATCAAGAATAGTGCAGATAACAAGAAGAAAGAATCGGTGACTAATTAGTTTGCTTGCTAATAGGGAATCCAAACTACTGCTACTTCTTCTTCTTGTTTTCTCTCAACATTATTTAAAGAAATGACTCGACTTATAACATTAGTTAGTATCCCTATAACATCTCTCTTCATTGTTATAACAACAGGAAAATTCTCCTTTGCCACAGGAGATTGTGGTTCTGGCTAACTAGAATGTTCAGGCAAGGTGCTTCTCCTCCTGCCACCTTGTCAGAGATCAATCTAGATTATGATGGCACTCGTACTGATTATTTTGATGTTAGTCTTGTTAATGGCTAAAGCCTGCCTTTGCTTGTTGAAAAAAAAAGAGCAAGAAAACATAACATAATAATCTAATTTTAAATAAAAAATAATTGGAAAAAGTTTCAGTCCGGAATTAGAAATTGAAAGATCTATTTTCAAATAATTTAAAGTTTAGAGAAGATTCGTAACACTTAACGAAAAAAAATAGAAGGAAAGTGAAAGGGGTAGTGTTCACTGTTCAGAAATGAAAGATATGGACAATTAACTTGTTCATATTGGATAGAAAAACGGAAATTCTGGAAAAATCGAAATTTTGTGTCTTTTAGAACTAAAAATCTTGAGCACAGGTGTTGAAAGAAAGGGAGGCTTTGCCTGTGTCTAGATTTTGCAGGACATGTTAGTAATATTCACAATATGGATTCTTGGCAATCATTAATTTAGATAAACTTGACTTGCAAGTTGGTCTATAGCATTAAAATCTCCATTTTTATTTAATTTCTCCATTCTTTCTTGCAACACCATTATTTTCTTCGGTCTTTCTTACTTCCCATTGGCACCGTCATCAGGTCCACCAAGTTTCAACATGCATCACTGACTTCTATCCGTTCCGCCAAAAAATAAAATAAATAAATAACTCAAGCATGGAGAAAAAAAGGACTGAATTTATAATTGAATGTTGTGTTGAAAGTTCAAGCAAGCATCTAACCTTCTGTATTGGACACTTTCCTGGAAATCAGCTTAATTATAAGTTATACATAACAAATATTTTTTTAGATAAAAATTTCGACAATATGCTTTGCATTTACACTACAGTTTCAAATAACGGATTTTATACAACGTAACTATCCTCATTTAACATATTCAAATATGTTTGTTTTTATTATATGATATTACAGAGAGTCCAACAAAATTTTACTTAAATACTGATAATAATGACATTATATAACGATAAAGTTTTTATTGATATTATTTGGTAAATAAGGCTAGTTATATTATTGTTGCAAATATATATATATTTTTTACTTTTAAAAAAATTATTAATATCTATTAATGCATTAAAAATATTGATTATTGCAATCATTATTGCAACTACATTAGCAATTTCATTAGTGTATAAAATGTCACAAAAAAAGAGAGAAGACAATGAACATAAACTACTCCAAAGCCATCATATCAGTACCTTGCTTGGCTAGTTTAAAAATAGCAGTAATAGCATGCAAAAGTAGTAGAAGTGACAAGAAGCTTGATGAATTTTACTTCTTCCAAAAGAGAGGGATTTACAGCTACATCATCTAGGATGAGAAAGAACAGATGCTAGAGGTGCTGCTGAAGAAACATGGTTGTTACCAACAGAAGAAGAAATCAATGCATGCGAAAACTGATAATTGATGTTTGAATCAACCTCCATTACCCCTTCCAACACTTTCAAAACAGTGGACATGAGAGGCCTTTTTTCTGGGTCATCTTGCAAACACCAAGCAGCAACCTTTATCATCCTGAGCATTTCTTCTCTATCACCCTGTGTGTATTCATCTGAAGTTTCAACCATGTCTATTACTCTATCCTGATCAGCTTTCTTCTGTAACGTTGTAAGCAAATGAAAGGCAGATTCTGGTTGTGATTCATCAACATTTCTGCGTGAACAAACTATTTCAAGGAGAACAATTCCGAAGCTATATATGTCAACTTTAACAGTTACACTACCTGATGATCTACACCATTCTGGAGCAATATATCCAGGGGTTCCTCTCATTGGGATTTGAGCTCGGCTTATGTCTCTATCAATTAGCTTGAATAACCCAAAATCAGCGATTTTGGCATGGAAATTTGAATCCAAAAGGATGTTCTGTGGTTTTACATCAAGATGTATTATGGTATGTCGACAGTCTTCATGAAGATAAGCCAGCCCTTTTGCTATGTCGAGTATAATCATCTTCCTGGTCTGCCAATCGAGGAAAGATCTTTGGACATTCGTAAAAATCCAATTATCCAAGGATCCGCTGCTCAAATACTCAAAAACCAAAAGCCTAAAGGATTTCTCTGCGCAAAATCCAATCAATCTCACCAAGTTAAAATGGTTCAGACTTCCAATTGCCTCGGCTTCTGCTAAAAACTCACTCCTTCCTTGGCCTAATTTCTCCAACCTCTTCACAGAAATTTCTGTTCCATCCGCCAATTTCCCTTTGAATACAGACCCGAAGCCTCCTCTTCCAAGTATCTCCTTGAAATCATCGGTTGCAACGCAAAGTTCTTGGTATGAAAACTTCAGAGGCATTCCTGGAACTTGCTTTAAATGATCATGTTCCACATCCTGCTCAACTTTTTCGGACTTCCAACACCATTTGGCCCTCAGAATAAGAATCACTACAGAAGAAATGATAAGAAGACCGCTAACTGTAACTCCTGCTATAATTGGTATTGAACGTGTCGGAGTGGTATTACGCCTTATTTCTGGCGGAGGGCTTGGTATTATCTCTTGTGGTGAAGGGCTTGGTGTTATCTCTTGGGGCAAAGGGCTAGGGCTTGGTGTTCTCTCTTGGGGCGAAGGGCTAGGGCTTGGTGTCTCTCTTGGGGCGAAGGGCTAGGGCTTGGTGTTATCTCCCCTGGTGATGGCGCCGGTGATTGGATAGTTTCTGAAGAATTTGTTGTGCTTCCTGTGATGGACATGTAGGCTTGTCATCGAACAAATTAAACTAGCCGTAAACGTTAGAATGATCAAAAACAAAATACCAAACCGAAAAACTATAAGATTGAAGAAGGTAAATTTACCTGGACAGAAGGTAACATGGTAATGCATTGATACACAAAGGGAGCCAGTCATCTCATCATCAAGAGGATAAGAAAAAGCTTTTGGACACGACTTCTTAAAAGTTCGAGAATAAGAAGAAGGCTTGCAAGTATCAGGTGTATTATGCGTGCCATTACAACAATATTGTGATGATCCATAGGCTGCACAAGGGCTCCTGCACCCCGCTATCTTCCCATCAGAACCATTAAACATAAGTTTTGAACTAGGACACGAGCTTTTCAAATCCACCGTACATCCCGAGCTTTCGCATCTTTGATCAGTAGACACAACAAGCAAAGGCAGGTTGTAGCCATTAAGCAAGCTAACATAAATAACATCAAGTTCACCGGAAAAATCAAGCTTGAACTCTGCCACTGTTATAGGACTCGAGCCATGTCTTCTTGGACACTGTATTTTGCCGGAGCCACAGTCTCCTGTGAAACAGGAGAATCTTCCTGTACCATCTTGAGTGCAATTGGTGCGACCCCATAAGTGACCAGTCCACTTATCCGGGGTTGTTATATTCTTTGACTCCGTTTTTTTAAGGGAAAAACCACTTGTGGAGAGATCTTCGTCCAATGGTTCTGAGGTATGAATGGCCGGCCATACTGTGTAGTTACACTTGTTTGATATGGTAATAGTTGTTGAAACAACACCTGCTAGCAAAACCATAAATGAGCAACAACTTGTTAGTTAATTGTTTAAGATGAAGAACAATTAAAACAGTGATATTGTTGGATTAATTTCTTTAATTCATTACCTGATATGAATAAATGAGCAATGAAGAGAGAACATAGAGGAAGAACTAATGTCGGAGTCATTGATGCAGTTATTAATTGAAGAATATGTTGAGAGAAAATAACAAGCAGATATTAGCAAATTAAGGCACCAATTCTTTCTTCGAAAAAAATAGAGAAATGAACATAAAAGACTCTTAATCCTGACAAAACTACATAACTGCAAAGAAAAACATGGTTTTTATAGAAGGACAAACCTCATAAAAGTCCCCAACTTTAGGGCAATGTCGATTAGCTCTCCAATCTATTTTTCATCTTGATTAGGTTCCTAACATAACAACGAGTTCCCAATTAGATCCTTCGTTTAGTTTTAGTTAACAAAAAAATTAATAAAAACTCTCGTGATTTCTTTTTCTCCATCCAAAACCACCAAATTCATTAAGATCCCTCGTTTTACATCACATGAAATCCACGTAATAGACCGAACTATATAAAGAAACAAAAAATCTTTATATTTTTTTTACATAGTCTATTCTATAACATGATCAGAGGGATTTTAGTAAACTCGCAGGTTTTAATGGAAAATGAAAAATTTCTTAGAGTTTCAAGTTAATACCTAACAATTTTATTAATTAAGTGAAATTGAAGGACGGATCTGATTAAAAAATATATTGATACATTAGGAATGTAACTAAGACAAAAATAAAAAATAGGCTGGAGATATAATCTAGATTAAAGACTTTTTTTAGGTTTGTCCTTTATAAAACTAGACAAAGCTATACGAAGCCTAGGCTGATTTGCATACATACCAATAAATTTTGGTTTAATGAGATAATTTACTTCCAAACTAATAAGGTTATGATTAGGGGTGTGTAAACGGTTCGGTTAATCGAAAAACCGAATTTATCGAACCAAATTATACATTTTGATTCGGTTCTAAACTTAAATTTGCTAAATTTAAAACCGAACTGAAAAACCAAAATTATTTCGGTTCGGTTCGATTTTTGGAAAAAAAATTTCGATTTCAACCGAAAACCGAAAAAATTGACGAGTAATTTTTTTCCCTAAATTGTAATCTAAATCCCTAAGGACCCTAACTCTAAAAGACCTAATCGCAATCTGTCTTTGCTCACAAAGAGAACCTCTCAATAATTTGTGTTTGGCTAGCGAAAAAGAAATCAAGAAAGATAAAAAATAAATGCCGGACATAGAGACACCGCAAGGAATGTTTGCAGGTGCGGGAGGTGCGTTAGGCCATCCACAACCAAATTCTCCCACTCTCGATTCCTCTAGTAGATTTGCATCTCCTCTCTTGCCCTCCTTTGAACCCTTAAACAAGGTATGTTTTTTTCAAAATCCAAAACCTATAGATACGACATATTTCACTTTTAGGAATTTGTTATTAGTTCTTTGTTAATTCGAATTTAAACCCATATTCTAGGGTTTTGGATTTGAATATGTTTTCTGGATTTATTGTTTTAAAAAAAAATTGAATTTTGAGGAGTTGTTAAGAATTGGATTTTTTTATGTTTGATTTTGGTGGATGTGAATGATAGTAAGAGTCTGGGTTACTAATGGAAGTGATGGGTTTGATGCTTGGAGAGTTTGTGGATGAATATATTGTTCGTGTTCAATCGACTCGTTCATGCATTTCTTTTATACGAGTGTTATCTAGATTTCTCGTGTGGATGAAAATAATCATGTGTAATTTTTTCTAAGCATAAAAGAATAATACATTGAGGTAGTTTCCATGTTGGATGTGCTTTTCCATTTAATTGAAAGCACAATATATTACGAGGATTAGGGACTTGAAATTGTGACCGCTCTGTCAAGTATCATCCATGGCCATGGGCCATGTTGCCGTGAAATTTTTAGCGGGTTTTCAAAGCAAGCTTTTTTGGAGTAGATCCAGCACGGACTTCTACTAGGGACTCAATCTGTAGAATTTCAAGCCATAAAGGATCATCAAGCATACGAGCAACAAAGGTGAAATACTATGTTAGAAGTGATCCTACAATTAGCCATGGTTGCGATTCATCGTGATAGTGATCAAGGCAACCATGCTTACGAACTGTTGTGAGAGTGATTATATTAATGAACTGATCATGTTAATTGAATTCAAAAGAAGAGTGCAAGGATGAAGAAGAATTAGCTTTATATTGTTATTGTATTTGTTCTTCATCTTTTTGGGGTGAGATACCGAGATATGGAGAAAATTTCAAATTAGTTCAATTATTAGCTAAAACAATTTGGTAATGCTCATATGAGTGTAATATGGGTTTTCTTGACTTTTTTCTATTTTGTTTTCTTGATATTTTTCTTTAAAAAGATAAAAAATGGCTTTAATGGAAACTTTTTTTTCTCTCCTATTGAGATCTCTCGCTAGGTAGAATCTTGCGGATAAATGAATTTTATTTTTCAGCAAAATATTTCGAGTTAAAACCGAATTTTTTTGAAACCGAATCGAAATATTTTGGTTTCAAACTGAATTTATCGAATTTATTTTGGTTCGGTTTCGATTTTTGTTTTTCTCAATTCGATTAACCGAAAACCGAACCGAATCGTATAAAATCAAACCATTTGACCAAATGATCACCCCTAGTTGTGATAAAATAAAGTCTATATTACTAATCTAAGATATTTGCACTTTAAATTATTAATCAAATTTTATTTTTTTTGGTTATGTAACGATCAAAGTATTGGCCGTCAAATGAAATGCTTAAAGAGACTTTGTTGTATGCTTTTTGGTTTTTTTTTTTCTAAATAAAATTGATTTTGAAAAAAATATTTAAAAATTCATTTTTTTTTACTAGATGTATCCATATCAAATCATTAATTATTCAATAATAAAAATTTAGATCCATAAACAATCAAATCATCTAAACTTTTTAAAGCTAACTATTATTTAAAAAAAATACAAATTTAATCTTTTTAAAAAAAAAACTTAATTGTTTAAAAGGACTTCACTTTAAAATTTCATTTAACAGTCTTTCACCATTAAACATAATAAAAAGGAATAAAAGTTTACCTAAAAATAATAGTTTAAAATCCAAACAATTAACTCAAATTAATAATATAGATCTTATTTTGAAACAATCACAATAGTTCGAGGGTGGATTATATATTAAACCAATAAATTTCAAATTACTACTACTTACATAAATTTCGAATTTGACAGCTAGAAGTCGGAGTTCTTATATTCTAGCTAGCATGGAATAAACTGTACATTCAACTTTTGATTCATTAAATTATTTTGCCAGTGGGCAGCTTGTATATATATTTGATCAAAAAATCTAAAATCTATTCAAGAGTATGCTTGGCAGTATTGTGTCAATTTTGCTAACTATAAATTCTTGTGCGACATAAATGGCTTTATAAATACCTTTTTTAAAACTATTTTATGTGGTTTTGTTGTATAAGTTTTTTTTTTATCACACTGCATATACATATAGTCCATAACATGCCCAAAAAAAATTAATTAATTAATTAATTAATTAAATTGCCTAATTTTTTAATTTGTAATTATTTTCCAATAATATATATATATGAAAAGACTAAAGTTAATTAAAGGAAAAGAGTGATACTTTGCTTGTCAAAGCAACCAACATTATAAGGCATCTAAACATCATTTTAAACCACCAAAATCTTAATTATTCTCATGTTTATTTATAGATCATAAAGCTAAATATTAATTAAACTTGGAGTGCGGTTTGAATCATTGTAATAAAAACTTGCTTACAAATTAAGACAATTTTTCCTTTTTTCCACATGAAATCACACCACGTGAGTCTCATCACTAAAGCACATGCATGGTGTGTCTGTGGGTTTTTTTTTTTTTTTTTACGTAATTCTTTTTCCATTACTGAAAGTCAGAGTTCTTAGTTGTGCACGTGTGAGTCTCATCACTACAGCTAGCAGAAGAGCAAGTAAATAAAAAAATATTAGATGATCACCATATTCATTATTTTGATTGTACTATTCTACAGGACATACATACATGTTATCTGTTTCGGAATTCTCCTAAAATCTCAATAATTAATTTGATCTTAATCTGTTTTAAGAAAATCATCAATTTAATTTCGATTTATGTAAAAACTTGTTACTAAAATATTTAACCGATCAATAAAGTATAACATCCATGTCTTAAAACATTTCTTGACCCCCCAAATTAACTGTCACCAATCAACTATTTTGCCTTTACTTCGATGAACTTCCAAGCAAATTTACAACTAAAATTCTCATAAGAACAAAGGTTCTAGATTGCCTATGATAGTTACTTTTGAAGGAGTTTTGAGTTATATAATAGATGTAGTCTTCTTTCATATTTTTGAATCCTTTCATATTCTTCTAAAGATTTAAACCCAAAACCTCTGAATAAAAACTAATTAAATAAATTGAAAAAGAACAAAAATAATTGTTGTTAATAGGTTTAAAAATATAAAGATTTAAGTAATTAGTTTTTAAAACTAGAGAATTATTCAATTTTCTTTGAAAAACAAAAAGAATTAATTTATAATTTACTTCAATTCAACCAAGAAAGAATGGATGGACTAGAACTCATGGACATATAGCAATTGTTACAAATAGATTTAAAAATATAAGGACGTACCATTAAAGATTGTAAGTGAAGTAATAAAAAGAATATTTCTAACTCACTGGGAGTTTGATCCTCACTCTTGAAAATTTTCTCTGTCTATTTTGTGTAGCACTAAATTAACATGGACTACCAATGAACTTAAAAAGTTTAGTCCTTAGAAACAATCAAAGGCTAGCATGATCAAGTACTGACATATATTAAAAAGTGATGAAATTAGTTTATATCGATGCGGAAATTGGCTTGATAACATTTCATTATCCATAAATATCAGCAAAAAAAAAAAGACCAATTAATTAGTTTTGTAGCTAGAAAAACTATTTAATTAATTTTTTAAAAAA